GAATTAAAAAGATTGTAATTCGAGAATAAAAGTAAAATACATAAAAAATTAAATTCCAACGAAAAAGAAATTATGGGCTGCAACAGAATTATAAAGGTTAATAAAACTTTACTTACAAAATTCTAATTTTCTTGCAAAAATCTTTTAAAATTAAAAAAAAATAAATTTAGTAAAAAAAATTTCGGCCCAAAATATAAAATAATAGTACATATCAAAGTTAATAAAAAAAATTTATAAATTAAATAATTTTTTATATATAAAATAATATAAAATAAATAACCATATAAAATATATATTTTTTAATATAAATATTAAACAAATTAAAAAAAAATTAAATTTAAAACTTCTTATTTTTAAAAAAATTGCATTTATATAAATTTATTAATAAATTTAGATAAAAAAATTCATATTTCTGCCAAAAAAAAACAGTTAATGTCAAATTAAAGTTGATAAATAAAAATTTATTAATTTTTAAAAAAATAAATTTAATATTTCCAATTTTTATATAAAAAATGTTACATTTTGTAAAATTTATAAAATTTATAAACCGTTTAAAAATTTTTTAAAACTTTTCTGAAAAATAAATTTAATGTTCCAAGTTCTATGTATAAAACGTTGCATATTATAAAATTATATATAAATTTAGTAAAAAAATTCTATTTGTCTAAAAAAAATAAAAATAAACAATAATAGTATCAAACAAAGTCGATATAAAACTAATAACCGTTCAAAAAATTTTAATTTTAAAAAAAACGTCTAAATTTCATAAAAAGTTGCATTTTTATAAATTAATAAATAAAATTTATAAAAATTTTTAAAGATAAATTTAAAAATTCTAATTTTTATATAATAAAGGAAACCTTTGCATTCCAAAATAATTAATAAAACCAACACTTGCCACGTGATTCATCGAATCTCCAAGGTTTTGTAAATCTCCCGAAAACTCCCTTTAAAAAAAAAAAAAAAGGTTTGATTATAATTTTCTTTAACAAAAATTTAATTTAAAAATAAATTTCAATTTATTATATTATAAAATTCAAAAGTTGCAACTATCAAAATTTTTTTATAGTGGACTTCATAATTTTGTTCAAAAAAAATTAAAATTTATAATTTTTAAAAAAAATTAGTTTATTAAAAATTTCTTTTAATAAATTTATAAAATCAAAAATATTTAAAATTCACAATCAGTAAAAGTTAGTTTTTTTAATGTACCTTAAAATTTTGTTAATCAGAAAAAAAAAGTAAAAATATAAATATTATTGTTAAAATTTTCTTTTCTTTTCATTAACTATTAAAACCAAAAACATTCTAACTGCGATCACTATTACTTTTTGAAGTACTATTTCATATATTAAAAAAGTATAATAGCATTTTTTTATTAAAATTATAACTTTGATTAATATGTAATATAATTATTAAAACAAATTTTTTTTTAAAAAAAATTAAATTAAAAACAATTTTACACTAAAGGAATTTTTTTTAGTACTCCAAAATTTTTCCCTAACAAAAAATAAGGTGAAAAGTTTATAATTATTAAAAACTTTCTTTATTTTATAATAAAACAAAACATTAAAAAGTTGCATGCACAAATTATTTTGTACTTAAGTGCTTAGGAAATTGTGTTATCATAATCATAAAGTAAAAATTATAATTTTAGATAAAAATTAATATACATATTAAAAAATTAATTATAATTAAGTAAACTAATAATAAGTAAAAGCTGCAATCAGTAAAATAAATTTTTTATAAACTACATAAATTATTTTATCAAAAGATAAAATAAAAATTTACATTTTTTAAAAAAAAAACATTTAAAGTTGCAATCGTAATAATTATTTTTTTAAATGCACTTTAGAAAAAAATTTTCCAAAAAAAGTGAAGTAAAATTCACAACTTAATATTTAATGTACTTTAAAATTTTGTTTAATAGAAAAAAAATTTATAATTCTCTAAAAAAATAATTTTTAATTTAATTATTATAATTTTTTTATAAAATAATAAAATTATAAAACATTTCAAAGTTGTCATCACATAAAAAATAGCTAAAAAGTACTCAGAATTGTTAATAAAGAAAAAATAAAATAAGAAATTATATAATTAAATTTTTCCATATAATTTTTTTTGTATAAAATATAAATTCACAAAACTTTCAAGTATAAACAAATTGTTACATCTAAACTTTTAATAAAAAATTTGATAAAAAATTTTGTTTTCATTAACCGTAATAATTATTAAAAAATTTTTATTATAATTATAATTTTATTAATAGAAAATAAATTTCAAATAAAAGCTAACAATTCAATAATTTAAAATAATAAATAAATTACTAAAAAAAATTAAAAAGGAAGGATTTTTAGTAAAAAGTTTATAAATAAAAGAAAATTAAATTTCAAATTTTAATAAATTTTAATAAAAATAATATATATATTTTTATAATATTAAAAAAAATCTAAAAAAAATATGTTATTAAATTTAAAAAATAGAATACAAAATATATTTAAGTAAAAATGTATAAAAAATTTTAACTAAAATATTAACTAATAAAAAGAACTTCAAATTTTACCACAATTTTATAAAATTATAAATATTTTTAATTTTTTTTTAAAGTAAAAAAAAATTAAATTAGATTATTAAAATTTCAGAATTTTTTATAAAAAATAAAATAAAATATTTATGATTAAAAGTTTTTTAAAAAATCAAACTATTATTAATAAAGTAAACATAATAAAATTTTAAGTTACTTTTATTAGTAAAATTATATAATATTTTTTTATATTTAAAAAAAATTAAAAATAATAAATGTATTAAAATTTTATAATGTAAATATTAAATAAGTTATAAAAAAAATTGAAAGTTATTATTATAAATGAATAAATAATAAAAAATAATAAATGTATTAAAAAATTTAAAAAGTTAATACTAAATTATAATTCATTTTAAATATAGAAGTTTATAATATAATCAAACTTTTATTTACAAATTAAAAAAAATAAATTTAATAATAATTTAACTTTATAATTATTTAGTAAAAAATAATAAAAAATTAGAGCTGTAATAAAATTTAGAATATTCATACTAAGTGGTTTAAAAAAGATTATTATAAAAAAACCAAACAATTATTGATAAATAATAAAATAAATATAATAAAAAAATTTTAAAGTTATTTTTATTAGTAAAAAAATAAAAAAAAAATTATAAATGTATTATAATTTAAAAAATTCCTCTAAATTATAAGTAATTTTTAGATAAAAGTTTGATTTTTTTAATAATTATTAATAAATAATAAACAATTTTTAAATACAAGTTGCAATAAAATCAAACTATTATTATAAAATAAAAAAATAAATGTAAGGAAAATTTAAAATTTATTATTATTAGTAAAATAATAATAGTAAATTATAAATGTATTAAAATTTTAAAATTCAGTATTAAGTTGTAGATAACTTTATATAAAAAAGTTAGTGCTATTGATATGTAAATTAAAAAATTTTAATATAAAATCAAACTATTAATTATAAAATAAACAAAAATAAATATAATAAAATCTAAAATTAATTATTAATAGTAAAAAAAACAATAAAAAATAATAAATGGATTAAATTCTAAAAAGTTAATACTAAATTAATAAAATAAATATAATATTTTTTAAAGTTTATTATTATTATAATTTTTATAATATATTTCCTTATAAATTTTAAAAATAATCAAAGAATAAAAAATTTTTTCTATTCCATTACAAAATTCCTAAAATTTAAAAAATTCACAAATTTCACGCAAATAATGAAAATAGTTGTAAACATTCATTAAAAAATAAAAAAATAAAACCTGATTACAATAGAAAACTGATTTCCTTTTAATTCGCCGAGACGAAGTTCTTTTTCGGCGGGGAGAAAGTGTCCAATTTTCATATTTTTTAATGAAGCTCGAGCCTTTTTCTTATGAATAACAAAAAAAATTGTGAAATATATAATAATAAATCTATAGAAGATTAATAAAAATAATATATATTAATAATAAAAAATAAAATATAATAAAATAATAATTAAATAATATTAAAAAAAAAAATAAAAATTAAAAAAATAAAAAACTCCATAAAGTTATAATAATAATAAACAAATACGAATTATTATAATAATGTAAAGAATTAATAAAAAAAATAATGGTAGTAACAAATAATATATTAATGAAATAATAATAAGAAAAAATAAATATAGAAAAAGATATTGAAAAATTAATAATAATAATAAAATATATATTATAAATAAAATAGTAATAAAAATATATAAAAATAGAAAACTTTAAAAAGTCATTATAATAATAAATTAAACTAAAGAAAAATTTCTAATAAATTATAAAAATTTTAAAAAATATAATAATATATAATGAAACAATAAAAATAATATTTAAACATTATAATTTTAAAAAGTTTATAACAATAATAAACAAATTACCAAAAATTAAAAATTTAAAATTATAAGAAATTCAAAATTTACAAGTTTGTTAAGCTCAATATTTTTGACAGTCACTTTCTGACACGTGATACCACGCTTGTCTTTAGTGCCCGCCCAACTAAAGTTTTTAGCGGAAGTTCTTAAATTTTAAAAAAAAATTTAAAAAATTTAAAAATTTTAGATTAGAGTTTAAAAAAATCCCGACTTTGCAAAACGCGCTAAAAGAGAAACGGCCTGTATCGTATCAATATTTTCTTTATACAAATAAAATGAATATAATAAAGATTTCGAAGCACGATTGCAAGCAAGATCTCGTTTTTTTTGGCTACAAATATATTTAAAACAGTAAATTTATAAAATTTATTACATTCTTGAAAAACATAAACCTTGAAGTGCATTTTAAAATCTGTACTACAGATTCGCCATTTTCATTTTTTATAGTTTTCGACGTCAAATCTTTAATTGATATAATAGATATAAATATTGTATATACATCTTAAAATTTTACTATAAATCTATAGAAAAAAAATAATCCAAACATTAAGTCACCAGTAAAATTGTTGCGTATAAAAGTGTGTACTTCATAACGTTTATTCTTGTCGGGGATAATCTTTTTATAATAAAAAGTAAAAACTATTTTAAAAAAAAAAATAAAAAATGTACTAATTGGGCACAATCCGAATTGCCCATCTTTCCATTTAGATAACAATTTTTCAGAATGACAGTAAACTCTAAACCTATTAATTTACAAAAAATCACATTTATAAACAGATGCACCAGCAAAAAATAAAGTTATAAAGAAAATCAAAAATAATTATAAACATACGCACCAGAAATAAACATTTATTTATGAAATCAAAAATAATTTAAAATATAATATAAATGTTGATTAGTAAAAAATAAAAATATTAAAAATAATTATAAACATTTTCGTCAGCAAAAAAAAATTTACAAATTTAAAATTGAATATTAGATTATAGAACCAAAAATTAAAATATTAACTAAATTATAAAAAATTAAATACATTTACACCATCAAAAGATAATAATAATAACAAAATTAAATATAAGTATATATATAAGCAATACCAAATTAATTTAAAAAATTAAATAAAAAACGTTAATAATTAAAAAACCCAAGACTTCTTCACATTTGCTCCACAATTCATCCTCCGATAAAGGGGTTAACAATTTAACATCCTCATCGCTACGGAAATCTAAGAATATAATAAAAGCAAGCAAATAAAAAATAAAGAGACAAAACATATATTTTTTAAAAATGTAATTAATCTGACCTAAAATTAATACTTAAAAATATTGACTATCTTCTTATACCGAAAGGTTATAAATAAACATAATAACTTTCTGACTGATTTTCTTCAAAGTCAGTAAATTTTAAAGTATTGTTATTCAAGTCGATTTCTCGTACTATAAAATCAGAATAACGATGACGGAATATTCCAGAGCAGGCTAGTTATTATAAATAAATAGGAAAAACAAAAAAAGTTATTGATTTAAAATTACGTTGATGGCAGCCAAGAAAATTTTCAATACCGACATCTTTTTCGGAGACAATATTGCTTAATACTTGACTTAAAACCTAATATTTATTATAAAATATGAACACAAAAAAAGGAAAGTAAATTTCATTCTAATTATAAAAATTTACATAAGGTGTAAAAAGGATACAATCATTTGATTTATCTTTAAGTATTTGGTTATCCTGTAAAATTTTCTCTTTTTATTTTAAAGATAACAGAAGTTAATATTGCATCGTTTGTTAAATAACGTTTTCAATAAATAAATTAATAATAATAAAGCTAACTCGAAGAAATCACTACTGGAATGGTAGTTTCTCGACGCTTTGACATTGCGCTACGTCTTTAAATTCTTTAAACTATTGTGTTTTTAAAATAAAAGATTTAAGTTGAACTCATTAAAAGCTTCATGTATTTCTAATAAAATCGGTAAAGCCATGTTAATGCGCCCCAAAGTAAGTCACGTGCTTAGGTATTCACTTTTAAGCATTTTTTTGTGTAAAAGCTAAATATTTTTAGTTTAATTGTTTCGTGTTTCTGTTTACAGTGAGGAGTGAACTGGACTGTTTAAGATGTTAACACTCATATATGCTGTAACACTATTTTTATTCAGTTATATATCTCTATAGTAATTTATCCATTTTATTAAAAACAAACATTTAGTATTAACATACATGTAAGAGCATTGCTGTCGTGATCTACTGTCCAGTCATCCCTTCTTAAAGGGCGGTGGCATTCCTTGATAGAGATAGGCCAGCGGTTCAAATGGAGTGTGCAGTGTAGTGTATTATTGCCCACAATCCACGGCATGTTTGTTAAAAGGCGTAGCAGTTTATTTTGTCGCACTTGGAGTGAGGAACGTTACTGCCGATAAGTGTAGGCCCAAACAGTAGAAGCGCAAAAGACAATACAGCCTTCGCTTATTTACCTTTGCTGCACAGTAGATAATGTGGGGTCTTTTTTTTATAGGTAAAAAGCTCCTTGTTCATTGCTAAGACTATGCTGCGCTTACCAGCACATTAAAGATTGGCCGTTTATATACGAATTTACCGAGATTCGTACACTCCGCGAAATTGCCTGACTTACAATTTGCGTAACGTGTAACGTGTCATATCGGTCAAAAGCCTCCTCCGCGTAGAGAAAGACAGCACCAGTGACTTTCTTAAAATTGAAGACTCTGGTTAATACGACCTTAAAGCAGTTTGGGTTCTATGATGTTAATAACGCATATCGAAGTTCCACTATGTTAAAAAAAAAAGAAAAATGAAAGCGTAAAACAGGCTAGTAAATAAAATTTATAATAACAAAATTTTAAAATAAAGAAAACGAAAATAAGCCAAAGACATTATAAATCAAACTAGGTAGACTAGAAGGTCAAAACCAAACCGAGATTATTAATGGAGAGACCTAGGGCTCGCTTCACTATGAAGAATATAATATGAAGTAGGGGCTTTTTTATATTTATAAATAATAGTTCCTAGTGCTTGATCAAGTCAAAAACTTTGAATACTCGAGCACTCAATCAAGAGTAATTCGCAAACATATTATATAACAGTTTTCGATAGAAAAGGTGTTATTATTTTCGACATTAACATACAAAAACTAGTGCTTACGCGACGTCTCGTGGACGACGGTAACGTGCCCCTTTCCATGACTCGTAAATAAATTCTCACCGGCAGGCAGTTAGTGTGCCTGGCTAGCCTCTCGTAAAGGGCATTAGCATTACGTTGGAGACAACGTCTAAAGGACCTTGTAAAGAGCTTCATTTCGCATAAACTACAACGCGTTTGTCAGCACCGTTGCATACAGATTCTAGTTCTTTCACAGTTTTAAGCATGCCTGATAAATTTTTGTTGTTAAAATTGCTAACTGTTACCATAATGTCGGCTGTGGTTTTTGTTGCTGCTGAGCAGCTTTCGTAGTAGAAGCGTGGCCAGGTGATTTAGAAATTAACGGAATAGTGGATGAGTCTTGAGGAGGTTTTATTCTCAAACGGGAGGGGCAAGAGACCCCGGAGTAACAATATTCTTTGTAGTGAGCACCGACGGAGTGAACTTACCGGGTTCGCTGCTTGCCATCAGGAAGTATTTATAGCCTAGATAATTAGCAGTGGGCGCTTCATTGCGATTCGCACAACTAGCGGGACTATCTCGTGCTTTCGTGCATAGGGCTGTCAAGTGACCCCCGCCACATCGAACCCATCAGGCGGCCGCAGTGCAAAAGCTTGCGGTGTGCCCAAAGGTCTGACAACGAGGGCACTGACCAACGCGATTACTCTTCCTAAGTCCCTACACTCAGATCTGAAGACGGGGGAGTGCACTGGCGAAAAGCACTTCCATCCGCCCGATCTGAGAAGTCAACTTTCTAGGCACTCGGCTAGTACTTCGGTGGGCGACCAGGAGGCAAATCACGTACTGCACTTCCCCCCAGGAAATCAGAACAGACATGATACTACCCTGGGTATGTACGAGCGCCTACTTGCACCCGAATCAAGGCTAAGCGGTCAACGAGTACCGCAAAAGTCGTTAATATAAAAAAAGTATTTGAAGATTGAGAGATTAGTCTTCTGTTCTAACAACTTTTATTCTCAGCACTAAAACTAGTGGTAACGAAAGCTTGCAATGTTCGCCGTTGACGAAGTCCATCGTGTGCACTCGCGCAACTCGAAGGGGAGTGACACCCGGAGCGCGTAAATCCTCCTTAGAGATTAAAGGATCGAGTTCACATTAAATCCCCCGGGGGACAAATATCAAAGACTTTTCCTCAGTTAGTTGATATGTGAAGTATTGAAAACTCCTAAGCACGCATGACCGCCGTTATAGAGCGGTAATCGTTAGCTGTCGTGGGAAATATCTTAACTCCAAGGCGGAAAGCTCTTGATCGTCGGATATTCACGCTGGTGGTTTGCAATAGTTGGTTTAGTAAGGGCCGCTTTTCTTTTACGAATAGAATAACGGGAGCTGTCTTCCTTTTAAAAAATCCGCTTCACTGCCCGTTTGAACGCCTATGGCGTGCTGTAAAGCTATTTGTCGTTAAGAGTTCGTTTTTGCTTGACTCAAAGTAAGTTCTCGCTTTCTTCTAATATTTTAAAGTCTGTGACTGACCTAGAACTCTGCCAGCTAGCTCACTTGTGCGTGTCCTAGATTTAGGAAAATAACACAAGTTACAAAAATTTAGGTTGAACTTAGCGCTCCAGCAGCAAATAATCATATAGTTAAAATATTTACCCTGAGCGACAAAAAGTGTATATTTTATTAGTATTGCAAAAAAATATGAATATTTATGTATAAATCAAAAAAAGAGTGGCAGAGGAAATCTAATAAAGGACAGGTACAGGCCTACCAAAGGAAGGCTCCCCACTTTAAATCGAAGTCAAGACTATATGGTCTACCTGAAAACTATTCCAAAAAAGTAAAATCAGTTATCCAATAGGATCTAAATCTTCTGCTAATCTTGCGTCCAAAAGTGTATAGGTGTTATTTTGAAATTTGTGAATGGTTGTGATTGGGTTGTTTTTTCTTCCCAACCACTAAAACATGGTATTTTTTCAGTTCTTATAAACAATTTACCTAACATATAACTAGTGGGGATATTTGCTAATATTTTAGTACTCGAAAAGTTAAACACTCATCCTCTTTTTTTCTTCTTTTATATTCTTTCTATAATTAGCAAATGCGAGTTAAAGACTGATTATCTGTTGAGGAAAAGTTCCCAGTTCATAAGTTTTAACGCGAATTACCTTTTTAGGATATTTTTATCATTTAGATTATTTCATCGCTTAGTTGTTAGCATATAATAATGAAGGTCGACGAAAAATAAACGGCAGTCGTGTTGATTTTTTTTTTAGTGGCTTTTTTGTTTAGTCACGTCTATACATCTCCACTATACATATAAATTTGTTTACAATTATTTTTAAAAGGTTTAAAGATTTAAATACCAGGAATTAAAGGTTTAGCTACCCTAACATTATCTACTTTAATATCATTGAAAATTTAGAAGTGGAGGCCTTTTGTTCTGCCTAGGAGTCACAACGGCTTTCTGTTTTTTTTTTTTTGAGTTAACGAGACGGTCGCTATCTCACTACGGTGTCTAATAAATATAACTGAAGGTAGAGTACAGTGAGGTTTTTGTTATGTTGCTTAATCGGAGCGATTTAAGTAAAAGTAATAAATATACTAATTAAATTCAAAACCTTTGGGAAGTTAAACACTTTTCACTTTCTCCCCTGAGTGCTCACCTGTTTTATAAGTCGATGCCTTAATAAATGATTTCCTGGCCCTTCGGGGTGGGCGTCACTTTTTGGCGTTGTGGAAAATCTAACAGGTTAAAAGTCCCAATGCCCTACCGTGAGACAGAGAAAAGGGTATTTTTAGAGTCAGATTACTCAACTTAAATGCTATGCTAAACATATTACTAGATGTTACAAATAAAAAAACGAGTAACTTAATTTTATTTTGTCCTACATAATAAATGTTTATTACAAGGAGGATTAACTCAAGTTATAACTGCATGTAGACTGAAAAATTTGCTGCGGTGAAAAAAAAGGCCACTCTCGGGGAAATATTTCTGTATACTTTAACTAACTATTGCAAATAAAGATGAGTATGTACTACCCTTTAAAAATATTTGTATTATACAATTAGAAGGGGAAAATTAAAAAAATTATGTATAAAGTTAAACATACTTGTACAGAATATTGTTTTATCGAACCTCATTTTAAGGTGTTTGGGCCACTACGGCGGTTATTAGACAAATTCATTTTTCCTTAGTAACAAACGAAAGTAGTAAGAGTCATAGTAGAATTTTGGTTTTTCAGCCCGTTAACGTTTTTGAAGTTAGATTCTTAAGTATTTTTCGTGTACATTTGCTTATTTTTTTTTTAACACAATAAATTAACTATTTTTAATTTTGAAATGTTTACGTATAATATTTCTATAGTCTTTCTTTATTAAAAATGTCTTACTTTCACCTGTTATAAATTTACTCTTTGTCAAGAGTTTTATTAAAAATCAGAAATAAAGCTGAGACGAAATGTGCAACTTGGTTACACTATTATTTTTATTTGTTTAATAATTATTACTATCCTTTTTAGCTTCCTTTTAGCAAATACTTAGTTAAGTTCAAGGATCTCCAAGGAAACATAAAATATGGGGAGCCAATTCTAACGCCCTCTTTAACTATTCAAGTCATAAAAGATTTAAACGGACGACTTATTGATTTTTCCAGCGTTGTATGTTTTATTAGCGGTTAATTCAAACGCAGTGGGGATATTAAATTATAACTCAAACTTTTTTTTTACAAGTCTTCTATTTTACCGCCCGTCTTTCCTCCTCAAATATTTTGCAACGGTTTAAATTATAAACAGCATTGCTTGGAGGTTATAGAAATATTCTATTTTTATTATTTAAGACTTCATTAATTCTTTTTAGGTGAATTTAGAGTTTCCAAAACTTCCTGTCGTTGTTTTTAAACTTCCTCAATCTGTAATCGGAGATAACCGTGAACTTTATAAGATTATTTTAAACAATTTTAATTTATAATGTGCCTTTGTAGAGCAAATCATTATCCCTAAATGCGCCCAAAGCAAGAATGAAGTCGACTATGAAGGAGAACTTGCAGTTATTATAGGCAAACGAGGGAAGGTTTTAACTAAATGTTGGCTCGTTAAACAAATTTTTAAAATTGTTTAAGAATATAAGAGAAGAAGATGCTTTAAATTATGTTTACGGCTACACTTGCGCCAACGATGTGAGTGCCCGTAGATGGCAAGGTTTTTTTTTATTGTTTGCTCTTGAGATTATATAAAAATTTCGATCTTTTTTTTTTATAAATTTTCTTGATTAATTTTCTCTTAAGGTAAAAAGAATGGAAATCAATGGTCACGCTGTAAAAGTTTTGATACTTTTTGCCCTATTGGACCCGTTATTGTGATAAACTTTTTCTATCTAACTTTTTCAAATTAACTTAGTTTTACTTTTTACTCCCATCTATGTCCAATTTTATAAGTTATTAAATTCTATTAAATGTAAATTGTTTTTTTACGTAATATTATTCTATTATACATTGATTATATTTAAAAATAATTATTCATATAAATTATATTTAATTCAAATATTATTTTACTTTTACGAATTGTTAATACTCTTCTTTGCTTTTGCTTTATCCATTTACTTCCCAGCGAAATTTCTTTTACTATTTTCTGAAATCCTCGAACAAATGTTATAAACTTATAAAATTTATTTCAGTTTTCTTTAACTGAATAAAATTTTTGTATAATTATAACTAACTTTAGGCGTCTCCCTCGATTATCAAAAACCCTAACAATTTAAACATCCGCACATTTCTCAATGGCAAAATAGTGCAGTCTTCAAACACATCTAATATGGTTCTGATATTATATTATTTTTAATAAATAAATAATAATAATACTAATTAAGATCTTCAGTGTTCAACGACTGATTCATGAAGTAAGCAAAGGAACAACTTTGCTTCCGGGTATAGAAACTTTTTTTTACTAAATTAAATTCTTCTTATATAATTTTTGTATATAGAAACTTGGTTATTAATAATCCTGTAATTAAATTTAGTTTTTAAGTAAGCAAGTACTTTTATAAAATAACTTGATTTTCTATTACTTTATTAAAAAAATAAATTAAATTCTTTTTTTCGAGTTTTATTGTTTAGAGAATTATATTTTTATTATTTTATTATATCTTTGAGAGTTTTATTAAGTTTTATAATTATAAGGATCTCTGATTCTCACGGGGACCCCCGCTGGAGTGGGTTTAAGCAGAAACGAATTCTTGAAAGAAAATGATCGTTGCGAAATCGAAATTGAGATGATCGGCAAACTTTGCAATACAGTCGCCATTGAGCAGTAAAGTAGTCAATAAAATTAAAAGTTTTCATTATAAAGCAGAGCCTTCCTCTATCAAGTGGTTTGGGCGGTGACAGTCACGTGAGTTATTTTTACTTGCACTTCGAGCAACTTACTTGGTCGAAATTCTCCTGCACGGGTCAATAGCAGTGCATTGTGAGCTAAACAGACCAGTAAGATTATTAAATTTACTTGAAGAGTGTTTTGCCCCTCCACACAACTAGAATGATAAGCATGCCCGCAAAGAAATACGTGGAGGCTCCCGTTAAGTTCTTTTTATTATTTTATTATTAATAAAAAAATATATATTATAAATTTGGGGATCTTGAGACTTTTCTACTAAAAAAAACCTTGAAAAAGATTTTTTCCGCACGAAGCGCACGAGGTGTTTGCTAATAATAAAACTTTTGACTTAATACTTTTTTTATTTAAAAATCTTTTACTTACCATCAAAAAAAAAGCCGCGACTTGAGGCGCAGTAAAGCTGCTCAAAAAGTCGGAAGCGGTCGGCCGTCAGCGCTCGCTCGCACGCTTCCATCAGTCCGACCTCCGTGGCTGCCAGTCAGGCGGCGCTAAGCATTGAATAAAAACGTCACAGCGAATCACCTGCGAGTGGTAGTCGTCCAGCACGTGGGCTAATGACTTGAGAAGACCTGAGATAAACCGCCCAATAGATAAAAAGTTCACACTATCTAACGCCAGTAGGTTGGCTGCTTACCTGGCACGACAAGTCCGGAGGGGATGCGTTCAACCAATGAAATAACGTCAATATGTTTTCGTGCGTTCGTTAAAAGGAACTTTATATACTCTAAAATAATTTAAAATAAATTAATATAAACTGCACCACTGAGAATGCGAGACCGGGTCGCTTCAGCGAATACGAAACTAACTCCTCCCACAAGTCTTCATCATTCTGTTCTTTAGCAAACTCCGTCGCCTGAATCAATAGTGCAAATATGTATTCAGGGAAGTGTCAAAGAAAACTCTTTAAATATACCCAAACATCACTAAAATATGATACAATGATCATATATATATTAAGAGCGCGAAAGTTCTACACCCATATTAATACCTTAGAAATATCACCAATCGTGTCAAGAATAAGTCGTAAAGCACTTTTATTATCGCCTATTTTACCTATAAATAGGTGGCAAAAGAGATGTCCTTTTGTTAAATAATGCAGTTTAACTCCTAAATTGAAGCCACGAACCTAATAAGTACACCATTTCGGGGACCAATGAATGGCGCTTGCAAGTTTCGTAGGCCTTCAGTAATAAATTTAGTTCTACGCTCAGCGAAAAACAGGAGAGTCCGAAGCAAACCTCCTCGAGATTATAATAGCGGCTGTCCTCTAAGAAGGGCAGCAGCTTTGAGGGATCGTAACTTGCGTATAAGTCAACCTATCGGAATAAAGTAAATGGTCTCAAGAGCTACAGTAATAATTATTATTTTTGAATTATTTTAATATGCAAATACTAAACAATAGTTTTTATAAATTTCATAAAATATATTAAAATATTTTGTATTTTTATGATAAATTTTTTTTTAAACTATTTGAGCAGTTTTAAAATAAGCTTATAATATTTATTATAAATATAATTTGAAAAGAAAATGGTACTTGCAACTGATGATAGTCACGGCCGAGAGCATTATCAAAAGTAAAAAGTTTGTCTAAAAAGAAAAGTAATAGCTCTTTATTTTCTGTAAGATTTTCCACAATGTCGTCTATCTAGTTTTTTTTTGCAAAAAAAAAAAGGAGAGGCTAATTAATGTTTCTCTTACTAAATTAAAAAAAATAATACAGAAATAGTAGTAATATTGCGGAGAAAATATGCTACTGTCTGCTGTCTATCCAGCCTCATTAAAGGCAAAAGACTTTTTTGAATCGACAAAGAAAAATTATAAGCATTTAGCAGTCGGAAGGATTCATCTAGAAAAGCAAAAAAAATTAAAGGAGAAAAAAAAAGATATAAAAAAGTTTACTGCTCCCGAGTTTAATGTAAACTTGAAGAGCTTCTTGGTACTGCTGGTTATATTCGTATCTGCAAATTTTATTTATTTTATACAAGAAATGTTAACATAAAATTTCTTAGTAATGTTTATAAGTTATATACAGTTTTGCTACAGAGGAAGAAAGACAGTCGGCAGAAGATTTCTTAAGCTGCTCTTCATATATAATTGAAATAAGTTTGGGAACGTCGTAGATATCACTAGGCCATCCCTCGATAAGTTCTTCTAGCAACTGATATATATATTATATATATAGATGGTCGCGTGAGGTCTTTTATTATTAAAAAAGTCTCAGAAAACCTGATAGTTTTGGCAAAGCAGCAAATTTTGAAGTACTAAATTATATATGTCTTCGGTAAGTTTTGGTGTACGAGTTGGTATAAGTCCAGCAATATTCTGCTCGGGAGGAACAAGAAATAGAGAGGCCACTCAATAGCGTTATAATAAAGGACGAAGGTACGGGCAACGCGTCAACTTCTATAAACCGGTGAACCCACGTGGCCCACAAAAGGGGGTCATCGCAGAAAATTCGAGGGCAGAGGTCGGCAGCCTTCGCATATTTCCGCTCTTGAAACAGTTTGGCCAGATACTCGAGGCCAATGCTAACCAGCTATGATTATAATACAAGGTTAACTTTAATGATACTCATAAAAGCATGGTCCTCGTGGGCAACCATATGGAAATCGACAAGGCCAAAGTGAAAAGCTTCCTCAGCTCGTTCGAGCGCAAGTTCATGTAAACTAACGGGAGTTGGCTTGAGTTTGGAAGAAAGGTTTAAAGGCTACAGACCACTACGATTTTTGCAGAAGCACCGTGAGTTGGTCCTCGATGTCACGTGGCCTAACTAGCCCAACTTCCGTTGAGGAGATAATGACGAAAAGTGGGGCCGATGCTGACGGGATCAGGTCGAGCGTTGAAATGGTGTGAAGGGAAAACTATTATACACTCAACTTAGATGCGCAAGGCAGCAAAATGCCGAAGTGAGAGGGAAAGAGAGAAGCTCCTTCTCGGCTGCATCGTTTTCGTACCCGCGATAAGTGAGGGAAGCAGCAGCTTCGCGGTCCTATCAAACCCCAAAGTTCAGTAAATTCTGTAAACTTTTTAGAGAATAATTGAACCAATAAACGGCGAGAAAGAACGCAAAAACCGCGCGGAAATGGCGCAATTCCTTAACCAAAAAATTGTTTATATATACGTAAAAGTAAATTAATGGCACAATCAAAAAAATGTAGACCACAGATGAGAGATTTCCTTTCGTACGAAGCAAGGATTTCAACTCTCCGTTTTTTAAGTGCGGAGCTTTCTTTCGAATGCACAATATAAAGCACCTTAATAAAAAGCAGTCTTAAGAAAAACCCAATAACAGCAATGATAATAACTTTTATAAATATCTTCCAGGCCAGTATGAAAGTGTCGTTGTCGATCCAACGCAAGTAACAACTTTAGTAGATATTGAAAATCTTTAAACTATTAATACTAAAAAAGAAGTAAAGCTTTCTAACCAAAAGTCTTTATCGCAAGAAAAGTCGGTATAAGGAAATGTTAAAATGATTTTCTCACTGGCAGTGTCGCAAACTGTTAGACCCTTATAGTTTCAGAAATCTAATTTTAGCTGGGAAGTAAATTTTTGGTAGTTACCGTGGGATTTGCCCACACGAGGTAAGTTGAGTTCCACACAATAGCAAAAACGTTAACCTCATAATTGCTTAAAACTGTTGCTTTATTTCTAAGCCAACCTCGAAATTAAAAAGTTTATATGGCTTAAAAGGCAATGTGCATAACATATATAAATTTTTTTTTTTTAATAAAATATAACTAATACTTTTTTTTAATATTAAAATTATTCACCTTTCGTATACGATACAAGTTTTCCTTCAGAATTTCTAAAAACAATTTTTCTTTCAGTTTCCCTTTTAAAATTAGGCGAAATGCCTTTTGAAAGAGATTACGCAGTATTAGCAAAATAATTTTAATAATTTAAAATAAAATTAGATCTTGCATAAGTCGCTGTCAGGAGAATAGCCCGTTATGCTCAGAAGAATTGAATGTTTACATATTTCATATACAACAATCTTTGGAGAAAAAAAATATTATTTATTATATACAAGCTTATTTACTAAATATATAAATATTGAAATAATAAAAAAGTAAAATTTTGGCAAGTAATTTAATAATAAACAGAATGTTTATATTCCTATTAACAAATCTTTAGTTAAACGAAGTTGATTAAGTACTATTTCGTCGCCCCCGGCACTTGCTATAAAGTCTCCACTGTCATCAAAGCAAAGATAATTTACCTATTTTTACTATAATAAACATAAATTTTTTATAAATACAATAATTAAGGCTACTTTTTTAGTATGACAAGAGAAGGAGTCTATAATGTTCCCTTTAAAATCAATTATTAGTACAGCTCCCTCGGTTGTCCCTAATTTAATTAATTGGTTAAAACTTTTACTCTTTATAAAGATGTTGAAAAAGCTACTTTAAGAAAATTTCATATATTAAGAATGATAAAGTTCCTTTAATAGTAAAAAAATGAGATGGTGAACGTATAAAGTGATAAAAATCTACCGATGGCAATTATTTTCTCGTGAGCAGCTAATGCGGTAGCACTTCGCTTTATAAAACGGAAGATTTAACTTTTATTACGTTTAAAAGAAAAAAATTTTAGTTAAATACCTTTAACAAAACATTCTCTATTGAACCCTGAAGTTTTTCATAGTAAAATTCTAAGTGTTCCAAAGCTAGTAAAAATAAAAGTTACATTTTAAAAATTTAATTAAGGTACGTAAAAATATATTCTATAACTAAAAAATGAATTATTGTCTCTATTCTTCATAGTTTGTGTATTACTCCCTTTTTAATATAACAAAAACTTTAAATGTAACATCGTTGAGTTAAACTTTTGACAAGTACATCACTATCATAAGAGCTGTGGCGGTTTTATGGGGTATAAATAACTGAAGGGGGTTATAGTTTATTTGACTTATTATAAAAAGTTTTTCATTTTTAACCTAAACAAAAGTAGTAAAAAAAAAATTCAAGCAATAGTTTTATAACTGCTAATATTACTCTACTAGTAATCAGTTTTTAATTGAAATGTAAAAGCTTTTCTATTTCGAATATTTAATGAAATTTCCTTTTAATCTTTCACACCGAGCTGTACAGTCGTGTAATTCATCTTTTGAGTATTATCCCAGTAAAGAATTTGAATTAAACAATAGACTATCACACTCATTTTCAGAAGATCTGAATATTACATCACCATTTGAAAAGAAATATATAGAAGTTGAAATAAGCGATTGCTCTTTAAAAACTAAAAAGGGTGAAGTCATTGTCTAAAGCTTATCAATTTTATTTTAACTTTATTTTTCGTTTCTAAATTTTTAAAAGTTTATGAAGATAAAATTTTCGTGGATAAGGATTTTTCTCCAGCACCTTTAGATAACAAGGTTAAAATAAAGTAAGTTGTACTACAGAATTTTGGTACGTTAAGAAAATCTTTTTTTTGCAGCTTGAATATTATAAACAACTAAAAGATTTACAAGAAGAAAACGAGCAGTTGAAAAGGCAGCTTGCAATTTACACGGAAAATGTTAATACTAAAAATTTCAATTTATCTTGAAAGTACGTAAATTTCTATAATAAGGTTTTGAAGTTAACAAATGAAAACGAGGAAAGCCTTGCTTTGGTTAACTATCAGAAAACAGATATAATAAAATATGAAGAGCAATTAAAAATTAGCCAACTTGTAATTTCCAACGAAATTTAATTTTTTTTATTTTTTTATTTTTTTATTTTTTATTTTGTTTTAAGAAAAACAGAAAATTAAAAGAGCAACTGGAAGAAGCACTGCTCAAAATAGACGGCCTAAATTCATTAAACATTGAATTGGCCGACTGCAGAAAAATTGCAAAAGAATTTAAAATGAACCACTCTTTATCCCAACAAGAAATTCGACTTCTAGTGCAAAAATAATTTTTTGGATTTTTTTATTTTTTAATAAAAATCTTAATAAAAATAATTATGAAAATAATAAAAAATATCAAACTTTGAATATTGAAGAGGTGATCTTTTAATTTTCCTTTTTTTTTCTTAAGAATAACCGAATAAAAGAATTGGAAGTAAAGTCCCAAGACGTAAATGAATTGCAAACGAAGATTCAAAAACTGAAGCATTTGGTTCGAACCACAAGAACTGATCTTTTTGCTGCTCTTGAAAAGGTTATTTTTATTTAATCTTTTCTACAATAGTTTTAATTTATTATATAAAAGTTTTGTTTAAAATTCTTTTTATTAATTGAGTTTTTAAATTTTTTAGAAATAATTTTTTTTAATTATTATTGTTCTGAATGACAATGAAAAGTTCTGTTAACAAAATTATTTTTTAATAAATTTCTACAAGTAGATTAAAGAAAAAGAAGAAATTATTCAAACTTCCGTCGAGGAAAACAAAAAACATCATGAATTACTACTGGCCGAGCTATCTTTAAAAGAGCAAATTCAAGAAAAATTAGAAGTTATATAAAAAATCTTTAATATTTTCTAATTTCTAATAAATTTAAATTTTTATTATTTAGAACGAGCGCTTGAAAGTGTCTACTCTAGAGCACGAATTAGCCCAAAGCGAGGAATCTCATCGTCAGATAACTGCGTGCTTGGAGGAGGATCTCAGCCGCGCCAACGTTGTCTTTCCTTTTTTTTAGAATAACCTCTAAAAAAAAAATTTCAGGCTAAACTGGAAGCACTCGAGATTAATTTTACCAAGTACAAAACACGTGCTCAATTCATCCTGAAACAAAAAAGTATTCTATTTTTTAATGTACATTAAATTTTTTTTGTAATAAATAATTTTTTTAAAGCTCCGTTTCCAGTGCTTTCAAACCCTTCGGAGGTTTTTTTAAAAGAAAAACTTATAAAAAGTTTTTTCTTATCCATTTTATTAAAGAATTTACAACAGAAACAACAACTGGATGCCGTTTGTGCGGAATTGGCCATTTGGAAAAAAACGTCTGAGAAATTGCGCGTGCGCAGATGCTTTTATAATTTTTTTTTGGTTATAAAATTATTTTTACAGCAAAAAATGGAACTACTTGAAGAAGAAAATTCCTTTCTCGCGCGCTCTTCTGCTGAAAAGCAGCAGAAGCTCAATTTTGAACTTCAGAATTCTCAACAAGAGATCTCGAGATTTAAGCAACTTCATAAAGTTTTCTTATATTTTTTTATAATTAACTAATTTATTTATTATTTTTGTTATGGTACATATTCCCGTTAACGTTAAATAAATTATTATAAATTTATAAATTTTGGAGTTAACTTTTTACCATATTTATTTTATTAGAAAAAAAAAGTTTTGATCTGTTAAAAAAATGTTATATTTAAACTTTATAAAGAAATTATTTTTTTACACATTTTCATTTTTAAAATATCAATTATCTAAAAAAATTTAAAATCGTTTTTCTACATTTATATTATTTTTATTAATAAACTTTTTAAATTATTATTTTTTTTAAAAAAAATTTCTTTTTAAAATTTTAACAAATAATTATAATTCTCCCCTCAAAGAATTATTCTTTAAAATTTTATAAATGTATTTTTATAAAATTAATGTTTTCGATTTTAGATTTAATAACTCGAAATTTTTTATTAAAATAATTTAGTTGATTTACTCTTTTGTCTTAATTCTATTAAGATTATTTTGTAACTTTCATACAGGAAACGTATAATAAATTATTTTTAAAAAAAAAAGTTAACTTTTTTTAACTAAGTAACTTTCTATAAAAATTGTATTATAAATTTTTTTTTAGTTTTTTAATTTATATTATCTCAAATAATTTTTGGGATAAATAACATTTTTATAAATAATTATTTGGTTCTTGTAATTTTCTTTTTTATATATTTCTATTATTAAACTTAAAATCCTCGTATACAACGTTCTTTTAACTTTTATTAATAATTATGCTTGGATTTCTGGACAACAAAGTTTGTTATAATTATAAATATATTTCAATTAAGTTATTAAATAATTTATTTTCAAATTACCCTTTAATTTTTTTTTCAAAGGAATTTTTGTGTTCATAGTTTTATTTATAATTTTATATCTTTCACAAAGACTATATTTAAGAATTTTATTGGATCTGTAGGGTTTACTTTTTTCCCTTTAAATTTTTTTTGTACAAAAGTTAAATAAAAAATATTATAATTACTACATTATAATGAAATTCGAGTTATCAATAATAAGTGTTATTAACGTTTTATTTTTTTGTTTTATAGATTTTTAGGTTATCAAAGTTTTTTAATTAATTTAAAAATTTTCTTTAAAAAAAATTAATTTTCAACTTTTTAAAAAATTTAATTGTAATTCAGCATCAGTAAAATTTATTTATAACAAGTTTTATTAAGTAGATTCAATGAAAGATAAGTTAATAAACTTTACTTGAATATATTTTCATCTATTTTCAGTGTCTACAAAGTTTTCTTTATAATAATTTATTATTATTATTTCGTTTCAGACTCTGCAGGAAGAACTTGAAGCACTGAAACACACTTCCATCCAGATGGCCTCTTTAGAAAAGTCTCTCGAATCTTTAAAGCAGGAAAAAAAGGATTTATTAAAAAAAGTTTTTTTTAATTTTTTTTTAATTTTTATTTTCTTTAAATTTATAAACAAATTAATTATAAAATTTATATATAATAAAGATTGAGAGCATGGAAATTTCGCTGGAAAATATAGAAAATCAAAAAGTAATTTTACTATAACAACAATTTTTTTATATTTACTTTATTATTAATAATAAATATTATTATTTAGAGCCTTGAAGAATCTACTCTTTCTCTAGAAAAAAAAAGTTTTTTTTTATTACAATTAAATTTTTTTTCTGAAGTAATAAACTTTTGCGTTCAGCTTACTTTGCTTATATAATTATATTTATGTATTAAAAGCTTCGCAAAGTTTTGAAATTTCCAATTCTTTGCCGTCCGATGATTCTCAAGTTTTATTATTATTTTATTATATTTATTTACTAAAATTTATTACTAAAAGAAAGTACAATATAATAATGATAATGATAAGCCAGTAACAATTTAAAATCTATATAATGTATGTAATAGAAATAAATGGGTATGTACTAACTTTTAAGAAACAAATTAATCACGTGGTTAGCAAGCTCCAACTAATCGGGTCGCTCAGCTTTGCGGGACGTCCGCCCGAAACACCTTCCTATTGGAGGATAACCTCGCTGATCTTCAGTTGAAGGTTTTCTTAATGAAATAAAATATTTAATAATGATTACTTTTTTTACTGGATAACTTTTTAAAAAAAAGTTAATAATTTTTTGTTGAATATAATAAATTACGCGTTTATGTAAAGCTCGAGCACGTGTCCAGTTTGCTGGAAGACTCGAACGAACTCGTTCGGAAACACGAAGATCAGAATGTTCGTGTTATTGTTCTATTGAGTATTATTAATTATATCTTTTTACTTATATATACTTATTTTTTTAATAAAAAGATTGTCTTGAAGAAGGAAATTCGTCGTTTGGAAGAAAATAACTGTCGCAAGGAGCGGTATTGTAACTTTTACGAACAATAATGATATTTAATATTTATTAAAAAAATAACGTGAATGTTTAGTTTTAATTATGAATACTTGAAAAACATTCTTTATAGTTTTTTGGATGCAAAAACTCCGGAAGAAAGAAAACCATTATTATTGGTTAAAAAATAATAATTAAAAAATAATTTATTATATTTTTAGTTTATGTTTCTAGGTGTTTGGCCAAATGCTACTTTTTAGCGCCGAGGAAATGGCTCGTTTATTGGAACGGTAATGTTGCGCTTTTATACGATTGATTGGTTTCTGATTATTTTTAACAACGCCAGATACAATTTGTTTGAAGAGGCCAATAAGAATGAAGGAAACGGTTGGAATTTTTTTGGGATTTGATATTAGTAAAAAAAAAAAGGAAATTGCGCCATACGACGCAGAAGCTTATTATATATTTTTGTTGCTGCTATAAAACGTTGTTTAAGTTTTCTGGAAAGAACACAGCTTTTTTTACTGAATAAATAAAGCATCAAAAAATTATAAGAAAAACAAATTTTAACAAAAAAAAGAAATTGCTTTTTTCACAAATTTATTATTTTATTTTTATTAAAGTTACATTAAAACTTTATGACGACAACAATGAAGTTACTTTTATATACAAATTTTTAATTTTAGATTTTTTATAAAGGTCTTTAAAACTTCACGGCGAGAAAGGAATTTTTTACAAGTTTTTTATATATATCAAAAAAGCCACTCGTCTCAATAAAACATTGTAACAGCCAAAAAATTTCTTTTTGCACAAGTTACCTTTTTTTTATTTTTATATAAGTAATTACTCCCAAAGAAAAACTTATTAAAACATGACGGCAAAGAAAATACTTTTTGTACAAATAATATTTATTTCTATTAAGTTATTACTTCTAAGGAAAATCTCAATAAAACATATTGACGATAAGGATATTTTTTATTCATCCAAGTTAATTTTTTTATATTTCCCTTTAAATCGCTAAGTCTACTATAAGTTTATTATTTTTATAAAATTCACAATAAACTTCCTGCGAGAGATCTCTTCAATTATTTTTTACAAAGTATTTTTTTTATTTTCTTAAAAATTACTTTAAAAAAAAGTTCACAACACTTCATGACGATAAATATATTCCCTTTTTTTTAATATTTATAATAATTGTGAATATACTCTATGAGTCATAAAGCAACAACGCGATAAAGAAATTTCATTTTTTTATAATTTTAAATTTTTTTATTATGAGAGTCCTCACTTTAAAAAAAAAAAAGCTCTAAATCTTGACAAAGAAAAAAAAAATTTCTTTTTATACAGTTTACTTTCATTAATAACATAAGTCATTTTTTTAAAGAAAGTTCTTATTTCAACAATCTACAAAGAAACTGCTTTTTTTTCAAGTTTTATTAATATTTTTATAAAATTCTTTCTGTTGTAATAAGTTAGAAGAGAAAACCTTATTTACTTTTTATTGGTTTTATAAAGGGATTTCAGAAATTACTAAAAGGTCGAACACCTAAATTGTAGCGTTGTTTATTGAAATATAATTTAGTAAAAATTACCGAATGCATTAAAAACTACACGAAATCACGAGTAGATAATTTCGTAAAAAATTTCTTTTATTGTATAAAACCAGTTATAAAAATTAGCTTTTTGAATTCGATTCTCAGTTACTTGGTGAAAGCTGGATTATCGTTTATGTAAATTATCTGTAAGTAACTAGCGAATAACTATGAAGCTTCGCCTTCGATAGTAAGCTTTTTTTTTTAATCTTGCTGCTTGCGCAGAAATAAGAAAGTTAAAGAACAATAGCTTTCCATGAAGCTTACAAGTAATCTGTTGGGGGGAACCCCTTGAAAAAAATTGTTTCAACTATTACCAAGAATTACGTACTAGCACCCAAAAGAGGGCTTTACAGAAATATCTGAATTAAAACAACTAGAACTTAAAGAAAAGTAAGGCGCAGGTAAATTTTATATTAGCTACTGAAGCTTTTCGTTACTTGCAACCAGATATCTATTTATTAAAAGAGAAGTGTATAATAGTTTACAGTCAAAAAAAACCGCATTTATGTATAGAGCGACTGAATTTCTAATATTAATAGTTTTAACTAAAGTTTGTTACTACAGTTTATCAACCTTGGCCACACAAAACCTTTAAACTTTACTTTTTGAAAACAGAAGCTAATAAACAAAAGTTATGTTTAAGTCTTTATATTCTTAGTTACTCAGTACAATAATATAAAATTTACTTTTAAAAGAAAGAAGCTATATATAAAATTTTTTTTTATATGAATTCTGTCAAGAGGCCCTTCAATACCGTATGAATTTAAAATTTACTTCTAAAAAAAAAGAAACTAATAGTATATAAAATTATTTTAAATGATTTTTAATCTTTATGCATCTTTATTCAAAGAAATCACATAACCTATTCTACGCAATACTTCTCTCGCAACCGTTTAAAAAAATTTATAAATACAATACATACACGCGCACCCCCCCCTTAATATTAGGTGTCCCCCTGTACACCCGTGTCTTAACTAGTATCTAAAAATGTTTCTGTTTTTCTAGCGATGAGCCTTCTAGAGACCGTACCAGAAAAAAAGCCTTCTGCTGAAGAAAGAAGGCAGAAAATAAAATTAAAAGTTCTAAATAATGAAGTGAACAGACTAAACAAGTTCCGCCTTGCGGATAATTTATTAGAACAAAAAGCACATACTCAGCCTCAAGGTAGTTGCTTGGTATAAAGTTAGTAAAGAAAATTGTTTATTAAAAGTATAAAAAAAGAATTACAATAAGCATCTAATAGTTATACAAAGTATTAACTATTGACTAGATCCTTTAAAGACTAAAAAAATAGTTATCTATTATAAGTTTTGAGAGAAGGAATTGCAAATTACTTTTAATAGTTATGCAAAGTTATCAACTGTTGATTAGTTTTGCAGGGGATAAATCTTTTATAAGTTTAAACAAAAAAATCTTAAATAGCATTTCATAGTCATAATAAAATATTAACTATTAAATAGATTCTCAAAAAATCGAAAAAGCAAATAGCTTTTCTTCTGCAGAAACCACCCATTTTGCTTCTGAAGTTCGCTCGCGCAAGATAGCAAGTAAAGTTATAGATGAAAGTATATTAACTCCCCTACAAGAAAATTCTTTTGATCTGGTCTAATCTTAATATTTTAAGACTTATAAATTATTTTATTTTATTTTTATAGGAAACAGTTAAACTCACGGATCAAGCAACTATTGTTAGACTAACTTAATTTATTTTTCAATACATTCATTGATCCTTTTATATTTATACTTGTTGTACTTAAGCTAGCGAAAACCGCTCGTCTTCGCTTAGCTCTATTGATTTTTACTGCATTTGCTTTCGCTTGTTTACTTCTTTTTCCGAAGCAAGGTTTAATTCTCACAAGATACAAAATTCAGGTTTTACTCTACGTTTGCTCAAAAGTTAATTTATCATTACGAATATTTTCTTTACAGAATATTTTTGGGCCTTTTATAATTGCGGAGATGATTGCGTTGCTTTTTCAGTATCATTTAAAATTTAAGCTTATTTTGAAGGTTCTTCTTTTTTTCTAATTTCTTTATCAGTCTTTATTAATATTTTTTTTAATAAAATTGAACTAGCAACGCAATCTAATTGGGAAAACTTTTTTTATCTATAAAGTTGCGAGATGCGTATTTCTGGAGTTTTCGGTTTATCTAACTTTCTTTTTCCTTTTCATCCATCTTTTTTAAAACTAGAAATAAAAAGCGGTCGCAATTATTTCTTAAATTTTATAATATTATTTAAATTTAAATTTAATTTTTTTTTACTAAATTTTACACTGCATAAACAAAGAGCCTTTTTATCATTTTTCATTTTACCAAAAATTTATAAGAAAGTTTATTTTTTGCTTTTATAAAAATCCACGACGTGCCGAGCTACGGCCAGTGGCTCTTCCAAGGGAACATAGTGTGACGCCTTCGGGACTACCGCAGAACTACCTGAAAAAAAATTAAAATTTCAAAATTTAAAAAAAACTGCGAGTCGTGGTGCGCTTTGAAAAATACCTTTACTCATCCTTTCTGAGATCGCCTTCCATTCCGTTAAATTAAGAAATTTTGATTCCGAGCCGGTCAACACCTTTCAAATTTTTTTAATTTAAAAATTAATAGATTTCCGAAGCATCTTAAAATCTGCTCAACTTTTACCAAAGAAGGGCAAAGAATGGACGATATTTTATCGTACATGGTGTGTGAGGCTAGTCGATGGATCTTTTTTATTTTTATTATGGATCTAAATTATTTTGATTTCAACAAAAAACGTATACGCTTGACTCATTTTGTTTGGAACATTTAAGATGCCAATCACCGTCTTCTCGCTGCACCAGTCCTCCCTCAAAAATTAAATTATTTTTATAAAAAAAACTTAGCACACCCCACTTTACATCTATATAAGCGCATAAAGCAAGCGGATGCCAGCTTTTAAATGGCTCTACTTTAGACATGTGATCCTTCGCCGCTTTTTTGGAAGAAAAAGATTCTAAAATCTTATAGTTAATTCCTTTAAAAATACTTAATTAGTCTAGAAGGTGCACACCTCTACGCAGGAGAGCCCATTCTGCTAAGTCCGTAAGTAAATCGTTGTAGTACGGAGGAGGGAACATAACGGGTTCGATCAAAATTAGATGGGAGAAAGTTCCTGGCTATATTCGGTAGTGCAAGAGCCAAAGAAGGTGAGACCAGGTGAACACTTACTTTCATATACTCGGCCATTGCTAGTGCGGTAGCTCTTTTTAAAAAAAGTTGACATTATTATTTTAAAAGGAAATTTGAATTTATTAAAAGTAATAATTCTTCGGAGCAATTTTTTTTAAGAAAATAGATTTAAACAAAAGCGCCATCGCAGTGAAGTGCAGATACTACAAAGCTTTGGAGGGATCATACTAACCCCATAGAATGGCCAATACCAACGCGCTTTTGGCCGATGGATGGCGGAGAAAGATCAACCGTTTCGCCATTTAACGAAAATCCAACTCCTAAATCAAATTTTTTTTTTAAAGGTTTAAAATAGTTAAACACAGTTAAAAAACACCAGCGAAAACGTCATGCGAAAGAGTCCACCAGTCTTTCAACTTAACATTAGATTTTAGAAGTGCACTTTCGCCGTGCAGTCTAAAAAAATTATCATGAATAGAAAGTACTTGCGAAAAAAATTTATAGTTTACAAACCGAAAATCCCAGGAAACAAACTCTGGTTTATCGATATCCAATTCGCATATGTGCTCCATTATTGGCAGCCAGATCTTATAAGTTTGATAGAAATCCTTTTTTTTTATTTACATATGTAGCTTGGAAGCACCTGCCGACAGAAGCCTTCGCCATGTGCAAAGTACAAAATAACTTCATCAATATCTCTTTTTTTCGACAGCTTATAAGCATCTAGTGGTTGTGTTTCACCCGCTTCAGAAGAAAATTTAGTAGCAAAGAAATTTTTTGTTTGTGATTCGCCTTCTAAATTCTTTGAAAGACATGTAAACCGTTCCACGAGTATAGGGGTTTGCGGTACTCCAGAGTTCCCTATAAAAGTTTGGCTATTTCTTAGCTTAAGATTAGGATAATTTTCTTCACAGACATTCGTAAAAGTCTAAATAAAAATTAGTGAGTTTGATAAAATCGAATGTTCTTAGCGTATATATAACCAAAACTTAACATATCCATTTTATTTTGGTATTTTGTTAACTATAATTTTTTGGTAGTACAGTAAACATTTAAAAAAAGACTGAATTGAATATATAGCAAGATCTATATATTAATTATAACAAAGTTATATCCTTATATAATAGGTGCGTAACTAAAAGCTGCCATCTTCTACCATTTTTACTTCTTAATCATGTATAAAAAAAGGCCTACTCTCGATAAAAGTAAATCCAAAATGTATTATAGGAATAAAAAATTTAAATATATAAAATTTTCCTAAAAAAATATAACTGTAATAAAAAACTTAATAAAATGTTTATGGGTGTTGCTAATAACAAACCCTGAGCGTGAAAGAGAGAAAAGAGAAGCACTTAGAAGCGGGAACTCCTACACTGCGCATCTTACCACAGCGCCAGATTTAAATTTAGTATTTATTTGTTAGTAACTAACTGGTGCTCGCTCGAGTAACAACTTCGAGCTCTTGATCAAGAAACCGCAGACAAATATTCACGTGTACGGCGGTAGTGTCTAGGGCCGGTCTTAAAGGGCAATGGCATTGCGCGGGAGACGGCGCTCGATGGGCCTAGATGGAGGTGAGCTTCATTACGAACTAACCATAGCGCGTTTGTCAATGCCCCTCAACTTGTTTGTGGAACTTTGTACGGCCTCTGCCGCCGTAGAACATAGGCCCAGGCCGGAGATGCGTGTCACTGTTAGTTAAAGGCAAGGCGCATACAATCGCCGTTAGTTTCGCAGCAGTTGCTGCTTAATAAAAGGACCCAAGGTGCTGCCTAGAGTTTTATTACTACGTAGCCCACGGCGATCGCGCCACGAGGATATGTTATCAATTATGACTACCAAGTATTTCGCTTGAGAGTACCACGGGATCTTTGTGCCATCAAAGGTTAAGGGCATTGGCAAGGGGACGCGTTTTTTTGTTACTAGGAGCGCTTTACCCTTTGTCGTATTAAAGCAACTTTCCATATCCTCTTCCTGGCTATTAGTCATTTACATAAAAATACACTTAAATTAATCAAAAAATAACGAAAATAGCGGAAAGCCGCCTTCTAGCTTTTAAATTTAATTATTAGTGACAAAATTAGTGAAAAAAAATTATACAATGAGGGCTAGTCGTTAAGCACGTAAAGATATCACGGAAGCTTCGACGACGAGTAAACAGTGGTATTATTAGCGACAGGGGTCCTCGCGTGGGAGGATGGGCTTCCAAGGGCACATCGCCCATTGATTACGAAGAATAAAAGGGAGAAAAGAGAGCTATCCATGCTATCAGTGTTTACAGCGGCGACAGTGCAACGCTCACGCGCATGATGGTGCTACTATTAAATTACGGTTGTAAAGGCCATGAGGACATCTAAAGGTACATTGCTTGAATAGCAGACCTTGATATCAAACTCGGTCAAAGGCCTTCTGAACGTCAAGGAAGAGAGCGCTCGTTACCTTACAAAAGTTAAAGGCGCGGTTGAAGGTGCCCCTTCTATTAGGCGGAGATAGTTGCATGATTGTTAAGTGTCTACGCCGATATTTATATAGGAATCCCAGCAAGGCGTCACAGGCATTGGACTACCCCAGAACGTGCAGTAAAGCGGCCTAGTCAACTTTGTCGACCGCAGACAGAAGTCTATTGGGTCGGTATTTGCTGGCATCAAATCCTGGTTTCGGTGTTTTCGACAGCATACAATAGTTGCTTCCTTTCATTTTGCTGGAAAGGCGTTAACAACCATCGCTGAATTTACTAGGAGGCACAGATAATTTATCGCTGGCTAACGCTTTTTTCCTTAGCATATCATGAGTAGTGCCATCGGCACCAAGCGCCTTTTGTTCGAGAGCGTTTCGAGATGCAATCACATCTCGACTGCATTAACTAGCTCAAGTGACAGCTGGTAAGCGCATTAGTTAAACCTATGCCCAAAGACTGGCAGCGGTGGCACTTCTCCACGTGTCATTTTCGTTGCTTCTTTACTCTGGCTTGAAGGGAGAAGAGAGTTTTTAGTTCTAATAACTCGTTGATCGCTTGATCCTCGTGCATTCGATCATTTCAAAGAATACGTCTGTTTCGGCGGTAAAAGGTCACAACAAATACCACGCGTTATACATGTTATCACTACTATCGTTACTATTATTTTTTATATTAATTTTTGTTTGTTTTTATCTTCCTATCGTTAGCATGTTTTAGTATTACTTTTGTTATCGTATCTTTTAATAAATACAGCAGCGCAGAGGAAACCTTTACTAGTATTTAGAAAAACCAAAGTTTTATATTCAACAGAATGCTCATAGGCTAGTTATTAGCCCTTTCGTGGTCATGGAATTTTGGCCAGAAACAAGTTTTTTTAAAAATATGGCAATGGTTTATTTGTGAGGTCTGGTCTAAGCTCCAGATCTTTAATGGTTGCTAGTAACCTAACTACCGCCTTTTAATATCATTCAGCTGTCTTTTCCACCTATTATTCTTTTCGACTCAGTTATCAGTGCAACAACAAACAAACCATAAAAGAAAAACTTACTAAGTTTTTATCAAAGCCCTTTCTCCACCGAGCTAAATGGTTATACTAGCTGGTTTTATATTTAAACGTAAACCTTAACAGAATTGTTTATATACTTGCATAAAAATACCTGCATAGCAACGTATTGTTCATAGCTTAAAGTAGCTTATTATATATAGTTTTTCTTATAGATGTGCTTAAAGTACGTTTTATAACTCGTCCCCCAAGGGACTACATATCACACTTTAAGAAAAAATGGAGTTTTTTCCGTCAAACTTATATTTTTTGAACAATAATCCTTATTTTCGTCACTTTTAACGCTTAAAATTTTTATTACTAAAGTAAATTTAGCTAAGAAAATAATAGCTACTATTGTCCAACTTAAAAATCTTTAGATCGTACTTAAAATCTCTAATTAGTTAAGGGGGTTTATGTGAGGTGATAGAATGTTACCATTAAAATTGCTCGACAACTTTATTTTAATCTAAGTCCTCAAAATAAGGGAGTTGTTAAGCTTTTAAACGCTTTTGCTTGCTTACTCTTAAGTAAAATAAAAAGGTGAATTATTTTTATGAACGGAAATACATAAAATTTTGTAATAATTTTTTTTTTAAACTGATAAAAATAAAGTAGATAAGTATTCATGAATTACGCGTTCCAATTGCTTAAACTAACTATTTTTTTAAAAAAAATAATCAAAAACTACTTAAGTCCTCCAAAGAAAAATACAAATTACAAGCTTATCTAAACAAAACTTAATAAAAAAAAACGCGACAAAAAACTTTTCAGTGTCAATCAAAATAAATTCAAGCAAACAGAAACTTGTAAATTTTAATAAAGAAATGAAGGCTTTTTTTTTAGCTGAAAAAATAAGTTGACTGTTGGACAAGATTGATATCAAAAGAGCCGCGCTTTGGTAAAGGGGGAAAAGGTTTCTTATACAGATTTTCAAAATAAGCCTTAAAAAAACAGTTAAAAAAGATAAATAATGAAACATAAATTTTAAAAAAAAAGGCAACTTTTAAATTAGTCATAATATCTTGCTTGTGCATATTCACAAATTCTTCTCGTATAATTTTATTCATAAGGGGAACATCACAAGGATGTGTCCAAAAACTATCGTGCACTGCAGCAAAAGTGATATCTACTCGGAATAATAAATTCAAACCAAATAATAAACAATAAAAAAAGTTAAATTAAAGAATAAAACTAATAAATAATAAAAGTTTTAGTTAATATATAATAAAATTACATTAAAATGAAAAAAAAAAAATTTAAAAAAACTTTTATCGTTGCAGGCAAGCGCAGTTCGAAACATGTGCGAAGAATCCAACGAATGAATAAAGTTTGGAGGAAAACTAGCTTTCTGCTTGCGAACATCCAGACTGCATGCCGTCCTCAACACGCAAAAAAATATATAAATAATCATAATAATAATAATCTCGAATACTTTTTGAAAGATTTTTTCGCAGCAGTTGTAACGAATGAAATTCGGAGTACTTGTCCGTCAACAAGCTGATGAGTTGGTTAAAAAAAATATTTTAAAAAAATACATAAAAGAATACTACCCTCTTCTCAACAAACTTATAGTAGGGCTGAAGAACAGGAAGGCCAATAGGAGACACCCACCTTACAGGCTAAGCCATAAAAATTGTAATAAAATAAACTGAAAATTGCATATAATAAAAGAGGGAAACTTTATCCAATTGTGAAATAATACCAGCAGAAGTGCCCAACCTAAAAAAAATTATTTATTAAAATTTATATAAAAATATAAAATAATAAAAAACTTTTATAAATCACATAAATGAAACACTACCAAGACTTGATGGAGTTAGCGGCCTCAAAGATTTCGCCGAGAGACGCCTCTACCTTGCGAGCAATATAGCGAGAGCTCCTACGCATAACCGGACCAAAAAAAAATTAAGCAAAGAAAGTAAAAATAAATATGATAACTATAAACGAACTCATAATAACGCTCAGTAGGAAATTTGGAAATCTCCTTCAAACGTTGCTCAATCTGCGATGAAGTACCAGCAAGCCTCGCGCCGTACACGCTAGTCATGACCTGCAGCACGAGGGAAAAAGATAGGTTCAGACCCCCGTGGATGCCGCTGCTGGGAAGAACGAGGTTGTTACGGGATGCTTAACGATCTTTCTAGAAATATAAGGCCGCGTAAGTTGCGCTATGGCGTGGTTGGGCGAGGCCGGATCGTTAACGTCGATGTCAATGGCCTCCTTAACCTATAAAAAGTGAGACTGTCATTTAGTATAAAAATGACAATAAAGAAATTATAAAACTCTTTCAGCTATGGTTTCATAGATATCCTTCGGATTTTCGCTGGGAGTCAAATTAACGTACAAAGCGCCTAACAAAGCAAGCCCGATAGGATAAAAGCATCCAAATTATAAAATAAAAGTACCCAACTCGTCGCCGCTCAAGGCAGCATAGTGCTGCAGGCCGTTGCAGGAGCCGTCCTGAGTAATTAAAGAAAAACATCAAAAAAAATCTAAAGGCGTCGCGCACGTGGCATAGACCTGGTGGACGGGTAAACCGGTCATAAATTCCTCAGGATTATCACTCTTCAGCGCCTCTGCGAGCTGTAGGCATGACCGCGCACTAAGTAAAATGCGAAAGTAGAAGATATGCAGAACGAACACAACCTCAAAACAAGTTGCCAATGTTTGCCACGGAGATTCCGCTTCTTTCCACCACGAAGTACCCTATAGAAAAAAAAATTAATATAAAAATCAAAATAACAAAAGCTAGCAAAAAAAAAAAAACCATCGGGTTTTCTGCAGAGGCAAGGATTTGAGGCAAGTGCGCCTCCGTGAATTTTTCGCGCTCGACCAAAGTAAATTTTGCTCTGCTGCAGTATTAATAAAAATCATAGAACAGACTAATAGGGATGAACTTGCTATGGCCGTAAACGTTTGCCAGATGGATCTTCAGCCACCTCAATCCGGCTTTCCCGAGTGGCTTTTTCTCATAGAATACCAGCAGGCCGCGACACACGTCATCCCCTAAAACCAAAAGACTAAAAAAAAATTGTGGAAAATTTGTTTTAAAGAATATTTTTGAAATTTTCAAGATTTAATAAAATAATTTTTTATTTGAATTAGATATTAAAATTATAATAAGAAATAATCAGTGGCCTCGACATAAGTTGCCCCCTGACACCAGAATAATATTTACTGAAGACTGTTTCTTAAATTAATATATATTTTATAACTTTTAATAGAACTTTAAGAACATTTTCACGCTTTATTAAAAAAAATTTCGAAGAATAAGCAGATCCAAAAAAAAAAATTTTTGTTTAATAATAATTAAATATAAATTTAAAAATTTAGTATTTCCTTTAGCTTCTTTATTAAAAAAAATTATAATACATTAAAGCTATTTCACCATTATATAATATAATGCAATTCATGGAAGTTAATAATTATATAGATAACATGCCCATGTGATTCAAATGTAGAGGAATGGGATAAGCTCGTCCTCGAAAATCAATGTTATGCGGAAGATACAAGCCAATATTTCGGTACTGCCCAAAAAAAGTTAAAAATAAAAAAAAAGTCAAAAAAATGATTCTTCTATTAAAAAAAATATGATTTTTATTTTGTTATAGGGTTAATATATTATTAAACATTAAAAAAGTATACTTTTAAAAACTTTATATTTCATATTATAAATTTTTGAAAAATATAAATCATTAAAATGTAATATTTTTAAAAAAATTCTTTATATAAAATTTTTTAATATCAATTTATAAATTTTTTTGTATTTAGAGTATCACAATAAAAAGTTATTCTTTATATACAAAAATCATTTCAATATAATTTTTTAATGTACTAATGGTAATACAATAAAAAGTAATTTTTTTAATACACAAATTTCATATAAATTTTGTAAAAATAATTATTTAATTAATAATTTGGATGTACTAATAATACACTAATAAAGAATTATTTATTAAATACAAATTTAATAGTTTAAAAAAAAATTTATTCATTAATAATTTTTAATGGACTAATAGTATGATAGTATAGAGCTATTTTAAAATATACAGAAAGTTCATTCCAATATAAATTTTATAAAAAAAATTATTTAATATATAATTTTTCTTACTGCACTAATACCAAAATAAAAAAATTATTAAATTTATATACAAATTTCATATAAATTATAAAAAAATTTTGATAAATATAATTTTTATTATACTAATATCATAAAAAAAATTATTTTCGTATAAAGATTTCAAATCAATAAAAATTCTATAAAAAAAATTATTCAAAATATGTTTGAGATACTAATAATATCACAAAGTTTTTTTAAAAACAAAATTTAAAAAAGTTTTAGATAATAAATTAATTATGTAATTTTTAGATGTGTTAATAAAATCTTAACAAGAAATTATTAAAAGAAAAATTAAAATTTCCAAAAAATTATTTTTTTTAAAAATTTAATATATAGTTTTTTAATATCTAAAAATATCATAAATAAATTATTCTTTAAAAAGATACAAACTTCATTTTCTTGTCTAAATTTTAGTAATATATTATTTACTAATTTATTAATTACTAATAATGTACTAATAATACAATAAAATATAATTCTTTTTAAAAAAAAAATAATTCATTGTGTTGTTTTTCTAAAAAAAATTATTTAAATCTTTTTTATAATTTCTTTTTATTGCACTAATAATAATAATTATTCATAATGTACTAATAAAAGAATAAAGTGATTCTTATAATAAATTTATAATTTCATAGTATTATATATTTTTTGAAAGATTACTTAAATAATTTATTTATTGCACTAATAATTATAAATATTTAAAAAGCACTAAAAATGCAACAAAAAGTAATTCTGTAAAAAAAATATATAAATTTCATTGTATAAAATATTTTAATATAAAAAATTTATATTTTTAAAAAATTTATAATTGCACTAATAATCTCACGATAAGAAAATATTAATTAAAACAAATAAATTACATTTTTTAAGAAATTATTAAAATAAATTATTTTAAAGTCTCATAATACCACACAAAAAGTTATTTTTTTAAAAATTATTCTATGTACTAATAATAACACAAAAGGTTATTTTTTCTAAAATATAAATTTCATTCGTTAATAATTTTAAAAAAAAAATTAATTTTAATTAAATAAATTTTTTCAAGTTAGTTAAACTGTAATAAATTTCATCATGAATACATAATATTTTTGTTACACACACGCACCGAATAGGCCACCAATAATCGGTATTGCACGTCACAACTAATCGAAAAGCGATTGGCTATTGACCTTTGAAATTTCCACCGTACAAATCGGTTTCTCTAAAAAACAAAAAGTAATTAAATGCACAAAATAAAAAAAAAATTAAAATGTATAACTTTTTCAACTGGTGTAAAATCATGACTGCGAATAATCCTGAGCTACAACCAATGAAAAGTGAGGAAAATAATAATAAGGGGTAAAGTTGCTATAAAGAATACTTTCTCGTCGCCATTTCTGTCCCACACGTCCAACATGACGTCCAGGATTCTTGTGTTTACCATCCATTTAGTATTGGAAAGAGTATTCAAAGCATCTAAGACTGGTTTCAAGGATTCGGGATCTAAAAAAAATAAAAAAAAATAAAGTTTTAAAAAAACAAAATAAAATAATTATATAAAAATAATCAAATTTTAAGAATTAAAAATAAATTGAAAATCCAAAATTTATAGATATAATAATTCAAAAAATTAAGTTTTTAAAGTTATATTAATAACAAAAAATTAATAAAATAATAAAATCAATCTAAAAAAATTATACAAGTTTCAAAAGTTTTTAAAAAATTATAAAAATAATATATCAATTTAGGCATATATCAAGTTTATATAGCCTTTAAAAAATTAATAACAGAGGAATTATTAATATAATAATTCAATTAAATAACATATATGTTAAGTTTATAAATTTTTAAAATTTAAAAAAAATAATTAAAAATATTATGTAAATTAACAATATATATCAAGTTTTTTAAAAGTTCTTAAACAATTGGGAATATGAAAATTATAAAAGTAATAAATCGGTTTAGAATATTGATCAAGTTTTAGAAAACGGAATAATTATTTTAAAGGATCAAAATATCAATAAAATATTAATACTCAAAATTAATATGAACAAAATCAAAAAAATAAAAAAATTATAGAAATCAAATATTATATAATAGCGATCTAAAGAAAAACCAAAAAATTATAAAACAAGGATTAAAAAATCTTAAACAAAAAACTTAAACTATAAATTGATTATTTTTCGATGTGTAAATAAAAAAATACCAGTATCTTTTAAAGCAAACTTAATATTATAAGAACGGGAGGGCGGCTGACGGACAATGCAACGATTGAAATGAAGAAGATACCCGCCTTCCAAAATTCATAAGCAAATTCGAAAAATATCTAGAAAAAAAAGATCACCGCTAGAGAAGTCCGTGTACGGAATGGGAGGAACAATCATTGGTAGTTGCCTGCTTAACGCCTCGCTTAAGTATAACTCATGATTAAGCATCGCTGTAATAAATTCAGCTAATAATAAAAAAATTCAGTATTATAAGAGTTTCCAATTCTATAAAAATCTACCATCCAAACAGAGCTGTCTCTGCTTTTTCACTGAGGAATCAGCATAAGTAGTCATAATTTTAAAAGCCTTTTTACTAAAATAAATAAATGGTTATATATTGAAGTTTTTAAAAAAAATTAAATAATCAAAAAAAAAAAAGAAAATAAATAAACCGAATGCCAGAATTACTAAGTTTTCTTATACTTAACGGATTGGTAGTGTCGAATTCAAAAGTATCCACAAGTATTTTCAATAAAAACTCGCCTACCTTAAGAAAAAATAAAAACTTTTTGGAAAAGTAATAATAAAAAATACTTTCATGATGGTATCTTCAGACCAAAAAACAATATCCAGAGATCTCAAGTAGTCCTGATTATCGTCCTACAAAACAGACGCATAACAAAAAAAAGTTTTTCTTCTATAATAAAAAAAAATACAAGAACACGATTCCATAAATTTTGAAAATGCCTGCTGCCTTTATGTTTCTTAAGATTTTGAAACTGGAGATATATCTCGTTTTGCTAGAATGTAAAAAAAAAGAAAGCAACGCTTAAAAAAATTCTACAAGCAAATGGCACAGGTTAACAGCACCTTATCATTTAGATTCAGATCATCAAAAACTTGAAAGCAGTACTCATCGTGAAGCTGCAAAATAAATAAAATAAAAAAATTCAAAAAAAAGGAAAAACAAAAAACCTTAACGCCTATGTCACTGGCCACTGCTAAGAATAAAAAAGAGCCGGAGGAGCAAAGACTGAGAGCAGAGGAGAGCGTGATGTAGGCCATAATAAACGGATCTACAGGATAAAGAAAGGATTTCAACGAATTTTTCTGCGTGAGCTTGCTTCTGGCTATTTCTATATTGCCTACATTAATTTAAATTAAATTAAAAAAAAAAAAGAAAAGATCAAAGCAATACGAGCAAGATCTATAGCCGCTGGTCTCAGAATTAAACTTCCTAGAGGCTTTGAGGGTGTTTGGCGCTAAAAAAAAAATTAAAAACAGAAAATTAAAATTTCCATCACAATAACCGTGTTATCCCACGAGGCCTGCTTGCGATGTCGATACCACTGCGCTTCACAAGAATTCTTTTCTAAATCTCGCTGGATTTGCAGCAGAGAAATTACATCGTCTGGATCCTCTTCAAAAACTTGATTAGTTTTTTTATTATAATATTTGTAAAATTAGCAACTGATTCCTTTAAGTACTTCTAACGTGGACGTCAGAAGAATCGCGCCAGAAAGCTCTCGGCTAGGAGTACTCTTATATAATAATTTTATTTAGTAAAAATTAATTAACTTAAACAACAATTAGTAACCTTTTCGGATGATTCGATGGCACTTTTATTAGTCGGTTCAGGAGCGGCATCTTCTATCTTCAGAAACAAACTTAAACGCCTGAAAAAAAGGACAGACAAAAAAAGGCATACCTTTTTTGCTTCTTTAAAAATCTAACCACAAAAAGATTATAAATTAATAAAAAATTATAATCTGCAATTAAAATACTTTTTTCAAAAAAGGCCGTTCATGCTCATGTACATGCTTTTTAAGATCTGTATAAATAATCTTTCTTTTATTAAATAAACTGTAGACTAACGCCCAAACTTCTTTGCTAAAAATGGAGTCAGGGTGTCTAAAAAAATAAAATTTAGTTATAATAATCAATTAATTATAAAAAAGGGTAATAAAAAAATTAGAAATTACAGTAATAATTGTTGAATGACATGAGCTACTGTATTACAAGGAGGTGTTCTTTTTTTGCAAAGAGATATGAAAAATTGAAAAGTTTTTTCAGGATCTTCTTCAGTAGTAACAGTATATTTTTCTAAAGTTCTCTCTTTCGAAAATAAACTTGCTTCATCCTCTTTAGTAAATTCTGAGGCTTCAAGAGAGTTATTAACAAAAAAAAATAAGAGTTAAAGTTAAAAAAATTAAGAAAGACTAAAATATACAAGCTTCAGATAAATTTTCTCCAAAACGTTTTTTGGTTGTGTTAGCGACACCTTCGAAAGCTTCTATATCTTTTTTAAATGTAGCTATATGGTCATTGTCAAGTTTAAAATCAGATGGAACGGAGTTATTGGAGTATGACAGAGTTGGTGCTTTATTAGAAATAAAAGTTTTAAAATAAAAGCTTTTTGATCTGTAAACTAAGGGGGGGGGAAAACGAAAAATGTTTAAATGATTCAACTTCATAATTCTTTCCGATCATTAACGATGCAGTATCCAAAAACTTAAGGACTTCGAAAAGGCATACGTCAGTGGACTGGCCATGTGGGCGAAAAATGCATGTGAACAGCACAGGCAAAGGGGAACGAAAAGAAGGCTTTAAAATAGTAAAAGTTTGTACTAATTCTTTTTTATTTTGTATAAATAATTTCTATTAAGAAGGCAAATATAAATTTAGGGTAACATTAAAAACTCAATTGTTGGTATAAAATAACATAAAGTTGTAAAAGAATTACTCGGGCATGATCATAACATTACTGCGTTGTACGGTAGGTTTGTTTTTAGCCCCTAGTTAATTAATTCGACATACACAATATTTTATATACTACTATATAAATAATAAAAAGTTTTTATGTGAGTCTTTCTCAGTTACAAAAATTAAAAAGTTGTTTATTAAGTATTTTACTAATTTAAACTGTAACCATGTTTATAAGAATTCGTAATTTGACCTATAGTGGAATTTATTGAACCATACGAATAGTTTAATAACTCATTAGCAGTTTGCTGTCATCTACTCACAATAAAAATGCATATTGTATTTTATCATTTGGTAGAGGTAGCCTAAAGTCAGTTAAGACCATAACTCGACCTTAAAGGAACTGTTACTGTTTAATGTTTGTTTATGGTATATATATTGTACCGCAAAAAAAAATAAACTTTGGTTATAATCCCTATAGCTCTTAAATCGAGACAGCCTCTTAGTTTCTTATAATCTACAATAGAATTATTTACAGTTTATTAACTTATATCCGCTAGTTTTGGGTTGCTTTATGTCGTATATAAGCTTCTAAGATTTATGGTGCATAAAGCTTTGCTCTTTTTGTCTGACCGTTTTTTTTTTCTGTTTTTTTTACACAATTTTTACTTTCTACGCTTTTTCTTTACTTATAACATTTATTAGTTTAAACTATTTACTTATTGTATACTAAACATAAATTTTAGCTATTATGTTATCTTTTTGGTATAATTATTTCTTTCTATTCCTTTTTTTTTAAAATTGACTACTTACTTTATCTATAAGTTTCCCTGTGAAGAGTAAAACACGGTCTGACTGCTTCTCATATTCTGCTCGCCTTCCCCTTTACTGTTTTTTCAGGTTATACAACATATTATAACAATTTCTCAAGTTTTTTTTTAATTTCGCACACCTGCTTCTTTTCTTTTTCATATTCAACTATTGTATCGACATATTTAATAGTTATACCCGCGCTATAACTTAAATTTTGTTTAATCTACAATAACTCACTAAAGAGAAATTCGAAGGCTTTTGAGACCAACATCTGTATTTAAATGTTAGCGATGCTTTTAAATGTTTATCTTTTATCCTTCTTTTTTTTAATATATATATTAGTAAATAAGCTGGTTGATGTCTTAGGGCTGTTAGAGTTCGCTTTTCTAAGGTACATATAAAAATGTTGTTTAGGTCGTGTGTATTTTGAAAATGTGCAGGGTTCTGTTTAATTAGTACGCTGCTAAAACTTCGTCTTCTAGTTTTTTTTTAAATCCCCTGTCTTTTATACTCAGCTTTTAATAATAATTTTTGGTTTTTAGTGTTTAGTATAAAACTATTATAGGTAATCATTTTACCAAAAGCCCCTTTTGCAATCTACTTATTTTTTGAAAACTATTATTATAGATAACCAAAAAGTATAATGTAAATTTATTGTAAATAGAAAAACTTTGTAATCATTTTATATATGATTTTCGAGCTTCCTGAAGAGCACAACGCGCTACCTAAAATAAACAAAAAGAAAAAAAAGTATGTGCATGCCTCCCCTTTTTACGACAGCAATTAGTGATATGCTTTAAAGGACCATGCTCACGTTACAATGAAATATTATATCAACACATAACGCAATCATTATTGTTGAAAACACTATTATAACAATTTCTGTGAGTATACTTGAGTGATGCGTACCATAACATTAATACAAATGATCCGCATATATCCAACAGTATATATGTGCGTTAGTTATTTAACAGTTAGGTTGAACAACGTGTTAAAATTGTAATTGTTATGAAATTCAAAACGAACTTAGTTTACCCAACGAAATTCCTACGGAAAAACTCCACATAATTATGGCGAACCAAATTGCTAATCTTAAAGTCTCTGCGAAAAATTCGTATCTATTCTAAAATTTAAAAAAAAAAGAATCAAAAAGTAAACTATTAAATAATGAAGAAAACAGATCTCGTTCCTGTGATATTTCCTAGACCAATTAAAATCCAAGTTGGAGCTCTTCAGAACGAAGCAAGAAAAACTTCCGAGCCAGTGCCCTTTTAATCCGTTGTTAGTCGGTGTGTAGGTTTCGCTAAACCAAAATATTATTTGTGTGTACGCAGGTTTTAGTAGGACGTCCTTCGGTTATTTTTCTTTGACTTGCTTAACTTACTTATTTTTAACCTGTTTCCCCTCTCTCCTTACCCTAAAGTTGCCTATATTCTTGGGCGTAAAAAAGAATTAAAAAAGTAAGGAAATGATAGAGTATAATTAAAAAAATTTAATAATAAAAATAGAAAAAAACTTATATAAAGTGATATTAATATAAATGAAGAAGGATTTTACTGAGGAAGTTAAATGTATTAAAAAAAGTAAGAATTTTATGGTCGTCTATCGAAAGTAACAAGGAAACCACAGGTTATCTTCCTACAAGATATTGTGTAATCATATAAAATTTAAAGTGCAGGTGCAAGGTCTTATATCTGTACTTTACTAATTCTGAAATATAATCTCGCTATTGCTAGTTTTTTTTATTTACCTTAGTCAACCTCCATATTGTTTAAAAATAAAAAGTTTTTTAAGTATAAAAGTTTCTATATTTTTCTAAATTTACATAGTGGCGTGTGGTTTTTTAAAATGTTGTGAGTTGTAGTTTTAAAGTATTATACCCATATTCCTCATGGTAAATTGTCTGCAAGCTTATAAATTTTATGGTTAACCTGTTCAAAACGTTCGTATTTTTACTTACCAATTAGCGCAAGCCTTGTTTGGTAAAGATCTAAGATGCATTTACTTGCCCTGAAAGAGGCTACATTTTGATATTTTTTAAAACTGTTTAATGTATATAGTAAGCCTAAAATCGATATTATAATATGGTACTTAATAAAATTTGTAACATACACTACTATAAGGTTACGTCAACAGTTCTATAACGAAGGCTAGTAAAATCCCATTAACCTTATAGAATATTGCTAATTTTCATGTTGAACTTACAAAGGTAGTAAAAAATTTAAGCACGGCCTAGAAGGATCGCCGTATAGTTTGTCAGGAATAAAACTCTTTTAAACCACTGATAAGTGGTCTGATTCTACGCATATAAATTATATACCTTATATATTTTTAAACCGGCGCTTCGTTTCATTGCGATCTTAACATAATTGCTATTACAATTTAGTGACTGGCTTAGCTGCACTTGAACAGACTGTTACTAGTACCATATATACTCCGCGCCGCTCTATTATTACCGCCCTCTCCCCCTTAGTTTATATAAAATGGAATGTGTTGTTCGGGTTTTGAACTATAATAACATAGTTGTAACAGTTTTAGTAACATATACTAATTCGAATGGTCTCTGGCCATTCAGATCTGAATGTATGTTTGCTATATGAATTTTTAGATAGTAGTTTATGTATGTATACGCAACGATCTCTTATGCTATAAGTTAATATATCTTCACTCTGGCTTCGAATTAAGGTCTACTGTAAAATATCTCATGTTGCCGACTTATAGCCAATGTTGTAAGAAGTTGTACAAACACGCAGTATTTTGGCCAGAATAATAAAATTCTTGTATTTTAAAAAAAGCTTGTAACAATTCAGTAATACTATAAGAAATTATTTATAAATTAAGTTAACCTTCCTTTATAAAGCAGCATTTTCATCGTTTTGTACCATTTTTTCTTTTATTAATTCTTGCTTTTGCAATTATATTATATAAATACGTGAACTGCTAAGCAAAATAATCCTTTATGATGGACTAGTTATAACATTTTTAACGATAATAACGACTTATTAAAATGAAAAATAACATCAGTTTTTAATTTTTATAATGTAGAACAATTATCTAGCATTAATTTTACCTTTAATTTCCAGTATATTTCCACAACGAACATGTATGTGAAACCGTAAACAGTCTAGTAAATTACAAATTCTGCCCTCTCTTGCTTTTAAGCTTAAAAAAGCTGAGTTATAAGCTAGTAATAGTAAAATTAATTTTTATGGAGTTACCACTATACTCATTTGTTTAATACGAAATAATTTAAAATGCAACCTAGTAGTAACGAATAACACTATCAAAATTTTTAAAGCTGTACAAAAAATTGTTTTTTTAGTAAATTCTAAGAGTATATATTTCGCGCCATTTATATATCTCTTGTGTTAAGTATATATCTATATACATTTGGAACACCAGTATATTTCTATTTAAAGCATATCTTAACCCGTAGAAACGGAATTTATTTTAAATATTAAAAAATTTTGTGGTTTCATGGAGGTTTCATGGAAGCTGTACCTCTAAAGGTAGCTTTTAGTTAGACAAGTTAGCATGTTCATGCCTGCAGTGTAATATTTTTTGAAATCTTAGTTTCCTGGGCCCAGTGCAAGCTCTGCCGGGTCAACGTAAAGAGAACAAAGATCAAGGGTGAATGCATTCGGGCTAGTATATCAGCAGCAGCACTGGTCCATCGAACACCGGCATGAGTCTCCAGCTCAGCCCTAACACTAAAAAACGCGAATGACCAAGCCCCAGTGAAACTGAAAGCATTACAAAACCTGTAATGATAAAAGGTAAGTTGGAGCCACCCACAGTTCGGGTGTCTGTGCGTAAAGCAACTTTACAACTCTCCTGGACGCAAAAAAAAAATTGATACTTTTTGGCCATAATCCGACAACCATGTTCGCCTTCCTTGGTTTGTAAGTATTCTATTAAGGTATAGACAAGATAAAGATGCTAACTAAAGCTTACTGTATAAATTCAGTTCAAGCTACAAGAAAACAAGAATAGTGGAGGGTTGTTAGCTAGCGCACCATCCTTATAGTACTACAGTTCGCTTTCAACCAGTTCTAGGATGGTAATTTACTGTGATGATCTATGACATGAGGGCAGACAATTACATGACCTCCTTGAAGTTCAGTGAAGATTAACTGGAAGCAGGGCTGCAAAATTTTGAATGAAGGCACAAACTTTTTTTTAATGGGTAAGCCTGGAGGCAAACCACAATGCTCGCTCCACCATAGAGGGTACTGAACTAAAACGAAAGCATCGAGAATAGCTAACAGTCGCAAGCACCAAAAGGTACAAAATATACCTCCACTTAAGGTACCAAACTAAATAGCTGAAGTTTATAAGCATAACTCTGAATAAGCCTAACTTAGCCTAGATCCACAACCTAGGAGGCAGCGCACATATCGCATTAAGGCAAGATGAAGGTAAATAAATCGAGCATAAGGGACGCGCTCGCGCATTGAGGTAAGACCGATTAAGGGTCAGGTTGTTAAAATTGACTCCTTGGGAAGTTAAAAAAGTACCTCTACACCGTAAGGGACAAAATTGAGCGCCGTTGACATATATTATATATAAGAAGAAAAAAATTCTTTCTTGCATTTTAACACGGCTTACTTTAAAAACATTTTTATTGATCTTAAAATTGATGTGACTTTAGCTTGAGCGAAACCGTCTTAAAATTCAGCTTGTTTGTCAGATTATTATTCTTAAATTAATGAGAACGAGCCGCAGCAAATCTACTTGTCGGCGCTTTTCGTAAAAGTTCATTTGTCGTAAATAGTCAAACTATATTAATTTCGGGTTAAGCACAATTTCCATAATAAAAGAATTTTCACTTAAATCTTTCAATTATTTTGGCCATCATTAGATCACGTTCGTTGTGAAAGGTACTCAACAAGATCTTAATAACACGTTGATCTGTTCTAACAAATCCATCCTTCTCAACTCTTTTTTAAATTTTATCTTGCATTATTGATTCACGTTTCTCCATAAAGAAAAATTACAGATCCTTATACAATGTTTAATAAATAGTAGTAATTTTATTGGTTTTTTAATTTTTTCTTTTTGCTGGCAATCAGTTTAGATCATTGCAAATATACTTAGGTCTTTATGAACTGTTTTAACATAGTCATCTTGCTTATTTCTTTTTTAATTTTTCTTACAATCAATGAATCACGTTCGTTGTGAAAGAGAGAACAAATCTTTATGTAATTTTATACAAATAAAACAATTAATTTTAACTGGGTCATCATTAAATCTCTTTCCTTATAGAGTTAGTTAACGAGCCTTTATAAACTGTTTTTAATTGCCATTACCAGTCAGATGAATGTTAGCCATTAACACTGAAGTACATAGACGCACTCCTAATTATTTTTATAATAACATATTTAATGCTGTCAATATTGCAAATTAATTATTATTAATTAAACTTATGCGATATTTGCCACTATAACGCAAAAATATGAAAATGAATTTGTCACTTAAAATAAAGCTATGAAACTTTGGAGATATTACAAACTTATAACAAATTTTATAAATTTAATTAAGTATTCCTAAAGTATTAAAAAAAATAATTTCACTAAAAACACTAGAGGTGCAGATTCCAAGGTTTTATAAGTTATAAATAAACGTTATAAAATATTCAAAACACTATAAATCTTCTCCCTTTTTTAAAAAACTTGAAAGAAAAGAAATCACCGAAGTTTCTTCACCAATAAGAGAAGAGTATTCTGAAAATAAACAGTTTTTACTAAAACTATAAAAAAAATAATTATAATACGAGAGGAAGAAAATAAGGCTTCAAAACAGTCCTGAGATTCGCATTGAGCGCTGATTGTTTTAAGCATCTGATAAAAAAATTTATATAAAATATAAATTATCAATATAAGTGAATATCGATTAGGAATCTAGTTAAAAGTAAGTTTATAAAACAATTTATTTTGGAAAAAAGCAGTAAAATTATTTTAAGGATTTATTAAATGAAATTAAATAAAAGAAAAACTAAAAAAAAAGTAAAGAATGTTTTAAGCATTTGAATAAGAGTAATAAGAATTAAAGTGGTTATAAAAAAATTAAAAAAAGAAGGAATTGTTTAAAAAACATTAAAAAAATTAATAAAAATACGTATTTTTTTTTAAATGAATAGTAAAAAAACCTTTTTAGCCATTTCTAATAATTGAAGATCCGCACTGCAAAAAAGTTCATACAGTCGAGGAGATTTCAAAATTTTGTTTTTCAAAGAAAAACATTCTGCTCCTTTTGTAAATTGTTGAATCTATTAATAAATAAATAAATATAAAAATAAATAAATAAATAATAACAATAACAACGCAAACCTGATCAATAAAAATCCAATAAACAATGAATGGCTTATAAACGCTGAAAACGGCGGGTTCACTAAAATTGGTTAAATTAAAGTTGCTGGGGTTACGAGGGCCAATAAGTTTCTCATCCGTAGCTTCAGAATTGTATAACGAGTGAGCCAATCTAATAACGCGCTTTAAAAACTCGCATCGATGCGTTAGCCAATCATCATGAGAGAAAATAAAAAGAGAGAGCGCGAGGAAATAGAGCGCGTTATCGGGAGAATCCACTTCACTAGAATTAAGGAAACATAAATAATTAATAAATTGAAAAAAGGAGATATAATAAATTTGGAAAAGCAAAATATTATTTATTAGCAAAATAAAAGAATGAAAGAATAAAGGTAAAAAATACTACAAAAAATGAATAAATCAGAAAAATAAATTTATTATATTGTAAGTAAAAGTAAGAAAGAATATTGTAATAAGTAAAGACTAGATATCACAATAAAGTAAAAAAATAATATAAAAAAATAAAAATACAAAAAAAAGCAAATAATATGTATAATTATTTATAAAAAAAAAGAAAAATAAAATGTATTATAAATAAAAATGATAAATATTATCTGGTATAGAAAAAGAAAAAAAATATTATAATTAATAAAACGCTTTACGTTTCATAAGTCTCCAAAAAAGAAAACAAAAGCGGTGCAAAAACTTTACGTTGGTCACCTTTAACGTCAAGCAGGTACAACCCTACAGGCCATTTATTCAAAAAAAAATATTAAAGTCAAACTAGCCAATTATATTACATAAAAACTTTAGTTTTGTTTATATCAATAAATATAATGAAAGCTTACAATTTTAACTACCAATTAAGTTTTAAAATAGTATATATCTTTTTATTTTATCAAAAGTTTGAAAAATTAATGGTATAAGCGAGAGAAGTTCTATAGGTCAAGTATTATTATATATAATTATAATTTAAATAATAATAGTATTATTAATAAAATAAAAATAGTGAACCCACCAAGTTGAAGTTGATAAATCACAAGACCAATATTGCTTTCTCTTCCGCCTCCTAAACTGTCTTCGCTGAAGGACTATTTATTATTCAGATTGTTATTTATTTATTACTATTAACACTAATATTACAGTTAAAGTATATTTTTATTTATTAATATTTAGAAATACTTTTCGGCAGGCAAAACGTTTCAACAATGTTTTTAAGTCGTGGACGACACAACGGAAACGCGCCAAATCGTTCGAAATGGACATGCGGCAAAAGTATTTTTCCACATAAACTTCACAAATAATAATAATTACAAGGATATAAAAATATAAAGTATAAGTAATAATAATTATAAATTTATATAACAGTAATGATGGAAATGTATTATAAATAATAATTATAAAATATAAAAATATATAAATATAATGATAGTAATATAAAGTATAAATGATAAATAACAATGAAGGAGTCATAGAATAATAATGTTTACATAAAGAATAAAGAAGGTATTATAAACCATAATTATACGCAACATACATAATAATAATAATAACGAATCTATAATTAATAAGTACTAGTAAAGTAATATATATATTATATTTCCAAATAAGGGAGTAATATAAGCAAGGACTCACTGGGATACATGTTATTATTTGGGCCGCAGATTGGAAATAAATTGTTCGTCTTTGTATTATCGTTACGAAGAGTGGCTCCTTCCCATTCAGAAAGTGAATGTCTTCCTTTAGTTTTGTCTAAAAAGTAAATATAAAAACAAATTTAAAATAAAAAATATAATAAACAATTATAGGAATAATATGAATAATTAAATAATTAAATACAGAAACACTAATTATATATGAAAAAAAGTGATATAGATAATATAATAACGAAAAAAAAAAAATGAAAGTACCAATGCGAACTGCTTCTTCGTGGCAAGAAAAATGAACGATATTAAAATGAGAAACAGTGGAATATCCTAATAATAATAACAAACATAAGGAAGGTTAAGGAAACATTTATAAGAAATATAATAATTTTAATATAAGGAAAATATATATATAAAAAATAAATATAAAAAGATAATATAGAAAAGTTTTTATATATAAAAAAAAAGCATTAAAAAAATTTATAAAATAAAGTTGGAGACATATACGAATAAAGTAAAAAATAAAACGGAAAAAAAATATAAAAAATTGAGAAAAAGTACTTAAATAAACTATTATTTCGTTTAATATATTTTTCAAGGAAAATAATGAACCTTGAAAAGGATCGTCCTTAACAATGCAAAAGTCACTGTTCTTCCGATCCAATAGAGATGCCGAGCGGCCCAATAGAGGGGCCGACTGAGACAAGTTAGAAGATCCTACACAATCGGAACTGTCGTGAGAATCCTTAGCTTCTAGCATATCGGAGTCGTCTTTAAAAAGAACCAATAAAAATTAAAATTAACAAAAATAATAATAAATTACTTTTATTATTGAAATAATAAAAATGGTAAAAGTTACGACCAACCGAAAAGTAGCATAAATAAAACCGATAGAAACAAAAACATAATAGTAAAAATGAATGCAACAACACAAAAATATCAGAAATTATTAATAATATATTTGAACCAATAAAAACAATAATAAATAGGAGATACCCAATAGGATTTTTTTATAATAAACGTAAACCCCTAAAACTTCTTCACTCTTGTAAAGGTATCCTTCCCGGCAGATGAGGCACGTGTGGCCAGAGTCTTCAGCTTTGTTTAGGTAAACGTTTAATTTTAATGAATTCATAAAGATATTAGTATTTCTTTAATAAGCAATACACAGTAAATTTAAAAAATAAATACTATATTAAGTAAAAAAAGGTATTATAATTATGTTCATTACTATTTTATTATTACGGCTATTGGACTTTAAGAATGCTTAATAAAAAATAATATTTAAGAAAGACGAAAGGAACAATAAAAAGTTTTATGTATAAAAAATATAGATGGTAATATTTAATAATAAAAATAACAAACATAATATTAATGATAATTAAACAATAATAACAATTTAATAAAGAGATAATTTAAGAAACAAGAAAAAATGTTTATAATAATATTGAAAACATGAAAAACAAAACTTTAACAGAATTAAAAAAATATAGGTAATTGATGAATGAAGAATTATAATGAATAAATCGATAACTTCATATTAATAATAGAAATATTAATATTTCTATAATATTCATTATAATGATAAACAAAAACCCAAATCCCCCATTCCTATTGGCTCTTCAGCAGGGACGATAATGGTCTTTCCTTTTTCGGTTTTAAAGCCCATTTCCTTTAAAAGTTGATTTCTTTTGGCTAAAAAATAATTTACGAAATTATTATGGAAAGTAATGATAATAAGCACCAAAAAAAGGGAAGTAGGAGTAATAGATACAGATGACTATAACAAAAAATAAAAAATTTAATAAAAGACATTAAATAATCATTAAAAACAAAAAGAAGCAAGGAACAGAATAGACAGTAACAAAAATGATTTTTAAAAAATTTTATAAAATAAAAAAAGATATAGTAGAAAGGAATACACATTTAATATTATAACATATCACAGAAAAAACAAAAATAAAAAATATATTTATCACAATAATAAAACTCGTTGAAGCAAGCAATAATATGGGAAACATAGTATAATACATAACCGCTAACGAATTATAAGAAAGAAATAGATTCAACACACAAGATATAGAAATGATAGCATTAATAAATAAAATGGGTACAAAATTATATTTAATAGCAAAAACGTTAAAAATTTAATTATTAAAAAAACACAATTAGTAAAACAGTGGTAGTTTTAATAAGAATTTTATATAAAAACTTGTATAAAATGTTTCATTATAATTCTACAAAGTAGTAAATTATCAATGAATTTTTTGAAAGCCGATAAGATACTAATTACAATAAAAAGCAGAGTTAGAATATAATAACCACTAATAAAATAAAAAAAACCAATCACAATAATAATATAACGGGCATTAGAAATAGGTTGGGTAAACGTTTTTACCGAGGGCAAGTCTCCTATTGGAGGCTTTTGTAGCTTCCCGAACAGTTTGAACTGCTTCATTTATAACAGGATCTGTTAAGGATTCCAACAAGTTTTCAGCAAGAGTTCTATTAGGCGTAATTATAAAAGGTACATTATATAGAAGAATAAACAAAATAAATAAGTAGGATAGTACAGTTAATAAAAAAATAAAAAATTTACAAATGAAACATATAAAAAAAATATGAAAAGTTTATTTATAAGAAATAGTTTAATAGAAGAAGGATATTTTAATGAATAATAATAAATAAATATAAAAATATTATTCACAAAAAAAATATACAAACAAGTACCCCACATCTGCTCGCTTTGATTGTTTCTTTGTAGCGCAAACACTATCCAATGACGTAACGCGTTCTAAAACATGAAGAGGTTTAATGCATTTCTGTATAATTTTCTGAGATGGAAGGTTATTGCGAGCCATTCCTATAAAATAATAACGATAGTGACAATAATAATAATAGTTATAATAATTATAATAATAAAACCTGCTAAGAATTCTAGTGCGTAAGGAAGAGAAGGTTTCGAAAGAAGTTCAGAAATGTCATAATTATCATGCGATACTCCATTATTATCAAAAATATGTTCGGGAATACACTAAAATAATTAAGGGATATAATGACATATTTAGTATTTTTCATTAAAAAAAAACATTGAAAACCTCGGAAATATAATTCACGGCATTATCGACTATTCCTTGTCTAATGATGGCCATCTGTATTCAATTAGAATAAGTATTAACAAATTCCTATAATACCCCTATATTAATATATTAATATACCAAATATATTTATAATTATTATATATACTTTAGAAATCACTAAAATTCTACCATTATAATCTTATAAATACGATATATATTTTGTATCCATTGGCTATTGTTGTCCTCTACAAGTATTTTTAATAAATTCACCAGTATAATAATTAAATATATTTTTATAAATATTGTTTTACTGACTTCTGTAAATTTCAATTAGTAGAAGTATGATAATTATTGTGATTAATACCATGTTTACTTTTATTATTATAGTGAATGTGGAGTATCGATTACTAGAATAACAGCATAAGGAACATGAAACTAAAACAGCGCCAAATTAGCTTATAAAAGTTAAAATAACCTTCAAGTGGGTTCCTGTTGAATTTTCTTTAAGAGAAGTGACCATCTGGCAAAAGTGAATCATGCATTTTTCGAGTGAAGCGTCCACGTCGAGGCGCTCAAAGTTAAGAGAAGAAAAGTGGGACAAAAGGAGGTTAATATTTGTTTCTCTTCCGTAACTATTTTTTATATTTTATGAAAAACAACAAAAATTATAGCGTAGAATGATATAAGTATAAATATTATATATATAATATAAAAGTACAATAAATAATAAAGAGAAATAATACGTTAAGTAGGGCAGAATGCTGGCCATGGCTTTAGACACTTTGTTATTGGCCGTAATTTCGGTGTCATTCATTTTCTCTAAAAATACTGAAAGCTGGTAGTCCCCAATAAGCTTTTCATGGTCTTGAAATAGAGAGCCGTTAAGAGGAGTAGAATAAAAGTTTTCATTGGCTGCCTCGACAAGCGTTTCTATAAGGAGAAGAAGCCGGTGGATAATGTTTACGTGCGCATTCTGCACGTTAGAAAAATTTTATTGGCCAAAGCGCTAACAAAAAGGAAAAATAATAAACTTTTGAAAAGGCATTTATTAGAGTGTTTAGTAAAAGTTCCACAGCGTTAAACTGTTTGTCGCAAATCAAAGCCAGAATATTGCTCTGATATATATAGTAGTGATGATAATAACTATAATAATAATAATAGAAACAATATTGTAAAATAAAGTTCACCAAACGATCAACATTATTAAAAATACTTTTATCATAGAACAGCTCAAAAGTTTCAATATTAGCAAAGTTAAGTTTTTTGAAGCTTTAAAATCGACGATATCACTTAGCATTTTTATCTAGACATAATAATAATAATAAAATAATAATAATAATAATAATAATAATAATAATAATAATAATAATAATAATAATAATAATAATAATAATAATAATAATAATAATAATAATAATAATAATAATAATAATAAAATACCATTATAACTAGCCCGTCGCACTGCTGCAAGACTTTTGTTATTTCATATTTTAATTCTAATGTCAAGAATAAATGTACAGATAATAATCTTTAATTATTATAAAATTCATACCATTAACATTATTAATATAGTTATATTAGTTAACTATTAATAAAGTTACAATAGTTTATTATTAATAATAGTTTTTCTAGGTTTACTATTAATTATTATTCCACCGTTCACTTCGTTATTATTACACACAATATAATTTTCGCCATTCATATTATTGTTAACAATCAATTAAACTAGAGCAATTCTATAATTACTATTCATAATAGTTTTATTATAACTATCATTCTAATATTCATCATTATTTCTCCATATTATAATATATAATATATAACTTTCAAACATTATAAAACAATTATTATAAACAAACATTAAAATTTTTTTATAGAAGTTATAAGAAAACTTATCAAAAATAAATATTATATAATAATGAAATTACTTAATCGTTCCAGTTTATTTCTTTATGTTTTATAATATATATGTTAATTTATATGATATTTATATTGAAAATACCATAATTTGTTTATTATTATTATGTAACAACTTAATAAATTCAGTAATATCGTTATGAAAATAAAAGCATTAAAAAAGTGAAAAGCGGCCACCCGTATTAACATCCTCATCATCGGAAGCTTCAATGGAGTCTACTATATCTTCAGTGGCTTCGCCGTCCAAACCTTGCAAGCGGTAAACGACGACCATTGGAGGAACCTTAAAAAGGAAAATAAAAAAAAGATGAAAATTCTTATTTATAAAAGTTCTTATGGGTCATGATACATTTTGAAATTCAACATTTTCAAAGTAGATAATTAATATTAGTGAAATAAAAAATATAAATTTTTATTTGTTATTCGTTTCAATGATTTAAAAAATCCATTTAATAAAAAAAAGTCAGTACTTATTTTAATAGGCTAATATAAAAAAACCGCAATTTCATACATTATGACTTAACGACAAAAATGTATCGCTTTTAAAAAAAAGTCTTTTCATTATTTTTTAGGTTAAATTATAATAAAAGTATAAAAAGTAAACAAATAAACTTTTGTGTTCGGTTTGTTAGAGTTGATAAAGTGAGGCTTCCAAACGTGTTCGTATACACCTTCAACAGGCAGCTCTATCATTAAAAATATTGACATAATTTATATAGATTGTTGTCATGAGAAAAGTAGAAAACTACGGAATAACAAAGTTAATAAAAAACAAAAGATGATAATAATTTGAATAATTAATATTTTGAGCTTCAGTAAAAAATAAGAAAAAGTAACAAACAGAAACAATATAAAAATTGATATATAATATTAATAATAATAAGGATAACACTTTCAAACGATAGAATGATTACAAGGGAATAAATAATGAAAAATATATAAATCCTAACTAATAAAAAATTAAAATAAAGCAAAAACTTGAAGAAAAGTATTGATAAGAAATAATGTATACCAAGTTTGATGATTTTGTCGTGGACCAAAAGCTCCATGCCAAAGTCGTCTTCTACTAAACTAAGTAAAATCAATAAATAAAACGATTATAATTATTTAATAGTAAAACTGATTCAAAAAATAAGTAATAAAATCGGAACAAGTAAGAACCCAAAAAGCTCCAGCTGTTCACAAATCCTGTTTTTTATATCACGCATAGTTGGCGCTAAAAGTAAAGTCAATGATAAATTAACCAATAAAAAAGAATTAATGAAGAGAAAAAAAAACTTTCTGCGGAAGAGTCTCCAGTAGCAGTTACTTTTGAGTCTTTAGTGATCAATTCGCTTAAACTATTATGTATAGTGAAAGTAATAAATAATAATAAAAATAATATATAATAAAACATAATAATAATAACCGATAAGGATTTTTGGACATCCGTCCTCGAATAAACTCTTCTTGGGTTGATTTTTTTTCTAAAATAAGTAAAACTTCATTTTTGGGGGGATCCGGACAAATGATATTGCAGAGTTTTTCAAAGAGAAACAGTCTAGTCAATAAAGAAAAAGAACACGTAACAACGACATTGGCCAAGAATAAAAATTAAGCGGGAGACCGAATATTGCCCTCGTAGGCTCGTTTCGAAAGACTTTCAAAGCACGCAATTATAAAACTTTGTGCTTCATTTTTTGAGCCTATTCATGATTATAAAAAAAGTATAAAAGTTTAAAAAATACATAAAATATATTATTTTTTACTATTATAATAAAAAAGATAAAAATAATAATAAAATATATACATTTAACTATAATTATTAAGATATAATAAAAAAAAAGTATACATGCGATATACTTTTAAAAGAGACATAATAAAAATACGTATATATATATGCCGTTTACTTAAATGTTTGAAAAGTAATAAAAAAAAAGTTATAATAATAGATAAAAGAAAAGCATTCTATTAAAGAATAATAATAAAAAAATTTATTAATATAGCAAAAGTATAATAATAATAAAAGAAAAGTAACCAGTGGTTAGTTTGTCAAGCACAGAATTTAATGAAGTTTCAGCTTCGCTAGTAAACTTTGTTCGGTTATATAGGAGGGATCTGGGGGATATATATAGGTAAAATAAAGTTTTATTATAGTTATTATTATTATTTGTACTTATTTACTGTTCTCACATATTATAAAATATATTTATTATAGTCACTTATTATTAATACATTTTAAAGCGTAAAAAAAGGTTTGTAATATTAATTATTGAATTTACTTATTATTATAGAAATATAACTAAAATCTAATAAATAGTGAATATTGTAGTTACATATGACATATAAAATTAAAGAGGGATTATTAATATTAATATTAATATTTCATTGTATTTACGTATTACTATTATAAATAATATACTAATAATAAAGATATTTATTATTAATATTTAAATATTAGATTTACATTATTATAAAATAATAAAAATAAAAAGTTTTATTGCAGTCACTAAACATAATTATTAAATAAGGTATCATTAATTATAATTTTAACATCTTATTAGTAAATATAAGAAAATTATATAAGTGTTATTAATATAATAAAGTTATTGCATTTATTGATTATAATTATTTATATTAGTTATATAACGATAACCTTAATGTCAGAAAAGCATCAAAAACGATAGTGACAGCATTAAGTTTCTTGAAACGAGCGTACACACTTGGGTTGGTAATAAATTCAAGAAGAATTGTCGAATAAACTTTCATGGCGAAGCCTGAAAAGTGTTAATATAAAAGTTTCTCTAATACTAAAGCACAAATAATGTTAAGAATTCTAGGGAATATTGGTTATAAAAATAATAATAATATAAACCGGTCTCTAAACGAGGCTTCTTATTGGTCGTTTCTAAAATTTTAAGTTTTTCGTTTTCATTCGAAATATAATAGCAAAGAAGCGGCAAAATACCTCGAAAAGTCTAGATATAATAATTATAAATAAATGATGTGCTAACAGCAAAACTATAATTAATAATACTTGCATAATTAATAATATATTTCATAAAATAAATAAAAAAGATATAAAAAATACAGCTTATTGGAACATAGAATAAAAATAAAATATAATTTTATAAAAAAATATAAAAATATAAATAAAAAAGAATAATAATAGCTAGACTAAATATACACGTATTGAATTGTATAGAAAAAGTATAATAAAGAAGAGTATATAAATAAAATAAAAATATGTATAATATTATATAAATATAATAAGCGAATAAGAAAATAATAATATAGTTTAAAGAAAAATGCTAGAAAAGCAAAAAATAAGAATGTTAACCTCAATAAAAAAAAATTTAAGCAACATTTTAATGCTTTTTATATATAAAAAATGAAATAAAGCCGACATAAAATAAATGCAAAAAAAAAGTCTGGAAAAAAAGTTGATGGCTTATTATAATTTGCATAGATTTACTTTTGCATAATAATTAGCGAATATTTTTTCTTTTAACAGACCCAACCGCATTTACAATATTTAATTATTTTAAAAATTTAAATTTATATAGAAAATTTAATTTTTAGTTTTAAAATCTAAAAAAAAATTTTAAAGTAAATATTTTAGTGATATTATTATACTTTCAAAATTTATAATCAAAAAGCGTCACATTTTTAAAATTATATTTATAATTACAAATTTTAAAAGTTCATGTTATCATATTTATAAAATAAAATATTATTTTAAAAGTCCTTTATAAGTTTACATTTATTATTTATTTTTATATCTTATATAAATATAAAAAAATAAGAAAAAAATATTAAAGATTTTATATACAAATTTGATATTATTCTTATTGCATTCTTATTTTTAATTTATTTTTTTATACTTCATTGAATAATATGAATTTTTTTTTGTTTAAAACAAACATTTAAAAATAATTGGTACCAAAAAAGGTTTTTCGGTAGCACCTTCAGAGAGCACCATAAACAAATTCACAAATTCGCTAGAATGTGTTTCGGCTTCACCAACATTTCCAAGAAGACTTAGAAGAAACTCGAGGAGTTTGAAGCGCCGGAAAGGAGTTATGACGAGCGCTTGTATAAGCTTACAAGTAGCAGCTATAAATTTAGTGTACACGAATGAAATTTAAACATAATTGATGTAGTATAAGAGAATATATATTAAAAAAAATATATAAATATATACATGACAATTAAAAAGTATGTGTTATAAATATATTAAAAGAAATATCAAACTTAATAGAAACTTATTCTGCAAATAAAAAAATATATACACAAAAAAAATAAATGAAATATAAAACTAAAAATATAATATATTATTTAAAAAAAAAATGAAAATAGATAAATATATAAATTAATATATATTTATAATAAACAAAAATTAAAACATGGAGTAAATAAAGATAAAATAATGGAATAAGGTATTAAATATAATAAGAATTAAATAGAATTATTAAAGTTAATATATATTATAAATATTAATATTGAAGTAAAAATTTTCTTATATATAATATTTATGCATAAAAATAATGCGATAAAATAAAACAAATAAAGAATTTATCCAAAAAATTATAAATAGGATAATAAATTTAAAATAGTTTCAAGTTAACAAATATAAAAATGTTTAAAAATAATAAACTAAAGTTAAAGAATATAAACTAATAAATGTAAACAATTAATTAAAATAGAAATAAAAATTCCAAAGAAATGAAAAGAATTCACTAAAAATATGAAAAAAAGTTTCTAAAGCAACTAATGGTTATGTGAAAAATTAAAACCTTGAGGCAAGAAAGAAAATAAAATAGTATTTATATATAAAAATTTATTATATTTTTATATAAAAGAAAATATCTTTTAAAAAAAAATAAAGAATTCATAAAACAATAAAAAAAATAGCAAAAAATTTCGTAACCCGTAAAATATAATTAAAAAAATCAAGTAAAAAAAAGATTTAGAAAAGTTTATTCATATATTTTATTATATTATAATAAAGAAAAGTAAATAAAATGATTAAGTTAATATTTATATAAATAAAATATATAATTTGATAAAAACTTCGTAATTCAGGAGAAACGGGAGTAAAAAGAAGCCGCTTCAGCAAAAGCCCCATAGAATCGCCATTCGTCCGCTTGATTATAAAAAAACAAAATAAAAATAGTGATGGGAAATAAGTGATAGAAAATAAATATCCACAATCAACAAAGCAATACAACTGACAAAAGGTTAGGAAAAACAAGATAAACATTTAAAAAAAATATTTAAATATGGAATACGAAGAATTATTTTAATAAATCACTAGAAATAAAGAAAAGTATTGCATATATATTGATAAAGTAAAAGTATAGCAAAAAAAGATTGAAAGTAAATTAAAAGATACAGAGAATAGAAATATGCAACCACACGGTAAAAATAGCGAACTAAAAAATAAAAAAAAATTAAAAAAATAGTGAAGTTAAATAAAATAATACTGAATAAAATGAAAGCAAAGATATATAAAGAAATATAATAAAGTAAAAATAGACGAATGATTAAAAATTAAAAAAAAAAATTCAGTAAAAATTAAATGATATAAACCAAAAATTAAATCCAATAATTAAATGGAAAAGCAAAAATAATAATAAAAAAAGGATAAATGACAAAAGTAAGAAAAATAGAAAATATAAAAATAATAGAAAATTTATAATAGCATCTTAATATTGAAAGCAATGCAAACTGAATAGCTGTAGAAAAATAACATAATAATAAAATGTACAGCAAAAAATATTATATGAAAAGAATAAAATGCAAAAAAAATTATACAGTAAAGATAACAAAAGCATAATTAAAAAAATTAATTTTAAATAAATCATAGTAGCAATGCAAAGTGAATATTTCAATAAAAAAATAAAAAAAGAATGGAAAGCATAGAAAAGATAATTAGTATTAAAAATAAATTTTAAAAAAAGTGCACAGATAAATATAAGAAAGTTAGATAACAAAGCAGTACTTTTCCAAAAGTTCTATGAGTTTTTTGTTTCCAACTTAAAAAGTATTTCAACTTTTCAGCGTACAAGACGTCAGTGCTTACCTTAATAAAAATATTCACAAAAAAGTTGATATTAATAAAGTATAAAATAATTTTTACACTTTTATTTTATATTAATAAATTAATAATACAGGGATACAGGGATTAATATATTTATACAGAATAGATTTCATTATATAAAAAAAAATAATATCAGCTGAGCTAGAAAATTATGGATCCATTTAATTAATATATTGTTGTTATCAATATAAAAATTTTCTAATTTTTTAATATTTTCTTGTGGTTCCTTAATGTTTAGTAGGAAAACAGATATACTAAATATTATCTGACATATAATTTTTTTTTTTAATAATAACAATAATATAGTTATAAATAGACAATTCATAAAAAAAAAAGTACACAAAGATAAAAGTCTTCTAATGTTAGGAATATATACAAAATTAAGGTTTCATATTAATTTAATATTTTTTGCTATCTTTAAAATATAAATTTTATTTTATTAGTTATGAAATTATAAAATTATTTACATATAAATTTTGGACCTTGTTATAACGGACACACCATTTTTTAAAGGATACGTGCTCGTCCTTCCAGTCAGCGTAACTGGCCAATAATAGTAGTTCCATTTCGCAAGAAAACGAAGGCAAAACGTTTTGTTCAAGTAAAACGCTATTTTCGATTTTGCATTGGGTAGTAATAATGTCCAATAATGGAAGAGTAACGCAATGAGCCACCAACGGGCCAATTTTATCAATAGACTCTTTAAAAATTCCAAATACTGGAACAAACACAATATTGAATTAATTAAAAAAAATATAAAGAAAAAGTGTACTAGTTTTTAATAAAGATTCCCAGTAGCTATCTATATCCAGAACTGCGCTTAACTCTTTTAATAATAAAACATTATTATAAAGAAAAACTGTGAATCCATTGCATCCGCCGGCGCTAAGAAATTTCTAATAATATCATGTAAAGAAATTAAAAAATAAAAAAAGCGATAGAAAAGTAATAATATTCAGTAAAATTATAGGAGCTATTAAAAAAATTATATCAGAAAGTGATAATAACATTAAATAAAAAAAGGACTATAAAAATATATAAAAAACACATCCTCATTCACAATAAAATTGTTAAACAAAATATATAATCATTATAATTAAAAAAAAGACAAGAATAACATTAATATGAAAATAATACTTGCAAGCTGCTATTTATTAAGTTGAGAAGGAGTTTCAGTAATTCTTCGTCATTTTTAAGCAACAAACACAAAAGTTTTCTTTTCAAAACGTTCAGGTGCGGGGAATGCCGGAACGAAAAGTATATATTCTTTATATAGAAAATAAAAAAAATTAAAAAATGACAATATAAAAATATTGTTAAAATTGGAATACCGCAAAGTAATTATGCTAAACATAATATCAATCAGATAGCCACGTTATAAAATTCGGAGAATAATATTAATAGAAACTATATAAAATAATTTCAATATAAATGGCACAAAAACATCCAGACCAATCAGATTTATAATGATTTTTATAATATTCGCAGAATATTAGACATTACAAAAAGAGAAAATAAAGTTTTATATAAAATTTTATTTGATAAAAAATATTATAAATAATGAATGAAAATATTAAACCTGAGTTTGAGAAATCAAGTTAACAGATGAAAACTATAGAAAGAAGCGAAAATGTAAAAACAAAAAAATTATTTAAATAACTCAAAGAAGCCAATAGCGAGTAGACGATAAAAAGTAACTAATAAAAGAATGACACATAATACTTGTTCGTAATAATTAAAAATAAGAAACATTAGAAGTTTACTAAATACTAACCAATAAACATTCATCTATAATTTTATATAGTTAATGAGTATAATAAATGCAAGCACTATTAACAGTCACTGATGGCCCAATAAAATAGAGGCGGCAAGTAAAATTCGATTAAAAATTATTACTTTTCAAAAAAATAAAATTATTAAAAGGACCTTCAAAAGATTTAATGAATCAGAAGGGCAGCTAAACTTTGGGGTTTCCAAAGAAGAGTAGTCAATGAAAATCCGAAGGGCATTAGCGAACCACAAATTAGAACAACCCCAGCAGGATGTAGTAGAGGCCACTGACTATAAATATATAGAATAATTCATTGGCTCATAAAACGTAAGGATAAATTCATCAATAAGAAAAGTTATCGACTACCAAAAAAATAAATTAAATTAGTATCACAAAAAAAAAAGTAAAAAAAATAAAACTAATAAGTTTAAAGAAATACATAATAAAGATTTATATGATTGGGATTATAAATAAATAAAAAAAGGTAAAAAGGTAAATAAATTTAAAAAATATAAAAGTAAATAAAAAAAGTTATATTATAAATAAAAGTAAAACATTAGTAGTAAAAAAAGATATAATTATATTATTAAAAGCAAAAACTTACTAAAAATAGGTGCTACAAAGCGAACATAATAAGATTTAGTCAATTAAAAGAGAAAAGGAAGTAATAAAAGTACATACAGCATAGTTATGAGCCAATGAAGCTTCTTCAAAGGAATTTTGGTAAGCACGAATTTTTTCCTTCAAAAGTATAAGTTTGTAAAAATTATTTACTACTATTTCGTGCTCGGCTTTGCAGTCTAGTAATAATAATGATGATGATGATGATAACGAATAAAAAACAAAAAAAAAACCAGAATTGTATATTTTTTGAAAAGTCTTTAGAGAAGAATCACTATTGGGCCTATTCTATAGGGAAAAAAAAATTTACCAAAACTTAATGAATAATAATCACAGCAAGAATAATAATGAAAGTTTACCTCTGGAACAAAATATTCAAGAAGTTCTCGCTTATACTCCATTAAGCGCTGCTGAGATGTGTAAATAGTATTTAAATACTTATCAACCAATTCTTTTGCTTTGTCCTGTTTAAGATAATAATGATAATAATAAGATTGAGTATATTAACAAACCAAATCATCGTCATTTTTAATAATGAAATCGTCGACAAGAGCTCGCTTACAATATAAAAGAAATTCAAACCTAAAAGAAATAATAATAATTATAATGATAATAATAATAAGAATAATAAGAATAACAATAACAATATGAATAACAATAGTAATAATAATAAGCAACCTTGCGTATTTGCAGTAACCGCATTCGATGCAAAAAAAGGCCTTCAAGTTTTCATAATAGATACTACGACAAGCACGGCACTGATGAGCAGTTTCCCAACAAATTCCGCAAATACCTAAAAAAAAAATTAAATGTTTGATTATATAATAAATAACAAAGTTATAATTACAAGTCAAAAACTTAAAAACTATTGAAAAAATTTAATTTTATATTAGTTTCATTAAAAATTATTTAATCTGGTGGACATTAATATACATAAAAAATGATGTAATAACAAGCAATAAAGATATTATTATTAGTCTAAAAAAAGTAGGAAATAGAAAAAAAAAATACATTAATTATATTTATGTTTCATTAAAAAAATAGTATATTATTATAGTGAAAATTTATAACTATAGATCACGTTGCAGTGTACCGTGCTTGTCAGTAACTACTTTGTTGCAGCGAAGGCAAACTAAACGCTCAAAAGCAAGACTCGGACTTTCATAAAAAGCACTAAAATCAATCTATAACATAATAATAAAGATAATATTCCATAAATAACAGTAAGTACTATGAACCATGAGGTTATTAGCTACACACGGAATAGGAAACTCGACTTTGAGTTCTGTTTGGCCAGGAGAAAAACAAGCAGTTTGAAGTAGACGCCACTCTTCCATACGCCCTTGGAGAATTTTTTTAGTAAAACATAATAATAAAAGTATGCTTTTCTTATGAAAAATTTTGTAATTTTTAATGAGCCAATTAAAAATGAAACATTGTAAGTCCATGGGCGATTTATTTATAAAATCTAATGAGCGAATAAATACCAAACAGTTAAAAATATATATAAAATAGGCTTATTAGATGCGCACTCAAATAAGTGAAACCAATAAATATATGCAATTTAGTTTCAATATACATTAAATATAATGCTTGAATATTATAATAATAAAATTTCTAAAATAATACCATTAACCAATGGCAACTGCTTTGAATGGAGAACAACACACATATAAAACAATAGAAACATTCACTAATTATAATAAGAATAAGCTGCGTAAAGAATTTTTTTAAAAAATAAAGCTAAAATTTCATGTTGCTTAATAAAAATTTGCCCGAAATATTGTGAAAAATTAAAAAATTAAGATGAAAAAGCTAAAGAACGACACTATATAAAGTTCATTAAAACTAATGAAAATTATAAAATAAGAAACAAACCGAGATAACAATTTCAAAATACATAATGAGCTTAAATAATAATATATAAGAAATTGTATCCTAATAACTGCGTTTTTCATAATTATATATAATAAAGTAAAGAAAAACATAATCATAAATGTAATATAAAAATAACGAGCAAATCAGTATAACATAATAAAAAATTCATGCGAGAAAACCTTTTAGTTCGCTGATGCTTCCCACATTATTAGAATTGTAAAAAATTTGTAGGGTTTTTATTTGCTTCAATGCTATTTATATAATTCATTAAAAAAAGGTAATATAAAAAATAAAAACCAATAATAATACATATAAATACATTAAAATTAAAACATAAATAAATATATAATATAATAAAAAGAAATTTTTTTTCTACATAAAAAAAGTTACGTGAAATATCGGAAACTTTCAGAATAATAGAAGAAAGCTTTTGTGAAGTCTTTAGTTTGATCCATTGAGCGTCTTTAGTATATAAAAAAAGATTTGAAAAAATTATAAAGTAAAATTATTTACACAATTGCGTTAAAATGATTTAGAAATCATAAATTCAAAAAATAATAATAAAGTAAAATAATAAAGAAAACAAAAAAAATTAATAATAATAAAAAAATTTTAATGGCGAGTAGAAAATAAATAAATATCATGGATTTTTTTTAAGGGCAATACTATAAATTTAGAAAACTATATTAAAAGATTATGAAGACAATACATTTAAATAATAGCAATAAAACATTAAGAAATTGTTAAGATAGAAAGTAATATTACGAAAGAAATCCACTAAAAAAATAATTAAAAAGTATCGGAATATAATAAAAAATTAATGAGTGACTAAAAAAAAATGGAATATGTATTTTAAAAATAGAAATGTAAGAATAATATAAAATAATAAAAAATTATAATATTTAAGAAATTAAAAGAAAATTAAAAAGGAAATACTTAATAAAAACAATATAAATAAGAAAGTATCAAATATAATAAACAAAAAAGAAAATAGTGAAGTATACTAAAAATTAATGAGAAAAATATAAAAGTGAACACTTTATTTAAAATAATAAAAATTTACTAAAAGGGATAAGAAAGTTAAAAAACTTTACTATATAAACAAAAAGAAAATATATCAATAATAAAGTACACATTCCGTAGAAAATAATGAAAATTAATTAAAAAAATATAAAGAAGTTACAAGAAATATAATTACAACAATTTTAATAAGTATAATAAAAAATAAGTAAATAATAAAAAAATAAAAGGATATATTATACGTTTAAAGTTAAAGAAAAATAAACAATATTTTTATAATATAATAAACAAGAGAAAAATGTAAAAAAATATATATAAAGTATATAATGTAGGAAATTTATTAAAATATTTCAAAGAAAATATCAAATAAACATAATTACATGAAAACTATAAATATAGAAGCAAAAAAAAACATAAAAAATATAGAAAAAAGAGACAAAAAAGTATTATAAAAGTATTAAAACAGTTAAAAAGAACATGAGACAAAAAAGAGAGGGAAAGTATTAGCTTTATAAATAAAAATAAAAAAAATAAACTACAAAGAGTTCAATAAAATAATAAATAAATAAATAAAAAGTAAATCCCAATTAAAATTATTATAAATAAATACATAAAAGTTAATTTCTGTAAAAAAAATACAAAAGAAACTGTAAGAGTAATCAAGAAAAATATTTATAAAGAAATGTATACTAAAAGTAAAAAAATATAATCTCATAAATAATAAATACAAAAAACATAAAAATGTATAAAAAACTTTATAATAGAAATAAAATAAGTAACGTTATACATAATAATACTAAAAAACAATAAAATAGAATAAAGTAAATATAAGAAAAAAATTTGCAAATATTAGAAAAAAGAATTTTAAAAAAAAAGCCAAAAAAAAGTACGATCAGTATATTTTGTTTCAGCGGATATTTGAGTCAATAAGAGTTCTTTATAAGGCTCCTCAGTAAAACTAATGAATAAATTTTAATATGGCAAATAAAAAAAAATTATAAAATAGTGAATTGGTTTCTTAATATAATAAATATAGCATTAAAGTATAGCAATAAAAATATAATTATAATAAAATTAGAAACACTATGAATAAAAAGATATTATTATATAATATCATAAATAATGAAAAACTCATTAGTGATAGAAATTTATGAAACTATCGATAATAATAAAAATACATAAATACAATATCAGAGGTTACCAAATAATAAGGAAATATAAAACCGAAAAATTATTAATACGTAAAATAATAATTATTGAATAGAATAATAATAAGATATTTTAAAATAACAGAGAAATATAATTATAATAAATATATTATATTAAGAATGGTTAAATAAAATATTAAGGTAAAGGGGATAAAAATGTTGAGGAACAATTCATAAAAATTAAAAATTAATAGTTAATTATAAAAAAAATACTAATTTTATAAAGAACTAATATTTAATATTAAAAAAAAGGCTTAAATAGAAGGAAGAAAAATAAAGAAAAGATGCAATATAGAAAAACAACACTATTTATATATTAAAAAATAAGAAACTACAAAAAAATAAGTGATATGCATGAATAATTAGATAACAGTAAAAAAAATATGAAATAGAGAAAAAGTATTCATAAATAATGAAAATTATTATAATAATAGATAATAATAAACATAATTATAAAAAAGTAAAAAATAGCTAAAACAAGTAAAAAAAATAAAAGATTAAGAAGTAATAAAATAATGATATATATAATTACATAATAATGAAGTATTGAATAATAATAATAAATTATTAAAAAGTAAATTTCATATTATAAAATATCAAAACATATAAAAAAATTTTATAGTTATAGTAAATGTATGAACGAATGAATTATTTAAAAAACTTAAAGTAAAATAAAAATATTAAAAAAAATTATAGGTGACAATATTAAGAAGATACACTCGTATACAGAAATAAATTATATGAAAGAGTAAAGGTAACAATAAAAATACATTGAAAAAGAGTACTGAATATAATAATAATAATAATAATAATAATAATAATAATAATAATAATAATAATAATAATAATAATAATAATAATAATAATAATAATAATAATAATAATAATAATAATAATAATAATGCCTGCAAGACAAGCAAGGATCCTTCTCAAAATAAAAACCGCTTAAAATAAAGGATTCTTGTAATGAACTATAAATATACGCGTTTGAATGTTTTATATAAAAGTTGTTAAACTTTTCAAAACAAGTTGAAAGTTTTTGAATGAACTCTAAATATTATGTATATATAAATATATACAATAGATTTATAAGAAAAAGTAAATAATAATACATTACCGTTATTAATATTTCTGAAGAATCGAAGGCACCAAATAACTAATTCAGTAAGTTCGTTGCTAATAAATAATGATTTTGAAAAGATATAAGAGTAATAATAAGGCATAATAAGAATAAACACCTGAAACAAGAAAACCCGAAAACTTCATGCCATATTTTCAGAAGATAAGTAAAAAAACTTTGCTGAAAAATTATATTCACGTTCATTAAAAAGCTGGACGGTTAACAATGGTTAATTATTCGCGTCATTAACAGAGGGAAAAAATATACCACTGCGCCAAGCGCAAAGCATGCTTTCGGATGTCTGCCATTGGGGAGTGAAGGACAAAGTCTAAAAGTAATTCGAGAAAAGGGTTTTCTGAAAACTTCTTCGTGCTTTTATTCCCGAGACTTTGACTGAACCACTTTAATAATGCTGAATTTTCATTGCGCTCTTCAGTCTTCGTAACATAATAATAATATGAAATTCATTAAAAAATAATACCTCCAAAAAGTGAACATATAATTAGTTATTAAAAATATACCGAATTTCGTTGGAGATTTTCCGATTCCCGTTCGGTTTGTCTAAAAATATGAATAATAGAGGCATTGCCCCTGAAGTGAAAGCAACAAATAAAAATAAGTTTCAAAATACACGTTGGTGGTGGTGCAAAGGCATCTTTCAATAATTTTCATTAATGTAAGTTTGACGTCATCGCAGAGGCTTGGTAGAAGTGTGACCAATAAGCATTTGTTGCCAATTATTATTGACGAATCATCAGCTTCGCTATTATTGCGCACTACAGCATGTCCGTATAAATTGAGGATAAACATTCTCCAATTGTGTGGGCGTAATTGAGCTCTTTCATTGAGTTCATTAAAAATGTTGCTCTAAGAAAAACGTTTTGAGAAACAGTATTTATATTCACGTGTAAATGACATTTAATGAAAAAAATTACCCAACAATTATTATTTGCTCGCACAGAAATAAAGATGATTTAAAATATTTAAAAAATAAAACGAATTAAGTTGTGAATTTTATTCCTAAAAAATATCAAATGCCGATAAAATTTTCGCTAAAAAATATTGAAAAAATTATGGTGAAAGTTGGAAAATGTAATTTTTATGAAGTAATTCGCATTGAAAAGATTGATAAATATGACTTTTGTTCCAGCTTGTCAAAAATTAAAATAAAAAAAACAATACATTTTTTAATTAAAACCGTTAATTATTTTCAACTCTCAGCGTATCTTTAGTAAAATTTACATTAGAAAAACTTTTTAATTCTCAGTATATTTATTGAGTAGATTCATTTTTTAGTATATATAACTTCTTTTAATAAAACAATAAATCTAATAACTTTTTATATAAACTTTATTCTTAAAAATATATTTATTTAAAATATGGAAAAAAATAACTTTATTAACTTCACACTTTCACTATTTTGCTAAAAAAATTTATACTTTTGTAATGACTTTAACTAAAAGTCTACTTTTTAAAATACTTTAAAAAAAATTGCTATAAAAGTTTACTAAAACTCAGAGAAACAATTTAATGTTTCACTATTAAATAGTATAAAAAACTATCGTATATTGAATTATAACAAAGAAAACTATAAATAAAAATTCAGTTAAAATAATCACTATTACTCATTTAAGGTTAATTATTCAACTCATTAAAAGTATTAAAATATTTCAAAACTTCTATAAAAAAAATTGATAATTTCTTTTAAATATAATTAAAATAATTTCATAATTATTATTAATTAGACTTTTTGCAATGAATATTATACATTATTATAACTTGTATAAAATTTTACTAGCATTTCAATAAAAATGTTTACATTCTTCAAAAAAAATTATAGATAAAAAATATTCATTATAAATGTAAAAAAAAATTTAAGAACACGAACACTATAAAAGTTGTAAATCATTAGTTTTTGGTACCAATGAAGCAACAGACTCGTAAGAGGAGTTCTCGTAATCGGATTGGTGCTTATAAAGATAATGGAGATGTTTCGCATAACAAAACGTATCGCGTTCCTTTTAAAATTTTCATTAATAATAAGAAAATAATTTCATAATTTTACTCTAAACAACAAAAAATTTAAATAAGGTGTTTAGAATAATAATAATAATAAAAAGAAAATATTGTGAAATTTTTATGATAGTAAAAAAAAAAGGATTTTATAAAATAATAAGGGATTATTTATATATTATATAATAATATTATTTTTTTTAGCAAATAAATACAAAAATTATATATTATAATAGTGTTGTAATAGAAAATATTCTCATCGTTATATATATACAATAAGCATATTCAAAATAGAATGAGAAAAAATAAAGTACTTTTTAAAGTTACCAGATTGTGTAAAGAGCTAAAACTTTAATAATTACTATACATATAAGATAAAAAATTTCAAAGATTTGTAAGAAAAAAAAAAGCAGACTGATTAAAAAGGAGAGCAATAATATAAAAATATAGGAAAGACCCAATAATATTCGTGATTGGAGGGACAGACGGCGCGGAAGAAGAGCGTGGCTATCGAGTGCAGGTTGGAACAGTGCTTATCGTCTTAATAAGAGTATAAGAAAATAAATTATAATAATACAGTAAAACAGTCATCAAAAATAATGAACAACTTTTATAGAGAAATACCCAATACTCTACAGAATATTTGAATCCACTCCCTTTTAACAACTTCACTGTTTTCAAAGAACACGCCATACGGATCACACGTGTTAAAGGCGCACGACTGCACAATTTCCGGCACGTCAGCGCTTTCCCCTAGCCATTGAAAAAGGCGGTGGCTCAATGACAACAACCGCATAAGGAAAAATTCATGAAATCTTTCGAAGCAATTCGCGGGTTCTTCAGAAACGCGATAAAAAAAAAATGGCGCCAATCTCAATGCCGCTCTCCCGGGGAGCGGTAAGGTGTTAACTTCAACCACTTGCTCTATTGGGAAAATGCCGCTATCACCGGATTGGCCCGAAACAACCGTATTAGCAAGAAGAGAGACGGAAAACATGTCAGCCTGCATTATGCTTGCAACACTGGATTGGTAAGTCTTGAGCCAACCAAGAGTAGCTGTTTTAAGCCAGTGGAATAAATAATGGAGCGATTGCTGGAGATAAGTCATTTGGCAGCAACGAATGTCGACAAAGGAGTTAAATTGGGGCAAGGAAAATAGACGGTACAGCGTGTAACGTCGGCCGCTCCAGACTGCATGCATGTCCACTGAAAAGCTTTCTTTAGACGAGTCGCTCGTTTTTACTGGTTTCTCTTTAACAGTGACACTACTTAACGCACGTGAATTCCGGTCTTCCTCGGGACAGTGACCTTTCTTGACAAAGGGGTCGCCAAAAGCAGGCACAAATAAAAATTCCAGCAGGGTCAATTTATAGTAAAGCTCGCAGTTATTAGTGTCTCGAAAGGGCTCCTTCAAGTCACTGGTGCAAAAGTCGTATAAGCAAGGCAATAAGCATGGCGGTTGAGCATGGGATTCTCCGAAGCGTAAAAAGACGTCACCATAGTTTTTGAGTAACTGGTACACTACTTGATAGAACCCCAACAATTGGGGCTGAAAAGCTGAAGAATGTCGCGTAGGATTTAAGCGGGAAGAATTAGTTCTATGATTTAGTAAACAAGTGATAAACTGCTCCTGAAAAAGACGTGCTAAAGCTTCCAGTTTTGTTGAGGAAGAGGAGATGGTGGGAAAAAGATGCCTAAACACGTTGAGATCTTTGATAGATAAACTGGTCAAGTAATTTCGCGTGGCTTCAACAAATTCGGCACAAAGTTGCTTAAAAAAAGGAATTATTGTATTAAATAAAATATGGCAGCAAAAAAACCTCATTTGAAAGAAATCGAAAGAGCCAATCAGCCACCCACATATTAACGACGGGGCCAATGCCGTCTAAATCCGCAAATAGCATTAATGGCAATAATTGAAAATAAAAGGAAAAAAACTGACCGAGCAACAGCGGTAACGTTATAACCAATCGAAATAAAAAAGGAACAAAAAGGCCAATAGCCTTTATTTTCAGGGCCACAGGAAACTTTGAGGTGTGCGTCATAAAGAATGAGATAACTTTTTCAGCGAAACAAAGGAAAGGAAAGTCCTCTAGAGAGATTTTTCCCTCATTGGTTGATAATTTCACTAAAATATCATGGAGAGATTCGCTGCTAATAAGGCAATTGACTTCCGCGAGGCGTTTAGCAGATATTTTCACAAGAGACGAAAGTCCATCAATAAACTGCTCAGCAATTTCGGTGAAATTACTAGCAGAAGATGATATTATGCCACAAAGTTTCTGCATAACATGTTTATCCTTCACGTTGTGGTAAGCAGACTTCAGTGGACAGATTGTTTTTAAACTACTCATCATTGGTAATTAGAAAATAGTAACAACCCGTTATTTTGGTAGAGATTTTAACGATAAGCAAAAGGTATGTTTCATGGGTCAATCAAACGTACGTGGATTTTAAGATCTTTTCAACATAGACTGGGACGCCCTTCATTAAAAGTTGTGCAATAGTCGACTCTATAATATTCCACTGACCATCCTCTTGATCTTTATCAATAAAAAGAATTTGATAAAGTTTAATAATAAAGGAAATAAATGCAAACATTGAGTTTCTGCACGACTGGAAGAAAAGTAAAGATGAGAGAACAATGCACAACATTCACTACAAAATTGTTCAAGCGAAGTAAATTTTCCTATTGAGAAAATAGTAACATTTACGAAAAAAGTTGAACAGCAGTATGCAATTATTTAAATGAAACAGAATTTATAGAAAAATTAAGTAACAGCCGTATAATAATAATTGGGAAAAAAATTATAAAAAAAATCATGAACACAATTGCATTAATAATAAAGAATACGTTAACAATTAATTAATAATAAATAAAATTAAGATATAATAAATAACAATAGTAAAAGTAAAAAAAGTATTACTAAAAAAAAAGGAAAGAGTCATTTTTACAAACAATAAAAATATATAAACACAATGATTCTATTAATAAAGAAATTGAAAAAAAATTATAAATAAAATACTGAAATATTAAGATTTATTTATTATGTTAAACCTAAAATAAACAGTTAACATTATTGTAGCATTACTGTAAAATAACCAATAGCACGCTATCATGCTAAAAAAGAGAATCAGTCATTGGTAAGAAAGTTTTCGTTAATCATTATAAACATATAATAATAATAGTAAAATACTGATTATTATATTTTTTTTTCCAAAGTTATTAATTATTAAAACTAAACAAAAATTATAATAATTTTACAATAACAATGTATTAAATAGCATTAGGAATATAGAATAAAAACATAAAAAAGATATATAAATATATGCTACTTTTTTTAAAGCAGCAAACAGTTATGGTTATTTTTTACTTATTATTTTAGAAATAACAAAATAAGAGGTAATATAAAATAACCAGAATCAAAAAATTTAGTGTTTAAAGTTTGTAGTTCACGTGCGGGTATGCCATAAACTGAAAGAAAAATAATAAATTTATAAATGTTTTATATAATAATAAAAGTAAAATGTAAAAATATAACAATATAAAATTATAAAATATTCAGAAGAAATAATGAACCTTGGATAGAATCAATGATTGGTAGTTTACTGGGATCAAAACATTCAGAAAAAAATAAGTCAAATTCAGAGCCAATAGAAAGGGCTTCTTCCAGAGTGAAGGGAATTGGATAACACCGCATTTCTGGGTCATAAAAAATATATACAAACATAATAAATGACAAATATACATAACATTAATAGTAAATTAGGTTGTATTTTTATAAAAAATATTTAATGAAAATATTTAAAAAAATATAAACATTGAATTATTTATCGAGACATTTTCATTTTTATTTCATATAGCGTATAATACAAAATACAGTAAATAATAGTAAATATATTGCAAAGAAGAAAGAGATATCTTTTAATGAAACGTTAAGAATAATAAAATTAAAAAAAATAAGTAAATTATATAAAAGAAATATAGAAAAAAGTAAAACAAATAAACTTAAAAATATGAATAAATGTAAAAAGAAATATAAAGTATTAGTTTCTTTTAATATATTAAATATAAAAATTATTAATATCGATAAAAGTGAAACATGTATTAATAGTAAAAAAAGACATTTAACTGACTCAACTAAGTCGTAACAACGCTCAGTATAAAAAGTAATACCAAAACGAATAAAGCTAATCAATGGTAAGAATTAAGTAGAATACCATTTCTAAAATAATATTTTCGGTCCAGGAATTTTACGTATTTAGGAATATGTAAAAGATGGTTTTCCCCTTACAAAATAAATAATGAAATTAATAACAACAATAACAATAATAATAAACCTAAGCGAAGTACAACTCCAGTAATTTTTGTGAACGGGTTTAAAATCAGAATAGTTATAGTAAACCCGTTAGGCGAGGGAGCCGTAATAAACTCTTTTTCTTTTGAAAGCCTGATGAGTAAAATAATATATAAATATATAAGAAAATATATTAACATATACGTAGAGATAGATAAATTTTAAAAATACATATGGATGTACACTAATAATAATAAACAAATAAATATAGTGAGCAATATATATATAATGAGATAATTGAAGATACATAATAATAATAATAAATAAATAAAATAATTACCATATTATCGTATACAGATGTATAATAATGATAATAACAACGAAAAATTATAATAATAATAGAAAAGAGCCTTTCATAAGCCATTTGAACGGTATAATTCTGCAGTATATCATTTCCAATAAAACGCACTTCATTCTTTTATTATTACAAATTATGAAAAATAAATTAAGTATATACGAAATGTTATAAAGACGAGCTTATTTAATATTAATAATCATAGAAAAAAATCACTAATAACATTTATCATATGTATAAAAAAGAAAATAGTCTAAACAAGAAATATAATAAACGTTCAGAAATAATAATTGTTATTAAAATTCTTCTCAGAATAAAAACAATAATTAGTAATAGTAATAATAGGGTTTTTTTAATGAGAATATTGATAAATAAATATCAATTATGTATTTAATTATATTATTAATAAACACTATAAATATTACAGTCAGGTCAGTGGCGCGCTCAAAAAAGTCAAAGGGTAAATAATTTTCTTTGTATAAATAATGATTGGAGAGCAAAAGGTGAAGCTCCTGGAATTTATATAAATATTATCAATAAAAATAATAAACTTTCCTGTTCGTTACCGTTATTATGAACTTAATGATTTAGCTTATAAATACGTTGTATATTATAATTATTTTTTAAGTACTTATTTTTATAGTGTAAATATTTTATTATAGAAAAAGTAGAAAAAAGGCAACATAAAAAAGAAGTTATATTACATATTAAATTATAATAAACTTGATATTTATATAAGAAATGGTATAAAATGATACAGAAAACTAATCAAAAAAGAATTGTAAAATCGAACATATAATAAAAATCATTAAAAGTAAAAGAAGTTTATAATATTTATTAATCAAGAAAAATGTTAACAAATAAATATAATAATATAAAAATGGTTCATTAAAAAGAAGTTACATAAAGTTTATATTAAGACTAATATAAATTTTTTTTTATATTTATAATGTTAAAAAATGTAAAAAAATAAATTAAGAATTTATAAAATTAATAACATTCACAGTATTACGAGAAAACATAATAATTATTAGTCAACATCATCATAATAAAAGAAAAAGTTTGTATGCAATAATTAAAAAAAGAAACATAAAAATATATAGAAGAAATAAAATGTATAAAAATATAAATAATAATAGAATAGTAGCTTTTAATAAAATTATAAATAAAAATATTACGATAAATAATAATATATGAAGCATAAAATTTTAACTTAATAAACATAAAATAAAATAATAAAGAATTGTAAAAAAAGAAAAAATCTGCATTTTCACAAAAATTTAATAAAAATAAATATAATAGAAAAGTAAAAGAAAAAAATATTCCAAAAAAAAAATACATAAGTATACATGAAAATAAAGTTTTTAATAATTAACATAATAACGCAAAAATAAATATAATATGCCTAATAAATTACTAATATTATTTATATCTTAAAGTATATATAAAAAATGACAGCAGAAATAAAGTAAAGCATAAATTTACATATAATACAATAATAATTAAAAATAATAATACTTTAACAAATAAAATATAAAATTTACTAACGATAATAAAATATATAAATGTAAAATATAAAATAAAATTATATGAAAAAAATAACAAAACGAAAAATGTTATAGAAGAATAAAAAATAAAACAAAAGTATGATTACAAAGAAATATTTATCAACAAAGTTAATAATAAGTAATGATTGGTAATAATAAAAACTATATTTACTAAGTAAAAAGTAAATAGAAAAATATTTTTATATATAAAACACACTAAAAGGTTATACAGAAGTTATAAAAGAATTTTATATAAAAATAATGAAGATAATATAATAATAAAGTACACAAAAAAAAATAATTATTATTACTAATATCAATAGGTAATAAGGAAAAAAGGTAATACCTAAAAAAAAAATTTGTAAAAAGTTATTGAAGAACTAAAAAAGTAATAATAACAATAATAAAAGAAACAATATAAGGTCATAAATATAAGTTTTAATAATATTTATAAATTAACTATAAACCAGTATTTAATAAGTTACAAGTAACTAAATTTGAAAAAAGGATAAATAATAATAAAAAGACTATTCTATAAAAAATATGTAATATAAAGAAAAAAATACATAATATATAAATATTTTAAAGAATTATAATAAACAAAACAATACATTATAAAAAAATAAAATATATGAAGATAAATGATAAGAACATTATAATAAATTAAACAAAAAAGCTATAAAGTTATAATAATAATACATTATTATTAGTGAGGTGCTTTAAAAATTGCTTTAATGGCGCTGAAAACTGCACACGAGAAATTGCCTGTATAGTAAAATAAGTTAATAAAAATAATAATTCTTTTAAATAGTATTATCTTTTTAGAAACATGTTTTTTATTTATTTTAAGTAATATAAAAATAGAATAGTAAATATATACATAACATAATAAGAGTAAATAAGATATGAAAAATTATTAAGAATATATTAATATAAAGCAATTATATAGTTAAAAATAAATAAGAAAGGCATATAACTTTTCTAAAATAAAAAGGAATAGACAAACTTTTTCTAAATAAGAAAATTATAATAACAAAAAATATAATAGAAATAATATTAAAATAATTAGTCAATAAACATTTTTATAAAAAATAATATATATTTTTTATGCGTTAGAATGTGTTTTTATGAAAAGAATAATAGTGAAACTCCGTCCGTGGAAAGCGCGTATAAAGAAAAGTTGTAGGGATCTCGCGAAGAATATGTTAACTCGCAAATGCCTTCAACATTACTTTTTAAGTAAACACTCTTTACAAAAATGTATCAAAAAATTTATTAAATATTAAAATAAAAAAATGAGTACTGTTGAGCTTGATTGGTCCCCAGAGGAAATATCAACGAACAATAATTCAGGGCTCCCGTACTTCATAAGAACTATTAATTCTAGAAGAATCGTAATAAGAAAATAATAACAATAATAGAAACTTTAACAAAAAAAGTTAACTATATTCAAAAACTGAAGTTTACATAAACAAAAAAAAAACTTTTGGTAACTAAAAGCTACACATAGAAAAGTTACAAAAATATAAATAACAATAGTAGTGTTCATAATAATAAAAGCAAACCAGGAAAAGTCTGCAGCTCGTAAAAATACGCAATCTTGTCCGATTCGGTGTCGTAGAAAATTTTGTCTTTGTTAACGCCCCCAACAATTTTGCTGGACGGAGCACCTCCCGATCGGAAATCAATGGCACCAATACTTCCTTATAAAAAGCATTAAATTTTTGATTTATTTTACTTATCTAAATATCTCTATATAAATAATCTTAATATTAACCGTCATAATAAAAAAGAAGCAATTTTTTAAGGAATGTTGAGTATCCAAGAAAATAAGAATTCTCCAGTAAGATCATGTATAACGCATCTTCAATTAAACTCTGGCGGCCCACGGAGGAAGTAGCGTCATCTTCCTCCATTTTGATAAGCTTTGAAATATACCTTGAAATGTAAACTTAGTAACAGAGATATTGAGGAATAAAAATAGCGCATAAAAAAAAGTAAACCGATAAAAGATAGTATAAGGAATAATAATGACTACAATGATGATTGCGAAGTTTCTGTGCATATAAAAAATTCGTTCGTCTCATCGCCCACAAAAAAAATGCAGTTTACGATCACGTGGTTGTCACATACGCAATAACAATTGATCGGAGAAATATTATCTACAAAAAATAGTGAAAAAAAATTTGTAAAGTGTGCAGTGGAAAAATTGCACTACTTTTACTATTTACTATATAAACTGAATAAAAGGTAAGGATGATATACGTGCATAATAATAGAGATAAACGAAAAAAAGTGTAACAAGAAAAAGAAAATATAAGATAATAATATAAATAGTAAGAAAAAAGGAGAAGCAATATAAATCTATATATAAATAAAACAAAATGTCTTGTAATATCAGTATAAACATCTATTATATTTGTAATTATAACATAAATATGATTATAATTTAGGTTTATATTATTTTTTTTAAAAAGTATAAAAATATTAACCATAATCACAAAACTTTTCTATAAAAAAAATTTAAATATTTAATTTTTTATTGATTCTAATAAATATAATATTAAAAAGTGAGAAAAGATATTCTCACAATATTCAAAAAATAATAACATAAAAAAATTATTGTACTTTATTATAAAAATAATATAATTGAGTAATATTACTTCAATTTTTATAAAAAGGATAGCAATAAAAAAATATTATATTAATTATTTTTAAAGCATTCCGAAAATTTATTAAATAAAACTTTACTATATACATTTAGCTTCGTATTATTCTGGATTATTTAAAGTAAAACAGAATAATTAAATTTACTATTATCTGGATTTATAAAGCCCTGCATATTATTATATAAAAATTATATATTTTTCTTTTATATTTTTTATTATTATATAGAAAATAAAAATATTTTTGGATTATTACATTATAATCATAAAACAAACCATAAATAAAAACTTTTGAAATATTTCTTACCTTTTAATAATTCATATACTTTCACAAAATTCGTTGTAATAACGGCTATACGAGTCTTCCAAATATAATAATAATAAATATTACATAGAAGATGGTATAAAGATAATAAAATAGATAAATATATATTTAAAATGAAAATTAAGAAAAAAATAAAATGTAGTTATTATTATATAGAAGATATTAAATAGATAAGAATAATAATAATAAAGAACTTAAAAGTAATGGTGATAAATAATAAACAAGATATAATTATAGTTATAATGAGACAAACTTGGGAATTGGGCAACCATATAACTTTCACAACTTTTACGCCTCCTTCAAACTCTTGCATGCCCAATGAAATGGGCAGTTTTGATACTATTTTTCCTATTCTCCAGTTTATTTAAAAAAATTGGACCAATAAGAAGTTGTTTGTATGAAGTTTTAACAAAACATTATGAAAATATATTAAAAGTCAAGAAGTTATATATAAATATCCAATAAAAATTATTCTAATAATAAGTATTATAAGGAAAGTTTATAACAAACAGTTTGCTCAAAACAATATTTTAATGAAAATATAATAAAAAGTATTAGGAGGGTAAATAAATTTATTTTCAATTATTAAAAAAAAAAAAATGAAAAAAAAAATTTGAAGTATTATACAAAATACCAAAATAACATAAAATTGTAACCATGAACGCACAAATAGGTAGATTAAGGAAAGCCGTGTTTATTTATAGCAAAATCATAAAGAAAAAGCAGCGAAGTGTTTATTTAGTACAAATGCACCCAATTTAACCTCAAGAGATACTGCATAAATATAATTATTTATAATTATTAGCTACCAATATGGTCAAAAAGCAGCCTATTTTTATTTAATGGCCTCCGGTTAAAGGGTAAGATGAAATTATTTTCATTACAACTGCCTCCAATTTGATATTTAATAGTTGCAATGACAATTAAATCATTTAATTAAAAACAGAATATATTTATTCAATCGTAATACTATTAGTAACTACGCAGTCAATAGCAACGAATATATAGTAATTGAAAAAAATAGTGAATTTTACGGAACCTTCAGAATTGAGCGTAAAGACCGCTACATCAGTCAAGCCGCAAACAGCAAAATAATAACAGTGCGCTGGCAAAAATAAGGTAATATTATCGTAATAATAAGAAAAATAATACTAAAAAATAGGAATACATATATAAAATCTATATAATAATAATAAAAGAACGATCTAATAGTACAAAATATTAACAATGAAATCACGGTAATAATAACAAAGAAATAATAAAATAAAAATTATTGCAAAAACAACAATTAACAAATATAGCAGGGAACGTCATAATAATAATAATAAACCCGCATTGGGAACAATTGAGAAAATTTCACTAGAAAAAGTAGCAGAGGAGACAACGAGCGCCTTGTTCCTTTCGCTAATCAGAAACTTGGAAAGAAGAAAACTTTGGGTGGCAGAAATAACGTGAACGTTCTGACCAGAAGCGCAAAGAAAATAGTGTACACTGAATTAAAAGAAACCAATAAAAAAACTGTAAATAAATACTAATAATAATAGTGACCCTTCAAGTTCTACGCTTTGCAAGATAACGCGGGAAACTACACGATTGTTCAGTGCATTCAGTAACTCTTCAGACTTCACGGGGACTTCCTCCAGAAAGTTTCGAGGAGTCCGCATGGAAACCTCCTATTAAATATTTAATATTATGATTACCAATATCATAATTATTATCTCGTTTTTATTTATTTATTATGTGGGAAGAAGAAGGTTAAAAAAATAATCCAGCACATTCCTTAGGCGCTTATTCCTTAAATATATCGCCGACCATAATAAATAGCTATCCCACCTGCAACCCACCAGTCTTAAATCAGTCGGGATTAAACAAACTTATAGCATGGGTTGCCTTAAAAACTATGAATCTGCTAATAGACGATTAAAGGGTTTGTATTAAACAGATTAGTGAACTACATGAGAGTAACTGCTTTTATGTACCCAATAAATGTTATTATTTTTAATATTTTTATGAGAGAAAAAAAAGCAACCAACCACATAATTCTCGTTCCCAGAAGGAAAAAAGTTTAGTGGTTTCCTCAAAGCTTTTCCTTTACTTTGCTTAGAGTCTGAACATAAAATATTATATTTATTAGTAGTATAAAAAGGTTACAGTTATTAGCTTCTATAAAAAAGAGGAATTCACTATTTATTTGTCACTCTTCAACAAAATAAAGCTACCGCAACGGATGTAGCAACAAAGCAGATCTATCGCAGTAGTAAGAAAGCTGCCTTCAAGCAATATCTTTAAACAAGTCGCTTTCGCTCCCTTAATAGCTTCCCTCCAGTCCTCTCCCAGACACAAGGCGTCTTCCACGTGGTCCTCCACGTAGTCGGACTTCATAAAATCTTCTGTATGGCAGCTGAAAGAACGAACGGGAAGGCCGTCCGCTTTAAATTCTCTGCATTGCTGAAGCAGATCTGCAGGCACAGCATTCAGGGCCCGGCAAGTTTCAGAAGCGTTGCAATCGCAGTAGAAACTCGACTTTCTTTATTTTTTTAAATATATTTTTTTAATATTTTCAGTAAACAATTTTCAAAAGATCGCCAATTATAATAATTCAGGCATATTATATATACCTAGCAAAAGCAACGTCGTGTCCGGAATGGCAGACCTTGACGCAAACTACACAACACCCTATGACGTAAGCAATGTTCAAATAAGACAGTTGCATGAAAAATAGAGACGGAATCAAACCCTCGTATTGCTGCAAGTTGCATGTATAACAGTGATACCAGCACTGCTCGGTGAATTTGGAGCCTGTCTGGGCGTAGGTGCACGTGAAGAGGCCCTCCCCCCCGCCAACAACTTTTCTTCTCTTATGGCCGGCAAAAGGCTCGGTAGATGCGCCAACCAGGCTGACCAGTTCTCTAAAAAGACTGAGAAGCTCTTCGGCGCAATACAACGAGTAAGGGGACTTTTCCGCTGCTTCTGTCCAATTATAGAACAGTTGGCAGTAGCTCTTCAAAAGAGCGGGAAAGGCGCCGTCATTGTGTTTATAAATTGCGCCAAAATATAGCAGTGATCTCATCAAAGGCAGTAATAAACGACTCGGCTGCGTCTCACCAAGTTTCTTTATTACTTCTACAAGCGACACCCACAGCGAAGATTTCAAAATGGGATTGCTCTCGACCAGTGAGAGATGATACATTCTTTTCAGCCCCAACAATCCTCGCAAAAAAGAGAGCGCAGCATCCGTTAGCGACTGTTTCGAGCTGAAAAAGCAAAATCTGAACCAATCAACTACTGTTGTGCGGGGAGAATCTGATTCGTAAAACACTTCCATGGTTTCCCCAGCAGCTTTCAAGACGCAAGAAAAATAATGATCCGACTCAGGGTGTGCAGGTGTTGTAGACTTTTCTAGTATGTTATTAACGCTTCTCGCGTAGATACGCAAGCTTGATTCGATAAAGTTTTGAAAACTCGCTCTGCATTTATATAATGAGGTGAACTGACATATTTATAATGAAAATAATGATAAACAAACGCGTTGTTATAAGCAAAAGGCTTAAATATAAGGGAGTGAAGACTCGAAAGTAAAACGTAATAAACATTTCCGGCCTCAATTTGAGTGGCCTGCAAAAATATGACATAATAAATTAACCAATCAACATTAAAAAACTTTTTGTACCAATAAAAAAGCTGAAAAGGCCTCATCTAAAAGTTCACATAAAATAACTCGTTCATCAGCGTATGCAAGCTCGTTTGTAGTTATACACAAAAGATTATTGGATAAAACAGTGTCGAAAATATGGGCCGACCCCAACATGTTATACACGCGGAAGCTGAAATATTATAATGATTGTATAATTTTGTGAGTATTTAGATATAAGATTCTCAATAATATCATTATTTTGCATGTTTATATTTTTATTCATAAACCTCTCGCTGAATTTCTTATCACGCAGCAAAAGTAATTTAACAATGTCCACGTGGTCTTCAGTCACTAAAAAAAAAGAACGGCAGATTGTCTTTAAAAAACGTTCTTGACAAAAAAGTTGCTCGATTTTTGCGGAAAAACAATTTTCTACCAAAAAAAAGATTTGAATTACTATGAATGAATACACATAACATAAATAAAGTTATAAAGTTTACATCAAAAAAACAAGTAATAATAAAAATATAAAAAGGTTATTATTTATATATAAAAGAGGCAAACCTTTTTCGTATAGATTCACGCAAAGCCGCAAAGTCGAACTAAACAGATGACATAGAGAAGTGTGAAAGTTACAAACAAAACTGTGCGCATTTAAAAGTTTCTGTGAAGCACATTCAAGATCTACGGCACAATGAAATTTTATAATAAAAAATGCATACAAATATACATTTTTAAAAAAATAAAAAAAGTTTATTAGAAAATAATACAGAATAAGTAAGAAAATAAAAGTATTATATTAACAAAAGGAAAAATAAGAAAGTTTAAAAACAAAAATGATATGAGATAAAAAGAAATTAAAAACTAACAAAAAGTTTTGAAACTAAAAAAAATTATAAATAAAAGTTCAAAATTAATTCAAAAAAAAAGAAATTAAAATTAGTATAATATAAAAATAAACAAAGCATTTGAAAAACTATAAAAAATTTTGTAAACAAATATAACAAACAAATTTGAATGCAATTATAAAAATAGAAATTAATATAATAATATAAAGATATATAAAAAATAAAAAACTAACAAAATTTTTAAATTAAACAAAGGTAATAATAAATAAAATTTTAAAAATAATTAAAAAATAATATTATTAATATATAATAGTATAACGAGATGAAAAGAAATAAAAAACTAACAAAACATAAAAGTTTATGAATAAGTATAGAAAAAAATAATAAAAAAAATCAATAATTTTACAACAACAAAAATTTAAAAAGTTTATTTTAAAAAAGAATAAAAAAGTTGTACTATAAATAAAATTTAAAAAAAATCATTTAATAAAATTATAAAAAATATAAGAAAAAAAAAATTTTAACAATACAAATAAAAGTCTCCCATAAAAGTAAATTGAAGCAAACAAAAAAAAGTACCCAAATCTCCGTCGTCTAAAAAGGCGAAATTTTCTTTCAACGACTTTTTCATATTAATTAAACGGTCCCAAAAACTTAATATTTTCAGATTTTTACTTTCTTTAGAATTTTTGTTAAGCAGCAAATAAATAAATTTCCAAATTTTTACTGAAACTTCATATGATATATTATAATCTAAAGAAATGGCAAAAACGTGGATTAATTTGGAGCGATCCGCGGATAAAAGCGGCTCAAAAGATTCACTAAGTAGGTAACTATAAAATAATAATATTATTATTAAATTATCTTCGAAAACATTTTTTATTATCTAAAATTAAAACTAATTTAATATCGTAATTGATGAAAGCTAAAAAGCTAGTTAATGGTAAATGTAACTTATAATTTATTATGAAAGTTGTAAAAAAATTATTAAAAAGAATGAAGACATCATACTACTCAATATAAAGATCTATATAAAACCTAAACAACTCGGAAAGTTCCATTAGTAGCTGCAAATGCTTTTCAAAAAGTAACTCCTTTTCTTTAGTTGTTACTTCAGCAAAACTAAAGGAAATTCTAAATAAAAAAAATTACAGTCCTTTATAATAATAAACTAACAAAATAAATTTATAAAAAATTTATAAAGAAACTGATTTGATCAATAGTTTATAGATAAAACCAATAAAAAACAAGAAAAAAATGCAAAACTTTTATAAAGCTGAAAAAAATTTCAATTTAAAAGCTAAAAATTAAAACTAAATATGAAAAGAAATAAAGTTTGACATTTTAATAACAGTATTATAAAAATAATAGTATACAAGTGAAAAAAAATGATTTTACTAAATTAATGACAATATTTAATACAAATTATATGTAATATTTAATTTTCTTAAATCGTATATACGAACAAAATACATTAAAGTAACTAAAAAGTGATAATATGATAAATAATATATCAAACAAAATAATAATCCTTAAAAATAGAAATTCATAAAAGATATAAAATTTAATATTTACAAATTAAATTTAATCTACTAGATAGTAAAGAATATAAAAATCAAAACCTTTTAGTAAACGCAGTAACAACCAAATCAGCCGCCAAAATATTAAACAAACTTTTCTTTTCTTTTAAAATTAAAAAGTGACTAAGCAAACCTCCAAAAGAATTTACGCTCGCCTGAGAAGGATCGAGAGAAAAAAGAAAGTGGTAAATTCTGTTGAAAACTGGTGTCAACTTATTATTTTCGTCGGTAATTAATTGAAAATTGGAAGTAAGTAAAGTAAATAAGCTCCAGCAAGATTCAAAATTCAAATAACAAAGTTTATCAACTGAATTGCTGGAAGCTTCCGTAAAAAGTTTAGGATCAACTGACGAGCCCATCCGCGCAATTCGCAGTAAAACAGAAGTAAAACTTTTATATTTAGTTAATATTTTCAAAATTTCTTCTTGGAATGAAATATTAGTTTGAATTTCATTTAACCACTTTTTATTTTCTTTTTCTTCATACACGAAAAACTGAAATTTACTACAATTCCTACTGTTTATATTGGAATTTGTAAAATTTTCAAGCAAGAATGAGAGCAGTTGAATCAAAAAAATTATATTCAAATTAGGAAGAATGGTGCTGTAATCTTCAGAACTAATAAAAGAGTCCTTAATTAAAAATAAAGAATTTTAATTAAAATTTTTAAGAAAAAAATCTAATTACAAAAGTATCATTAAATTTCCTTATTAAATTCCTAACAATCTCAAACTCAAAGAACAAAATAGTAATACTTGTAAACCGCTGAAGATCATGTCGGTAACCAATAATAAATGTTCCGGCTCCAAAAAATAAAGTGTATCCATAAGAAGGTTAAAGCAAAGCTGATTGAGGTCCTCATAATCAGTTTCTCCTTATATAAATTAAAATAAGAAAAAGGTATAATATTATTTTTCGACATAGTACCATTCAAATACTTTCTTATCGAGTGAATGAAACTAAAAAAAAATTGACGCCATATAAAATGAAGAAAGGAAGATTTTTCGATTTTGATCTCGGTGGAAATCCCTAAACACTCAAATTCCATTAGGTTCCGTAACAAAAAAGTTTCATCGAAGGAAATTTTTAGGGGCCAAGGCGGACATTCTTAAAGTTATATATTATAAACATTGCTTATTAAAGATTAATCAACAAACCACCTTTGTTTATCGAAATTTCGTCAAAAGAAAATCCTTGTTCCTTTAAGATGGCATAACTAAGACCTTTCGAAGTTTTTATCTTTTTATCAGATAAGTATTCTATATATATTTATAGTTAGGGAGACGTAAGTACACTTAAAATTGTAGTTAACGGTTTCGGAAAATACCTAAGAACATGATAAAACTCGAAAGTGTTTACGTTTACAACAAAACCAAATAGGCCCTAAAGGAAAGCGCTTGTAAGCAGAACTCCAAAACTTTTCGTAAATGTTTAAATTTTTTTTAAAATTTATGTAGAAAAAAAAATCGGGAACGACTCGGTTCGATTTGAAATTTTTTTAGTTGAAGAGTGTTGAAGGGTGTCGGATAAAGAGGGGTGGACCAATAGGGTGAAAGGAAGAAGCAACAGTTTACAGATAAGAAATATTGAAAAAAAAAAGATAAATTTTTTTCCTTTTTTTTGGAGGTGGAACTGCTGGTACTTAAAGCGGAAACATCTAGAAAAGCTTTCAGGTTACTTTTGATTAAAGGCAATTGTTCTACATACATGTAAAAATCCAAGCAACATAAGCGAACGGACGTAAACTACGTTAATTTAAAAAAATAGGTAAGATTTACCTTAAAAAAAATTGTTTATCTAAACATGAAAAAATTTTTAAAACCAACAAAAATACATAAGACAAGCTAATTCGCTTAGTCATTACCTTAAAAAGAGCCCTTTAAGTATTATATTCAGCCCTTGTAATGCCCAAAACTATAAAAACGGCCACGTCGTTTATTATTATGTTAAACCATTGTCCATAAAAAGGCAGTAGCAGATACTTTGAAAAAGGGTTTTAGTTAGCAGGCGAGTTTCATTCAGAGTTCAACACAATTTAATAATCAACTATACGCCTAAAAGTTAAAGATAATACCAAAGCACAATTAAAGAGCCTTTATAAAAGATGAAACTATTTTGTGACGATACACAAGTGCTTTCCTATAAATTTGCGAAGAATGAAACTATAAGTTTTTTACAGTGATATTTTTACACTGTAGCCCTAAAAGATTTTCTTCATAGCTCGATAATTTTAATAATACCAATACAATTTGTATTAAAGATAAAGATAGTATGTCTAAAAAAGATAATTTTTACCAAAAAGTCTGAACAGTTTCTATTGAAAAATTAACTATCGCAACAGATTTAAGTTTTTTTTAAACTTAATAATTTTTATTTTTGTAACAAAAAAAAAGACATTTTACTTTATAGTGTTCAGACTTTTTTTTAATATAATGCAAAAAAAAAGCAGTTGTAGTCCATAAGTAAACCAAAGAAATATTTGTATTTATTACGATGTGCATGGACTTTAAGGGCCTCTAGACTTTTCCTTCCATCTCTCAACTACGCTTAAAATACTACTTAATGTTATTATTTTCACAACGGTACTCCATATATATATTTATTAATTTCCTTTTAAGCGGTTATAATGGGTTCTTCATCCACAAACTAAACATCAAGATCTCAACTTGTTGGCTGCCAACCCAGCTTTGAAAAATGAATAAGGATTCTTACAGGCAATAATTAATAAGCTGGAAAATAAAAAAAATTCTGGAAAAACGCTAAAAAGGCGCAAAGAACTTTTTGAACATAAAGTAATCATATAATAATTCTTTTTCTGCGCTGCGCCTTCAAGACAAACTTTGGTCATTAAAAGAGGACATTTTGGAAGATAGTGAGCTACATGAAATACCCTCAAAAGTGATAATATTATTCATAATTTTATTAATAAAAGTAATAAAAACAGTAGCAAACTCTTAAATATAAGTAACAGTCATGATAATAACCATGATAATACTAATATCAATATAAAGTAATAATAATAAGGAAATTAGTAATTTTAGTTGTAATAATAAGAGCGATATAAACTTAAAATTGCTCTCACCACCCCAACAACCATTAATCCAACCAAAATAGGATAGAACGGAAGCAGACACGACTTATAGAGACACTGCGCCCCCTATCGTCGTTGAGAAGAAAATGTTGCCTACGTTAATGGAACCCCTGAACGCTCAGGGCGCAAAGGTCCCCACCCCCGTGAACTCCGCGGCGATATCCACCTCTTGCCGTCAACTGTCGAGGGCTAGAATAGTAGCACTACTACGGGTGCGCTCTTGGCAACCCTACTACTACCAGTTACTGAAGGACATCCCACCAAGCTCGTTCTTCGAGGTCTTTACACCGATCTACCTATAATCGATATTGAAACGGCGCTACTTGCACACGGGGCTTCACCCCTTCGCATTGCATTACTTTCTACAGCCCGCCCAAACGCGAGAATTGCATAAAGCGGTCACTGCCACTGGTTCTTTTACACCTGCCGAAGAAGGAAGGACCTGCAGCCTTCGCATTGGTCATTATGTCATCTGCAAATAAGCGTTGAACCACTTCGCAACGCATGGGGCAGTGTCACCGCTGTCAGCGCTTGGGCCCTAGCGCACAGAACTATGCCATCACTCCACGCTGCGTCAAGTGTGGGGAAACCTTCTAACGATTCAATGTGAGAAATCCCAAGAATTACTCGCCAAATGCGCTAACTTTGGCGAGGTACACACTGCAAATTACAAAGGGTGTTTAAAATATCCTCGAAAAATCGTTTCTCCGCCTCCGACACGTCAACGACCCACGGAAATGCAACCAGTAACGCCTACGATCTCTTTTGCAGTCATGGTAGGACAGCCTTATGCACTGCAACCCGCTCAACAACGAAGACCTATTGCTCCGAATCCCATGGGCGAGATACTGGCACCACTCGCAACTGCTCTTGAAACATTTCTTCGAGCGATTAACAACCTGACGACCGCAAATGGTTGTTAAAACATATCCTTTACGCCAACTGAAACTCTTGAAGTGGAATGCCAACTGTGTGCACTGTAAGAAAGTACGAACTGCTGCAACTGTTGCAGAGTGAAGATGTGGATGCCGCGTTGTTAAGCGAGACGCATTTGAAAGCGGGAGATCGGCTTGTACTCTACAACTATACAACGTACTGCCTTGACCGTCTTGACAGACGCGAAGGTGGAGTAGAACTATTCTGATGCGGGGAAATCTTCCGCACTATCCGATTGCACTCCTAAACCTAAAGGCGTGGAGGCCGTGAGAATCCACCTGAACCTGGTTTACAAGAGTCCGACTGACGGGATATCCCTCTATAAACCTCCCTACTTAGCGCTGCTTGGAATAGTCGAGTTGAAAATTCGAACGGGAAAATTCTTGTGATATACGCGGGCCAACACAACATTCGCGTGCTGGCACCTCAACGGCCTACTCACATGGCAAAAAGGGGCACTTCAGACGTCCTCGACATAGCCCTTTTAAAGACATACACTATCCGGTATCAATCGCAGGTTGTATGAGCTCTCACCGGACCGCCTGCCCGTCTTATTGGAGCTAGGCGATGATAAGACTACAACGAAACTCTGGACACAGTCATTCACGGTCTAGACAAAATTTACATCTGCGGTTGAAGCATTGTTATCCCCGATCCATCTTTTCCTCCGGCTCCCTTTCTATTGGAAGATGTAGTGGATACTGTTAAGGGTTCACTGGAGTAATCGTGCTGCCCCGACAACCAACCTTGAAGTCGCGTATCGCTGTGGCCTTCCACCCGATTATTTGATGAGTCTTATTCGTCAACGTCGCCGGTTACACAAAACCCCGAGGACTAATTGATTCTAAACCGTCTACACCCACACACTAGAAAGGAGCTGGCCTCCTTTCACAATAATCTTGAGAGGCGAAACTTCAGGACATGTCTGTAGCGACCGAGGAAGGCCCACCACCTTTTTGCGCTTCGCCAAAGGTATTAAAAACCGTCGTCACACATTACCTCCGCCACTTATAATGGAGTTATAATGGCGGAAAGGGACGAAGGCGATACACCGCAGGACGCCCGATTATTATTGGCGGACTTATTAAAGGGAGCTCACCTGATGAAATTACTGATATAGTTACTGCGCTTTCAGGACAGATAGCTCCCTGTCCCAATGGTATTACGAACGAAATGCTATAAAAGCTGCCACTGGTGCCGATTAACCAGCCCTCCTACCCTGCAACTTCTGCAATGTCGATTGACTCCTTCCCAACGCGATGGAATAAGGACACTGTCGTGAGGCTATCTAGGACCCCGCGGGCTTCAGCGCACCCCAGAAAATATCGCCCCATTAACTTTCTTTCAGCGGTGGGCGAAACCGTGGATGTGGTTCTACTACACAGACTGGAAAAGTTTGTAGAAGCACACAAAAAAGTGCTTCCCGAAATCCAATTCGGATTTCGTAGAGGCCACTCGGCGACACAACAGCTTTTGCACTTTGTGGAGTGGACAACTCGGAACTTTAATTTAAAGAAATCCAGAGGCGTCCTATTCTTGATGTTGAAAAGGCCTTTGGTGGCGTATGGCACGAGGATCTCCTACGCAAACTACGCACATTAGGTACTCCGTTAGCCCTCTACAGCGTACTTGCATAGTTCCTACGCGTACGCACCTTTCGAGTGAGTGTTGGGGCTGCGATATCGCCATACCGCCGACTGACAGCTAGTTTTCCGCAAGTCTCTCTGCTCTCACCCCTACTCTTCGCGTTATACAAGCATATATCAACCTGCGAACCCTCACACACGCGTTACGCTCTGTGCCACTGACACAGAGTTTACGAGTCCTCAAGGAGCTTCTCATTATTAAGGCAACACCTGCAGCGTTATTTGGAAACCTTTTCCAAACCGGTCGGCAGTAGGGAGTAAACATTAATGGAACGAAGTGCAAAGCAATCTTCATCTCAAGAAGCTGCATCATGCTATCCCCGCCCCTAACCCTCAAAAGTGTTAATCTCCCTTGGGACTCTCAGGTAAATATTTGGGTGTCATCATCGATAAGGGACTAACCTGGAAGCAACGCGTAGAGCTTGTTACGATTAAGGCCAAAGCAGCAATTCACGCACTCCACCCGCTGCTGTATGCTAAAAACACTATGTCCCAGCTCAATAAAATGTCCCTTTATAAAATAGGCGTGAACCCTATTACGGCCTACGCATCTTTTGGGCGTATGATAAACCGTCGACGATTGCATCCCTCCAGACGCAGAAAAACAAGCTCCTGCGGCTAATTACAGGCGCACCTCATGTCGTGCGGGACAACACGTTACATGACGACCAGGGTTTGGAATGGCTTGAAGTCTTTTTTCCGAAATGCAACTTCAGCCTCTTTTGAACGTGTTAGTGGTATGCAAACTACCAGAGTTTTCAAGAACTTACACACGAACCCTGGAAAGGCGCACGCTTTCACAGGCACCGCGACGTACGTTAAGCCCACAATTACAGTTTTTTATACCTTTAACACATGTAGAAAGTTTTTTGTGAAATAATCTGACGAAACTGAATACGGTTTAACTTAATAATATAAATTATTTGGGAGTTTAAGCAGATTGCGCTCGATATTACCGAGCATCTGCACAGTTTGTTAATAAAAAGAAAAGCCAAAAGACTGGGGTCCGAGTTAGTTGCGTCTTTGTTCCAGAAATGATCCTTGGGAGGAATAACACTAGTGAGCACGTTTGCCCTCAATTTTCTGAAAAGATGGAAATATATATAAATCGCTATAATTTTAAAAAATGAAACGTAAAACGCAGTTAAGAGGGAAAAATGTTTGCTTTCCTGAGCCCAACAGGAAATTCCCTATTTGGAACCCGTATTTCAATCCCTTCCTAGGAGAAATACCGAAAATGCAGTTAAAGGTGAAGATCGTAGCATAAAAAAAAAATTGGAAAAAAAGTCGAGCCCATATTTTTTTTTCCACTTTTATTATATAGGCCATTAGCGCTGGGATAAGGCAAACTGCGGAAATGGATGCTACTTTTAACTATTTTTCTATGTCTTCCAGTTTAACACAAAAAGTAAGTATTGTAGTGTAACTGGTAAAGATCGTTTTGAAGTCATCTGTAGTTTAAAAAATAACAAGTCATGAATATTTCACGGATGTTTTAAGATCCACATTAATGCTTTATTATAAATAAATTCATTGAAAACAAAATTTATTAAATTTAAGTATAAAGCACAAGCTTTATAGTTTGTTTAAAAGATTGTAGGTAAGGGTTGAACAAAACTTAAAGGACGGCCCCCCGTAAACCCGCGAGAGTTTAACAATTTAAGAATTAGGAAAATTTAATTCCTCCAGAATGTTACGCAGAGCACGATTATGAATTAAGAAATAAAAGTAGAAGAACTATACTAGTAATTATGGAAATTTTAACTTAACTTCTTGAGTTACTTCGACAATTCTTCGAATATAAAAAACGGTACGTCTCCCTCTCCGTGCTAAAAGGTCAAAGTAGAAAAGCTAATTATTACTGAAAGCAAAGTCACGGAATCTTACAAGGGAGCCCAGTCGCTTAAGTATTGCAGCATTATATGTAGTATTAAACGAAGCTTATTTCTTTTTAACTAAAGTCCGACTAAAAGTTTACAAACGATACAAGGACGAGATTTTGAATACTCTAAGAGATAACAAGATGCAGCCAATGCGTACAGCACTCCTGGTTTGAAGTGGACTAAAAATTGTGTCATTTCTGATAAATTACTATTTCTATTTTCCGTTGAATTAAATTTTTGAACATAAATAGCGAAGAAATGATAAAGAATACATAAATGAACCCTTAATTTACCAAGGAAAAATAGGTAAAGATGTTAAAGTAACAAATTGCAATTTAACCCCTTGAATCCAATTAAGTAAACTCAAGAAAATAAAAGGATGAACTCGAAAGTGACTACTTAACTACTTTAAAAGTAAAAACACCCATCCTGTTCTAAAACACGAAATCTACACCTGCGATTGGCTCTAACAGTACAGTAATCTTAACCTCAAACTATCATAAGCTGAATAAAACGTTTAGAATTACCGCTGGTAATAAAAGATAATATGAAATTATGAGACTAATCAATAATTAAATTTTACCGTATGCACAGTTCAAAGCAACAAAGTGTAAACGTAAACTTACATTCTTAAAGTATAATGCATAAGAAGACATATTTTACCGGAGAACCGCTTTCTTTAAACTTAAGTTATTAAACTTGAAAAAGATTTCCAAAAAGAGGGTCGTTACGGCAACCGAAACACTAAATTACACTTAAAAAAAAAGAACCACAAGCTCTAAAGCCGTAATGACTAAAATCTAAGCAATATATTTAATTAACACTATATTTAACAACTAAGTAACTTAACTTTAATGAAGCTAAAATATTTGATAATAAAGCATTACTATAAAATTAAAGTAACTTTATATACTTAACGATAAAAAAAAAATACTAAATGAAACAAAAAAAAACTTCCCCGAAACAGTAACCTTACTATCGCGACACAGAGGCATCCCTTAAAAAGTATACTGCAAAATTTATGCGCAATCATTAAGCAACACCACCTTGACGAGGACTTCAATCTTATTATCAAAAGTCCCTCAAGTTTGATAACTTTTCTACAGGGATGCCTTTTAACTGATAAGAAAAATTATCGCACCACTATGGGGCATATAATATCGTAAAGGAAAGCGTTATACAACAAAAATCGAATAATTATAAAAAAAATGCTTGAATAAAAATTGGTCTTGACCGATCCTTCGCCAAGGTATGTGTGCTCTTCATGGACGTAACGATTCCTGTTTGGTTCGCCAGGTTCAATCTAGTAAAAGATCACGAAAAAGATTGTCTATCAACAAAACTCGCGTTCAGCCTTTGTGTTAAACTCGGCGGCTGCCCGATGGTTTCGAGCTAGGCAGTCAATGGGTTGCCATCCGAAGGTAGAATCACAACGTGAATGCAAAAACCTCTTTATCGGGGGATTTCTCTCTCTACTTTCCAAAGAGGTCTACATTGGTGTTAAGTAAAATTTAGCCAATAAAACTCTAACAGAATCATGACACTTAACTGTGAAGCTTATTGCAACGTGGTAACGTCCTAATTGAAGCCCTGTTTGAGAGTTACCTTGTACTCGGAGAGTCGCAGGGTTGCAAGAGCTGAATAACTAAAATTAGGTTAGAGAAGCACGTTTGGAAACAACTACTCTTAAACCTGGCAAAAACCAAAAGCTGACTAACGCCCTGTAGCAGGTTAAATGTTACCTCTATCTTAGGTTTTTAACAAAATGGTTAACACTATAGACTCGTTAACGAACCCTTTACTAAAACAGATTTATCGCATAAACATACTAACCGAGTTACGCCCTTATTAACAATTCAGAGTAATTTTTAACACTAACAAGGAAGTGAAGAACGCTTAACTAAAGACTTAAAAGGGAAAAAATTTGATATGACTTAAAGCATGAACTACGTAAAAAAAACTGTTAAACAAAGCTTTCATACTCCAAACATAACTGAGCGAATATATTATTAAGATTTTTTTTTATTACTACAAAACAGACTATGTAAATTGAAGTTAAACTAGGAAAAATATATGAATAAAAAAAAACATAAACATATAATAGACATCAGAAAAGTCTCTGTAGGAGGGCGTAAGTTATATTATTTCGAAGTTCAGAATTTTGTACATAAATAACGGACAAGCCTCAACCATCGGAATTCACATTTAATCAATTACCAAAATATATATTAGTAAAACTGTCCTCTGACTTTTACTAATAGAATAAAGCAATTCTGTTTTTTTAAAACAATATTAGCACTGTTTGTATTGAGCGACGATTGTGTCGTTTGAGAGTAGGAGATACTAGAGTGTTGTTTACTAGTATTATATACATCCCGCGCCCCTTATGAGCGATTTCAATGTAAGGCTTGCCTTGATCTAAAAAACGTTTTACATCATTATCTTTATCGACTGAAAGTATACGCATTTTTAAAGTAAGGTCTCTAAATAAGCTATCCTTTATAGTCAAACAAAAGCTTTAAAAAAAACTTCCTATGATGGAGTGATCATGAAAATTTCGTATTAAGATTGAAACAATTTTGCACGAAGGGGAGCCTAGTGCAAAATCGTTTTAATCGACACTTAAACTTTAATAAGCGACAAAGACTTAAGTAAGAAAGCAATTCCTCTAATACAAACTATATTAAATGGATCTCGCTCTAAGCTTGTATATATATAAGGGAACAAAATAACCAATTAAAATATAGTTAAATCGTTATAGAACTTTTAAGAAAAAATTTTGAACGTAGAAACAGTTTTGAATGATAGTGTATATGCCTTGCAAAGTAACATAGTTTTTGAAAGCAAATGGCTTAATATAAAAATTATATGGTGACTTGAGTATTGTAAAGCAGATAATCCAAAAAAATTAGTTTAAAAATTGCTTTTTACTGTTAACAAAGATAAACAGTGAAATACAAGTTAGAATAAATACTTATTTGTTTATAATATATGCAAAAATATGCTTTTTGGATATGTTAAAAATTCGTACAATCCAATTATAACTGTTTCATTTTAGTATTTTTAACAATGTTTTGAGTTAGTTTTAAATTGTTAGATAAGCTTTATTAAATTTTAATATTCCCTATATTATTATACATTTTATAATAAAAAAGGGTAATATTTCATCTCATTTCCCATAAAGATGAGAATAAGACTGAATATTTTTAAAACTAATAAGAAATTTCTTACCAAAAAGTGGGAAAACATATAAAAACCAGAGTTGCCTTGTAGTTTTCCTAAAAGTACTGAAGCCTAAACATGTCAAAACCCTTAGAGTTCATTTATTAAATTTGTTTACGTAAGTCTACTACTAGAATTAACTCAGAATTAAGTAAACAATTAAAAGTATAAATTTAACCAAAATACTTTACACTCGAACTTTAACTTTGTTGAGAAGTAAAGGCATCTTAAAGGAGCATATCGCGCCTGTTTTTTAGAATGCTCACGTGGTCACCGGAATCTTCTTTCGGTCGAGCCGTAAGTAAGCTATATTTAGTCAGCATTTTTTAGTTTTACTTCAAGCAATTGTACTTAAAATAGTTATATTGCCATGGACTGGGGTATGTTTTACATATTATTACAATTTTTAGTAATTATTATATCTAACTTATTTATGATTGGTTTTTTCTGTTATAAAAACCTTCAGATTTTACTTATATATACCTTAATGGGAGTGGTGAAATTTTATTTATTATATAATTATTAACTTAATATTAGTTTAATATGACCTTTTTGACGTTACTGAAATTATTTAGATGATATTAAGTAGGGGTTTATTTTTAAATAGAGAAAAAAGTTAAACACTAAAAAATTTATTTACTATGCAGGATTTCGTTACGTACTTTTATTATAACTTTAGAGTAAATGAAGAAAGTGTAACTTCCTTTCTTTATTTTTTTCCTTTTTTTTTATTAATAAAATTTTTCATGGTTTAAAATTAATTTTTACCGTCTTTAATCTTTTTTACTTTTTAAGACTGTACTTAGTAAAATTAATTAAAAATTTATTATATAATTAAAAGATGAAAGTTTTGATGCTGCTCAAGCATTTTCAGACGAGGATCTTGAAAGCATCAAAGAGGATTGGGACGCTGATAGTGAAGAAGAACATGCGTTAGATACTGAAGCTCAAAAAGAAAAGAATGGTTACATAATACTAATTATGATATTATTTTTAACATTCAAAAGTTATATACTAAAACTAATAGAAAAAGTTTCTTATAATCCCATATCTGGAATCTCCGAGAAAAAAGCAAAACGATTTTTGGCTCAACAAAAAAAACAAGAAGAAGAAGAGGAAAAGAAAAGAAAAAAAGAAGTACACTAGCTTCCATTTAATAGAAGATTTTTGAGTGAAAATTTAAAATTTTAAAATTAACTGTTTATAATTATTTATATTGCTATGAAAAGTTTAATTTATAAAAGAAAAATCCTTATAAACCACCTAATTACTTGCTAGTAAGCGTAATTTGGAGTTTTTAACCAATTACAACGTTTAAAGACGCCCGCCATTTGAATTTATATCCACGTGTTTATTGCAAGATAATTTTCTAGATAGTATGCAACCTGTGCGAGTGTCTATCATATATATACTTTTTGAATATTTTTATTCTCGGAAACCTCTACCCTAAATATATTATGTGAAGTCTATTTTAATTTTTTCTAGTTTTTTCTACTTTATTATATTTTTAAATATCTTATTACTTTTTTAAAAGTATAATATGAAATAATAATGAATTTGCTACTAATTGCTTAGTTGTTTTTCAGTGCGTTGATCACGTGTTGATCACGTGTTTTATATCGTTAACTATAGTGCGTTTAGTATGATTTTTGACACTATAATGTTTCTTTACACGAATAAGTTGGGCTGTCTTTCTTTAGTAAGCTGCAGTAAAACGTAAATATTATATAAAGTTACCTCTAATGAAAACCTTGTTTAGCAAGAGTAACAAACAATCACGTGTGCCGCTATCTCGCGGACTACACGAGCCTTCAACTAATTATTAATATTTAGACGCACGTGGATTCTGAAAGTGTCACGTGCTTATCGCCTTTTTTTATATGTAATAGGAATTATATAAACGATACGAAGCTCAAGCGGAGGTGGCCTTAAAAAAAAGTGAAGAACTTTCTAGAGAGGCCGATATTAGCGTTATTAATGATTTGTTTGAACGTTATTATTATTATTACCATTATTATCATTATTATTATTATAATTATTGCAGATGCGACTGATATCAATTTTGTTTCTAAGGGGCCCTCAAGCGTCTCAAATAATTCTCGAGAATCTGTTGGTATTAAATATCTTTTCAATTTAATTGTGTTACTTTTTTAAAAAGTCACTGCATATTATGAGTTCACTTTGTTTTTTTAATGTATTATAAATTTTTGAAAATTATTATAAAAATTAAAAATTATATTATTTTTTACTTTATGTTATAAAATTTATTATTTTCATTATATTAATTTTAATTATAAAATTTCTATTATTTTTATTTAATACTCTACTTCCATATTAGTATTTTTTTTTACTTATTATTACTATATGCTTTTAGTTATTAGTTATTATGCTTCATTATATTTTATTTTATTTTATAACTTTATTACTACTGCCTTACTTAATAACTATTATTAATTATGCTTTATTATAGTTTTATTATTTGTTATTGTTAAATATTCATAAAAAACTCACTAAATACTTTTTTTTATTATAATTACTATAGTATATAAACTTTCTTATAATTATTTTTTTTTATATTTATTTTATTATTAAAGTAATATTAGATCTCTTTTACATGAACATCCCTATTTCTTATATTACTCTTTTTATTATAATAGTACCGTTAAGTTTGTTTTTATAACCTTTTTTTTAAATTGCTGCATATTATTATTGTGTTTTTCTTTAAAGTTTGCTTTATTATTATTATTTATTAAAAACAGTATTATAAGTTTCTTACTTTTATTAATCGTTATTATATTTATTACTTTTATACTTAAAATTTTTTTCTATATATTATTAAAGTTTATGCGTTTCTATAAATTATTATTATTAATAAAAATAATAAAAGTTTGTTATTTTGTTTTTATTATTAGAGTTTTCAGACGTCTTTATAAAGTATTAAAAAAGTTTATGCATTTTTAATCTTTTAAAAAAAATATTAATAAAGTATTAATTTTTTTTAACTAATATTATGAATAGTAGAATTTTATAAGGTTTGTAGTTATTTAAATATTTTTCAAAATAATAAATATTAATTATAAAAGTTTAGAAAGTTTTATATTGTTATAACTAAAGGTTATATGAGTTTCTATTGATTATTACAAATATTAATAATAATATTTAAAGTTTGTTGCTTAGGTCATTTATTATTATTATAATAAGTTTTATAAAAAGTTTGTATTATTGGTTATATTTATGAGTTTTTAAAAATTATTTTGTAGAAAAATTTAAAAAGTTTATTTTTTTATGTAAATTATATTAATGATTTTTATTAATTATTATATTTAAGAATAATTGTTTGCAGAGTTTATATATATATTATATAAATTCATGAGTTTTCATAAGTTATTATTATTATTATATATAAAAGTATTAAATTTTTTTAAATTAATAATACTAATAAAAGTTTTATTGTGATTTACTATTAAAGCTTATGAGTTTTGTATTTTATTATTTTTATATATCTAAGTATATTTTATAATAAAGTTTATGAGTATATTTATATTTATGTTCATCATAAAAGTTATCTATTATCTACTATCAATAGCTAATGAGTTTTGTTATAAAAGTATTAAAGTTAGTCAAGCCAATTTTTTTTATTTTTAGATTAATATTTTACTTTATGATTATTGTAGATATGAAACACATTATTAAACTAAACTTTTATTTATTATTAAAAAAAAAGTTATATATTTATTTACTTATTAATTGCCATAAAAGTATTTATAGTAAATGTTATTGTTTATTTTTAGTATATTAACTTTTATATCCCTTTTTTGTATAAATAAATATTATCATTATTTTACATATTTATATAAATTTTGTATGTTGCTTGCTTTATTAATGATCGTTATTAAAAATAAAACTTTATTATTTGAAACTTTTACAATATAGTTGCGTTATATATAGTTTTCTACCGAAAGTTTTTATTTATTATTATTATTTTTAAATTTTCTATAATATCTTATTATTTTTTATAATAATAATAATCTTCTTAACCTCTATTATAATAAATTTATTAAAGTTTTATTAACTATTATATAAAGCTATACTTATTTTTTTTTTTTTTACTTTATCAAAGTGCATTATTTCTTATTAATATAATTTTTAATTTTTTTATAAATTTATTATTCGAAACTTTTTATATTAATAAAAAATATAAAAGTTTGTTATTATATACCTTAGTGTATTATTAATTATTATTAATAATAATATTTTTTACATTTTTTAAAAGTTATTTATAATTTTTTTTTCCTATACTATTAAATAAATTACTCATAATTATAAGGCTTATTTTTTTGTTTTTACTTTTTAATAGGGAATTTATTATAATAAATTAATATTTATTAATTTGTATACAAAAACTTTATGATGTCCAAAAAAAAAATATAAATCAACAAGTATTAGAAAATAATAACAAAATTTTATTTTGTTTTTTAATGTTTTATATTTTTTTATATATTTATTAAAATTTTGTTTGTTTATTTTTTTTTAGATAAATATATTAAAATGAACTTCTATTTTAAATTTTTTTCATAACTTTAGTTTAATATAAATACTTAAAAAATATAAATATTTATTTTTTATTCTATATTAATAAAACATATATTAAAAGTAAAAAAAAAATTACTTAGAAGTATAAAGGAAATAAAATGTTTTTATCACTAATTCATTACAATTTTTATTACTTTTATGTAAAAGTAAATAAAAATTTCGTATTACAACATTTTATTAACTAAACTTTAAATTTCCTTTGAAAAGTTAAGAAAGTACTAAAATAGTATTAATAAAAATATTAATAAAGTTTTTGTAAATTTTTATATATAACTTTATTTTTTCATTTGCTTTTTTATATTACAATACACTTTATGTATTTTTTACTTTATTAAAAAGAAGATAATGTTTATTTGGTATATAGAAGTTTTGCATTTTGTTTTATTACTTTTTTATATATAAAAATATAAAAATAATTTTTTTCAGCAATTAAATTTAGGAAAATTCAGTAAAATAAAGTCTTTAGAAAAAGTGAAAGAAAATTATTAATAAAAGAAAAGTTTTAAATTTTTCCTCTTTCCTTTTATAAACTTATTATAAAATTTTTTAATATTTTTATTTTTTATTATTTCATTTGTATATTAATAATAATATTTTATATAAAAAAGCATTTATATTATTAATTACTTTTTTCTGCTATTTATTATTATATTCGTTATTTATAACATTTTTATCTTATAATTTTTTTTACTTATTATGATTATTATATTTTTGATCTTTTTTAAGTATAGTTTAATATCTTTTGTAGTTGTTTTGAATATAGTTTTTGTATATCTCATTTTACTTATACTTTGCTTATTATGATGATATATATTTTTTATTATAAACATTACATTATTTATTTATTAATATTATTGTATTTGTGTCATATATATATTATTTTTATAACCATTACAAATTTTACTTTTTAAAAAAAAAACCTGTAAAATACTGCAAGCTATTCTTTTTATTTATAATAATATAACGACTATTGCTTTTTTGGCACTTCTTTACACTTTCATATAAATTTCATAATAATTTTTTAACCTATCCGCTCTATTATATTTATTTTATCTAAAGATCTTCAAGCTACGCTTGGATCTTTAGCTCCTCGCACAAGAGCAGACTTTGAAAGTTTGGGTGAAAAAATGGCGCAAGTTGTCGGAAAGTACTGTGTAGGACTTATTATTTTTATTATTATTTTTCCTATTCTTATTATTATTAGGAACAAGCGCTAGGAAGTGTGGCTGTTGAGCGATTTTTAAGTATTATCCTTAAAAAACTTGATAACGATGAGGGTTAACAACAATATGGATAATATAATAATATTAAATATAATAATAATAAACTTTTCTTATCTATATGTTATTAAAATGACTCTGTTATATTTATATTTTTAAGTTTTCTATAAATTATATATTAATTTATTATTATTTCTATAATTATTATTATATATATTATTATTTTTTTTTTTTTAATTTTTTTATTATAATTTATATTTATTATTATTTTTTTTCTAGTTCGTTCGGTTTATATGGTTGTCAATAATGTTCTTCAAGAGCGACAACGACAAGAAAAAGCTCAAAAAGATAAAAAGAAGAAAAATAAGAAAACTATAAAAGTGGAAAGGAGTATTATTATTATTACTATCATAAATTATTATTACTAATATTATTATTAGCTGAAACGGACGTGTACGCGCGCCAGATAGATAAGTTGGATGGGTTTGAAGATTATTTTTAATAAATTTATTATAAAAAACTTTACGATTTATAAATTTTATTTGCTTCAGCACTTCACATTCCTCTTCACGTTCTCTTTTGCCATTTATTATTTTTCTTATATATTGTTCAATAAATTTTGTATATATTTATTAAATTTATATGGAAATCAGTTACAAATTTTAATAATTAATTTAATTCGAAATGTTTGTGTCTCCGTAAAACTCGGTTTTTTTTTAACAATAAGAACTGTTAATAACAATTTATTTAAGTCATTGAGCCAATATCAAACTTTAATTGTAGTTGTTGGAATACACATTTTTCGAGATTCAAATTCAGTCTGCCTGTTTTACGAATAGCCACTTAAATAGATCGTAATAAAAGTTCTTAGTAGTACTATTAAATTTACTTTATATATAAATCCCCGCTCGCGAATCCCAAATTGCCGAGGTGGCCATGTTAACTCTTTTAGTTTTCTCGCGTTCTTTTTTTCTTAAGTTAAATTCAACGATGGTCAGTTCTAGAATTGAGTCTAAGGTGTAGTTCACAGCAGTGGATTGGATAGCCAATTGCCAAGCTGTATAGTCAAACAAACCCTTAAAAGACGAATATTGTAATTGTCCTAAAGCGAACCCACAGCGGCAAGGGCAGTGTAAGATGCAGAATGGAGCACAAGCGCAGAAGAGAAGTTAATTATGCAATACAGCAGAGACCGAAGATTTGTGTAAAAGTCCGAAAATTCAGTGGCTTATAGTTAGGCATATGAAGAAGACAGAGTGAAAATATGTAAAGTTATAAGATAGTGGGAGTATTAAGTTGCTTAAATAATATAGAAATACCCGCTTTACGGCATTTGTAAGTAAAAAAGCCAATTAGGATAGAGTAAAATATTGGAATGATAGCTATAGCATACTTCGCTTTGACCGTGTTTGGAATGTATCCCCCAACTATTAACAAATGCACGTTATACTTAAAATTGGGTATCATAAATTATTTTATTATAAAACTCAGAAAGGAAGATATAAATTTATGATAGTACATCTTAAAAAGTTAGGAAGAGTAGCCATGGTCCATATAAATAAGTCGACATAATAGTACTTGAAATGATTTAATACTAGACTTTGCTTTTTATTGAGAAGAAGAGTAAAACTCTCATAAATAATTCTCATTCGAATAGCGATGGCGGAGAAGAAGTTGGCGCAGAAAAACGCAAGAATGCTGCCTATCTACTCAAAAAAAAGGATGAAAAAATACTACCTTGCCTCTATAACTATAACTTTAAAAGCTTATTTAAATATAAAAATATAAAATCTATAGATTATAATACTAAATGGCCTAATTTCTCCGCCTCGAAATTATTATCTTCTGAAAGTTCATTTAATTGATTTTTCGTGTAGTATATGGAAATCCCTTAGTTAAGTATAAACGTCAAATTAATTTTAAATGACTTTAAAAAAAAAAAACAAAAAGTCGTGAAAATTTAAAGACAAAATCAAACTTATTAGTACCATAATTTGGAGATGACTTTATAAACTTAAAATTTCAAACATATTACAATAAAGCAGTTAACTACTATAATATTAATATTTAAGAAAAAAAATAGCAGGATAAATAAACGGCAAAACTACTGAAACCAGAAAATTGCATTTTTAATAGAAATGTTTACACTTTAAATAGCGCGACATTTAAAAACTCTTAGTTAATGAAAGCGGTAGAGAGCAAGCCAAAAAAGGGAAGGACAATGCTACGGAATAGATAGGGAAAAAAAAGTACTAATTGAAACCTTTGAATGATGACAATTAAGCCAACATCACTGTGATCAAAGCCCAAGCTGATAGGGAGAAACATAACTACTTTTCTCCTTTTTTCGTTCTACTTTAGTAGAACAATTAAAATAGCTATCATTTCTAAAGTGCTAGTTAGTTAGTTTTGTTCTACTAAATTAGAACTTTGGCATTTTAAAAGTAAGTTTAACTTTCTAGGCCTCGCAAAAGTGTCTACAGTAACTAAAAGTCATACGTTAACAAACAAGCCTTTAATTAAAATACTAAGTTTACATCGAAAACGCAGACAAGTAAATTATTTAACTCAGGCTAAACAGATTCAAGCCAGAAGTTAGTAACAGTACAAAATTAAAATGCTTTTATAGTATATTGATGTTGAGGGTGGCTCACTTTTATCTTAAACATCGCTAGTTCTTGTAATATTTTTTTTATAAATAGTACATTATCTATAATAAATAAATTCCAGCATTTTTAAACTATTATAATAAATTAATTTTGACTTTTAATAGTAATAAAGGTGGTATTCTACCTTACTACTTTTCAAAAAGCTTGTATACAAATTTAAGTAAGGCACTTTCTTCTATGATGTTTAAAAATTTTTTTAGACAGTTTTACCTCGCCTTCTACCATTAACCACGCTCACGCTTAAACAGTTAAGGGTTAAAACTTATTTAAATACTAAAACAACTCGTTCGGTATACCAATAGCTATCATCATTGATACGCACAAGTGAGCTAGAAAAATCGGTCCTCTACTTGTCACTGCCTTAGTTTTCCGGAACCACATGACGATAGTGATGATTATAATAAGAAACAATATATGAAGAGCCCCTAAGTATCAATTTTGGGTAATAGTAAGTAAGGATCCTCATTTTAGAAGGAGTTAGTATAAGTATTTATATATAGTAACCTAATACCACTGAAATGTCGAAAACTAACTTACAATCGTCTTTAAGTAGATCAACAAGGTTTTTACTCTCTTATAAACATTAGTTTACAGTTAAAGATAGCTTTCATCCAATTTTTGTTATACTAATTTACCTTCTAAATTCCGCTTGCATTTTATGAAGGAAGAATATACAGCCAATGGCAGATTCGACAATAGTGAAAGGAGAACCACGGCTATATAACCGTAAAACCCTACAAAAGACATTATTCGCACTTATAAAAACTAACCTTGTATACTAAACCCACAATAAAAAGTATTAAAAAGTTTTACAAAATTCAAATTCGACAAATAATTTTTGAAAAAATAACGATAAATAGTAATATTGCCGCTTTTACCATATTTTTTGCGTAGGTCACCACATTCATTTTTGCGTGTAGAAAAACGATCCATTTTATAATGTAAGGTTATCGTACAAAGAATAATAAATACACGATAAAAAAACAATAATCCGCTTCATGTGCATTTCGACCGCAATATATGCTTCTGTGCGAGCATTCATTTGTTTTTATGAACGCAAAAAAGCAAAGTAACCAATATTACAACAACTAAAGTGTATTAATAAGGCGTGAACAAGTTGCTGAAAAGGCTGTTTTTCGTATCTTAACCCTTTTAGTATTGAGAATCTATTACAATGAAATAAGTTCTTCAAATCCTAGTTTTTCCAGTGCTTTGAATAAGCTGTACTCTGGTTTTTACATGAAAGTAGTACATAATTATAAGTCGTGGGTTAAGGTCGCAAGGTTTTCTTTACGCATTTTAATTGTTTTTGGACCAATATGGGTGCTGTAGATCTACTACTGGTCTTCCTCGCCTCGTTCTCCTCCTACGAACTTCTAAGTCATCAACCTGGCAAATATATTCCAAAGGTTACTAAAAAGAGATGAATTCTTTTGTTAATATTTCTATGTTTGCTTTTGGGTAGGAATAACATATAACTTTAGTACTGAAAACATAATTTTGTTTCTTGGATTTTAATAAGGTCAACCAATGAAAGTTCTCTTGAGTATTACGCATTTAAATATAGATGTCTAAACAAAAGGGCACGCGTCACAAAAGGAAATTTTTTAACTTTTACATTTTAAGAGTTTTCTAATGGTCCTTGCAAAAAAGTTATCTCCATATTATTGGGATGGCAAGGTTAGTCACTATGCTTAGGTTTTGGTGTGGGTAAGCTCAATACATTTTTTTATTTTTCAGCCGTACAGAGCAGGTAAGCGTTTTTATTAATGCAGTTGTTTCTAAAGTGAAGTCCTTGGTGAAGACTTGGGATAAGCGGATAATGAAAAATTGCACGTTTCTAAGGCTTTATAACTTGTCTGCAAAACCGTATTCTAATTGTCACTCGAAATATACTACTTATAAAAGTAATCAAAGACAAATCAAAAATAAAAAATGCTTTACAGACTATAAACTCCTTTTTTGGTTAGCGGCTAGGAAGTTTAGCTGCACTATGTTAAAATAAAGCTGCAACAGTTAAAGTATTCAGAACTAAGTACACATGGTTATGCTGTAAATACAAAGAGCGAAGAAGTGCACATTATAGTTATAACGCCAACTTTAATAAGAGAATAACCTCCGATAACAACAAAATCTTACCGGCAACCTAGTACCGCCTACCTTGAAAGATACCAAAGTTAATATCGCCTTATATGAGGAAGTTGGTACTGTTAGCGTCACCGAGCTACCCTGTTTACAAGAAAAGGACCCGCCAGTTTTTATGTAATTCCAGAGAACACTCTACTTCGTGAATATCGCAAAAAAATATTTTTTGAGCTAAAGAGACGCCGTTGAGTAAGCAAATTTTTAATTGGCTATAAATACCACGCTATTAGTGCGTTTATACGTAATAAACAATGTAACTTTTTACTACTCACTCTTTTAAGGAAAAGTTCTATAACCTATGACCAACTCGACTTTCACCAAAGCAGACTTGCTAAAGTAAGGTATTACTCCATTTCGTGTGAGGTTAACTGTATACGCGGACGATGTTAACGTTGACTTAGGGCATTAATTGTCCCTTATTACCCGCAAATCAAGGAGGAGCTGGAATTGGAACGCATTATACGTTGTTATTACTGCCTCCTCAGTTTAAGCTGCTGCGCTGAGAATTTTTGCTGTGCTAGGTGCAGAAAGGACCGCCTCCTATAGCATTAAGATCCCCTTGCTCAATGAGCGAATAAAGGAGGTCATTCAGCGTACTCCACGACTACAAACATTATCCACGGAACTCAACAACATTCGAAGTAACAGCAAAATCATAGTAGTCAAAACCCACTCCTCTCACACTTATTCTCCGCTAAACTCGTAACTACTTTTTTCTGCGCTAAGACAACTCTCCGGAGATAGCTACATTGTTAACAATAGTTACCGATACTACGGCAACTGCTAAAGATTTTAACATGTTCATTACGCCCGGGGAATACAGATGCGATGGTTTCTAGGCCACAGATCTGCTGCCTTAAAGCAGTTTGAACTAATATTTACTTGATCCTTCGGACTCAAGTATGGGCTTACAATTAGTAATTCTTTCAATAAACGTCATATACGCATATTTTGCCGTTACACTTAAGAACAGCAGGCTGTGTGTGTGAAAAACTCAACTGCAAATACTTAACAGGGAACAACCGGTTCGCTCCAGAACATTGCCTTCCCACAGTATTTAAGGCGCACCACCCTGCTAATTCTGCGTTAAACAACAGACAGAAGTAAACAGCGAAATTTTTATGTTAAATAATTTTATCACGCCTCTTCTCACGGCTGAAACTGGCCCCCTACGCCTAGGTTTACTATCCCGATTGTCTGCCTGACGGACTGGGATCTAGAAAGCGCTCGTAAAAGGACAAGTTAAGCAACTTGTTAAAGATAGGAGACTACGTCCCAACTGACAAGAGATATATAAAACGCAATTGCCTTTTCTGCGGTACGGGACTATGTGACCGAAGGTGGCTTAGTAAAAGGTAGTACTTTAAAGGTCTCTTCAAATCCACCAAATAGCCGCTTATACTTAGTTATAAAATTCGGATATAACTTTTGTACGCGTTCAATAAAAGTTATCCTTAAGTAACAAATAACCACTACACTTTTTATAAATTTCGTTAAAGATAAAATTTAATAGATTTTTCGATTAATTCTAAGAGGCAAGCGCCGAGTGTAGAATAACTTTTATTGAGAGATAGCTCGAGCGAATACAGCTTTTTAGTTATGGGTAAGCTATAAATCTTTGCCTACAAGTCTACATAATCCCAGCTTTGTAAGCGCCCGCATGTCCCCCCAAAAAAATATAGTGTAAAAAATAAATTAAATAATTTCAACTTTTTTTTATTGAAAACCTCCAATTTTTGAAGATTGTGATAGTTAACAAATTTCTAAAATCTTGTAAGAAGTTATTTTTGTATAAAAATATGCAAGAATTTTCCTTAAAGTATACTTTTAAAATAGTATTAAATAATAATAATCCCAAAGGATAAAAAACATTGCTAAACAGTGTACCTCGCTCTTAACCACGTGGAAACTCGTAATCTACCGAATGAAATATATTTATTTATACAATATCAGCAATATTACTTGGAAGCTCTTCCAATTGAGTATTATAAAATCTAGCCAATTCCTTCATATCTTCGAGATCATCGCGAGTAACAAAGTTAATAGAAACGCCTTTCCGTCCAAAACGCCCTGAACGCCCAATTCTATGAAGTTTATATAGAAATTATAATAAAAATAGTAATAAAAAATTATATAGTAACCTGTGAATATAATTTTCTCGATTAGTTGGCAAATCATAATTAATAACGAGGCTCACGTGTTGGACATCAATTCCACGTGCCAGCAAGTCGGTGGTAATAAGGACACGTGTAGGCCCGGAACGGAAGTTATCCATGATTTTTTTTCGCTCCTCCGCTGGAAGGACGCCGTGAATGGCCGCAACGGTGAAATCTTTCGCTCTGAGACGGTGGACCAGTTCTACAATGTTGTAAAGTAAACTTTTCTAACAACTCTTACGCCTATGCAACAGTAATAGCAATGGAGAAAAAAAGATAACTACTTCCAATATTACTTTATCTGAAAAAAGTTTATTATAAATAAATACCATCTGTTTTATGATAAATAGTGCATATGATTCATATATTACCAGTTGATATAAAAAAAAAAGAATAAAACTGTTTAGGGAGATGTATACGCTTCTTAACACATTTATTATTACAATAAAGATATAATAAAAGAAATTATTCAAATTTATATTATACGCAGTTTATACTACAATACATACAAATGATATAGCGTTTATTTAGTTATAATGATATTTATGATGTATAATAAGTAAAAATAAGCGTTATCAATTATTTTTAAAAAAAATAAAATAAGTTTCATAAAAATGTTAAAACATGTAATATTTACATTAATTGTAAACAGCATTATGAGTTATATTGTGTTTCATTCTTTAAATTTTTATTATTCCCTCCAGCAAATTTATTATAAGCAAAATATATATTATTTAAACTAGGTTTATCACTATTATAACTTAAATTTTTATTATAAGCAAAATATAATAATTTCCATAAAAGATGATTACAATTAAAAAAGTTATATTATTAATATATAATATTGTTTCATTAAACTAGTAACAATTATTATTATAACATATTTCTAATAAAATTAAAGTAATTTGTTATTAGTGAAAGTGTTACCATCCACGGTTCGCCGTTTATTAACAAAAATAACGGCCTTCGTGATGGTAATGGTTTCATAAATCTCCACAAGAGTTTCAAACTTGTACTCTTCTCTTTCGCAGTAAACAAAATATTGTTTAATTCCTAAAAAAGTATAATGGGGTAGCAAAAAGCATAAACAAAGGTATATTAATATAATAAGTTATACAGTTTTTTTGTAAAAAAATGATAGTAAGTGAACCTTCTAAAGTAAGTTGATCCTTTTTTACTAATATACGTATTGGATCCTTCATAAAGGCTTTAGTAACTTCTATAACTTCTGCAGGGATAGTGGCAGAAAGAAGAATAATTTGCACCCCTAAAAGAAGTATAGAAGTTGCAAATAAATACTTATATACTTTTATAAAAAAAACTTATATTAATGAATTATCTTTACTTAAGTAATCTTTGAAATAAAAAAATATGTTTTCAATATTTTTTTATATAAATATATATTTTTATAAATAAAATTTGTATAAGCTTTTAAGGTTTCCATAAAGTTAATATAATTTACTCATTAACTGCTACGTTTTCTTGATTAATATTTGAAATTATAATGTTAACCTTGATAGAATAAACTTTTAAAAAGTAAGCATGCTAACTTTGTTATAGTATTATTATTTCTCAAGTATTTGTCGTCATACCTTATAAGGATAAACAAAACTTATTTACATATAATAATACTAAAGAGATTTTACCTTGCACTTTTCTTATTAAACTTATAATAATTTACTAATATTACTACTAAACGCTATTAATTTTAATTTTACTACTTATATATTTAATTACTTTAATAAGTTCTGCTATAAATATATACAGTTATTATATAATAGAAACTTTATATTAAACTATTTTTATTCCTTTTCAAATTAAAAAATAACTTCTGTAAACACCCTTTAAAGTATTATTATCTTATGAAATAATTATTATAAAGTTAATTAGATATAAAGTTTCTTATAAGAAATGCATATTATTTATACGCTCCTTAAAATTTTTTGATGTTATTATTTATTACTACCATCGGAAGGAAGACAACTATAAACTTGTTTAATTTGATCGCGAAATCCCAGCGACAACATCTCGTCGGCCTCATCCAAAACAAACATCAACAAATGGTCCAATTGTAAGAGGCGCCGATTATTAATAACGTCGTACACGCGGCCAGGTGTTCCTACAACCACATGAACTCCGCTTTTAAAAGCAGCAGCGTCATTCCTCCAATCAGTGCCTATTTTTCAGTAAAAAAACGCATCCAATCAAAAACAAGAAAAAAAAAACTTAAATTGAAAAAAAAATGTTGATGATTTGTTATAACTTTATAAATGAAAACAAATGTAAAATCAAAAAGATAAAGATAGCAATAAACATAGGAATAAGTAAAAAAATTAATAATTACTTCTTAAATTCTCACAAAAGATTTATAAATGATATCAACGCAAAGGATATGCTATAGAGGAAAATCAACCGTAGCTTATACTAAAGAGATTTTAGCACGTTGAGATGAGCGCTTTCAAAAAAAACGAGACTCTTATTTTTTATACTTTTTACATTTTGATAATAGCAAGGCAATTACGTCTAACTTAATTTAAACTTGAAAATTAGAACTTTTAAAACATAACGTTCCTCCTATTTATAAAAATATTAAATTGTAATAAAAGAAAATTGATAATTAAAGGAACGGTAAAACAAAAAAAATATTTTGCAACAAGAATTTCAATTCTAATATGTAAAAAAAAAACGTAACAATAAAGCATTTAAAAAAAAATTAATATTAATCAATGAATAATAAAAACATAGGTTTAGTTAATAAAATTGATATAATGCGTAGGAAACGCAAACAAAAGAATTATAAAGATAAATTATAAAAAATTAAGTATATAAAATTTGCCAACAAAGATAACTATTATTTAAAGGAAAAGTTATTGTAAAGTAAACAAGAAATAAAATGTTAAGTCAACCAAAACTAAAAATTTAAAAACTTTTAAAACAAAAATATAAAAAAGATCTACAAATAAACCTCATTTGTATAAAATATATAACCAGACAAATTTAATAAGCGTAATATATAAATATATCAAAGAATTCAAATAAATCTGAAAAGATGAATTAAAATATTAAAAAGGTATGAAACCTCCAATGCACGCGTGAGCTATTATATTCATATCTTTTCCAAGCGCCAAAACGACGGACTGAATTTGATTAGCTAACTCACGAGTTGGCGCTAAAACAAGAGCTATAAAAAAAATTAAAAAAATTAAATTTTATTTACTACGATTAATAATTAGTTGCGTGAAGGAATTAAAACAAAAATAAAAAAGTTATAGCACCCTAAAATGATTAAAGTTTTAACTCCAAAAAAATAAATAGTAAATAAAAAAGATTAAACCTAAGCAAACAAATTTAATACGTTACAGTAAAGGAAAAATAACAGAAATATAATTAGAGAAAGAACATATAACCTTTTAAATATAAACTAACATAATAAGACCATAAAAATTAATATAAATATTTTTTTATTTAAAAATCACAAAAATTTTAAGGAACTGTATAGATTAACTATGAAAAAATGTGTATTAAATGTAATTATAAATTTACAATTAAAATATAGGGATATGTAATATATATATTAATGTTGTTACCTTGAGTTTTTCTAAGGTTTTCGTCAATGCGCTGAAGGATTGCGATCGAAAAAGTAGCAGTTTTACCCGTACCTGACTGGGCCTGAGCTATGACATCAGCGCCCGAAATGCACGGAACAATAGCTCTTTGCTGTATAAAAGAAGGTTTCTCGAAACTTCAACAGTAATGTTAATATTCTTTTGAAAAATGTTAATAATAGAGATACCCGTGACTGTAAATCCCATGCAAGAGTAGTTTTTTTAAACCCATAAAATCAAAACTAGTAATAACTTGATCACAGTTAGACTCAGCCATATCTTCTTGAGCAGTTTCTACGGGAACATCGCCGGAAGAATGGCCATTTTCTACTACTTCAACCCTAAAAAAATGACGTAAGTGGCAGAAATAAGAAATTTATTAAAATAGCGTACAATACTGTTTTTTTTTAAGCTAATAATATTTGGTAAATAAAACACGAACCTTTCAGTATCACCGCCAGACGCCATCGCTTAGAAAAACACAACGCACAGCCAAAAGGAGCAAATCTGTTAATGAGCACACGGCGATAGAATTAAATATGAAAATTTGAGGTCAACGAATTTTTACCAAAAAAAGAACTCTGGAGTGATTTAATGATGTTTTCGTACCAATTTATATATTATTTTTTATACCTTACAAATAGAAATATTAATATTACCAAAACCGCACGTGTTAAATGGAGTGGAAAGTTACCTCCACGTGAATTTCTTAATTAGTTATTCAGCTATTTTAATTTGTATGTGACCATTTCAAGTGTCTCAGTTTGTTTCGTTATTATTTAACCTTAAAGTTTATATTTATTATTACATATGACACTTATCTGTTTATGAAGACAACAAGTTTTATTTAAAGTATAAATCTTAATATCTATTTTTTTTGTAAACGTTCATGTTTTGTAACTCTTTATTTTAACCAGTTACTTTTAGTAACTTTATTAAACTATTAAAATTGTAACGTAACTTATGAAAAATTATATTACCATTAAAAAATTTTTCCGTTCGTTTTTACTTGTACTGAATATTTAAAAGGTAAAGTAGATATTTTTAATATAAAGTTTTAATAATTTGATCGATAAAATCTAACAAAAGTTGTATATGTAGTTTACGTACTAAAATTTGAGTTGTCATCGTAGGTCAGTGGTTAAAGTATTGTCGCTCAACCTTAAGGCCGCGGTTCGGTTCCCGTCTGTGACAACTCACTTGCTTTTCTGGTCCTGGTGGTTACGTGTTTAACTTCCCTACAATCAAAAATTCTGATGAAATTTTTTAATACTTTTTACGCCCTCCCTTCTAATTATAGTTAGAGTTATTAGCTAAAATGTTATTACTTTTGAGTGGTAATTATTGTTTGAAGGCAGTCGCTACTGTTTTTAAGAAATGCTAGAATAGAGTTGTAATGGTTACACTTTGTATTAAAATTACACGCTAAATTATAAAAAATTTTTGTTATAAGGTACTAATTGTTTAGTAAAGGCTTGTTTAAAAAGTAAAGAGCGACATTTACTGTGGAACGATTAATAAATTTATTGGAGACTGTAACTTGTTATTGCATAGTAAAGGTAAAATTATTTGATTAACAATTGAGTTGTAAGCTTTATTAGTGGGCACAATTTTAGTAATAATTGACTTAAAACTTAGACTAAGTTAATTTAATTTTTGATTTAGGGCAACAGTATACAGAGAGGCCTTGTAAATCGTTTTTTTATTAACTTTCACTTGTTTTTGTCGTTCTTTCTGATTTTAAAGAGTTAATGTAAGACGTAATACAGTTCTTTTTTAGCTAGTTGGATTTTTTTTAACCGCTTATCCTTACTAATTATAAAGATTTGTTAAAACGCTAATTAAATATATAATATTTCGTTTTCTCAAGAGACCTATTAAAGTTGTGTCTGAAGTGGTATTGATATGCTATTAGTCTAGGGTGATTTTCATTTAATTGAGCGGTTACAGAGGTTTTTAGGTTAATATACTTAATATAAAGGTTATTGGAATTCTTTATTAGGATCGGGTTAGAGCGCTAGCATAAAGCTTTCGAGCTTATGTTAGTATAATTTTGGTGAGGTATGTATATGCTTTAAAAAATAAAAAATTTAGTTTTCTAAATATTACCGTTTTTTTTTAAATATTACGTATCAAGACTGCGTAAATTAAACCAGAGGACTAATACGCGTGTATATTACATACTGCTTCTAATAAGTATAAGAGTTGTTAATCTTTTTTAACAAATCACTTTAGTAGTATTAAACAATGATAAGTCTATTATGGCGTTTGATTGAATAAAATAGGATTGCGTTAAATTATTTTTAGTTTTAACCCGTTAAAGTTAGGGTAAAGTATATTTAATCAATTTGATAGGTAACTTTTACATAGAAAAGTTGTTTATCTATTTATCTTAGAGACTCAGAGAATTTAGGCAGTCTTTTATATAAAGATCGGTTGCCTAGGAGATACTTTTGCAAGTTAAATGAGACAAGTCAGCGTTTTTTCGCTATGTAATTTAGGTTGTATAGTACACTATTATTAATATGTTAAGGCCCCTTTATGAATATACATTAATTGTACTTTGAGTCTAAGTTTATTGATATAATTAATTAAGCTTTTAAGAGCTTCTCAAGGTGAGAGTATGTTAGGCTATAGTCTGACTTGGTCCCTTTGGTTTATCAATCCTTATTATTTAAATTACTTAAGTTGAATAGATCAACTAGCTTACATTCGTAATGACAAAGTTTTAATTATGTTCGTAATTTTACCTATTACAAATAAACCAGAGTTCTAAGTTGTGATCTTTAAGTTCCGCGTTGTTTTAGCCACGATTAATATTAACATGGACATTTAGTACCGTACTTAAATTGTCTAATGGTGCGCGTGGTCTGCACTTTAAGTTATTTATTTACTGATAACCCTATGCAATTTCGTGCTTTGGGTGTGTAAGCAATGTTCTAGGAAGTATTTAAATTTGTCATAAATCGTTTTCTTAAGTTCTCCTACCTGTTCATTCATTAATATATTTTTATATTCTATCAGTTTTTGAAGCCTGTAGCCTGTAGCTTCAACAATAAATAAAACAAAAAGGGAGCAGAAGTCTGCTAGTACCTACTAAAAGCTTGATAAGAAATTTGTGGGGGGGGGGTCTCGCTGGTATGTACACTCAGCGTATTTACAGCTATTGAGAAAATTAACTGCAAAGCCATTACATGGCCTGCTCCTTATAAGTAGTAGAAGCGGTTTAGCTTCCATTTAAACTATTTCATTTCACTGGTCATTTTAAACTAGAATGTTTGTGGATATATCTACGCCTGCTCACATATCAATCCTAGCAAATACTTCAAACATTTTCGATCGAGTTCTAGTTTAAAAGTCGAATTATATTGTTCTGCTCCATTTTCTCGTAAGCCCAGATCTTTAAGTGAGCATTATCTTGCAAAAATATTCATTTTCACCCCTTTTTACTTTTTGCAGTAAAAGGTACTTTTTTAAATTTTAAAGTTTTTTTTAATTTCAGATTTGCCAAATGGTTAAAACCATCATATCCAAAGCCCTTCTCTCATTTAATCCTATAACTGCCCGAAAAAATAAATAATTTTTTCATGACCATGCTAAAGTTAAAGTTAATTTGTTCTGAATAAAATAAAAATCCTATTTGCTTACGTCTAAAAGCTTTTTGTACGAAGTTAATCAACATAGTCTTCACATCTAACAATTTTAAAATTTTGGTTCATTTGTAAGTACAGAGGGTGAGGGTTTAGGGTAGGATAATGTCACGTAAATGACTAAGCTTTTTATGGCTTTCCCTTTTCCCATTCCCTTGTGGTTTTAGTCTGACCGCTGTGTATGGACCGGATCTATTTGGTGTGTAGTATATATGGGGTAATTTAATAAATAATTTGTATAATTTCTTAGTGTTAAATACATATTTATTATACTTATATAAGTCACTTTTTATACAGTGTTAACACTAAAAAAAGAAATAACACAATTTAAAAAAAATGTTATCTATTATTTTTTACGCGCTATAATAGTCTCCAACTCCTCTTCGCTAATTTCCATATAATAAGATACTTTTACATATAAAATTTCTAGTTCTGCAATAATCTTAGTAAAGTTTGCTATTGTCCCTAGTGTTACTCCTTTATTCTTTTAGGTCTGTCCTTATCTTAGTTTCTGTGTTAACTTTTCAATTTATTCGAGTTTTTCTGATCATAGATCTCAGTTCCTTTCTAGTTATGAATATTACCTAGGGTTTTACCATTACTAATATACATCTTTTAATAATTTCTACGCTCTAAGTTTAAGTTATTCACACTTTTATTTATGAATGTACACTTAATAAAGTACCCTATTAATAAAGAAGAAAAAGTTTCTGTTTAATGAATTTATCACGGAAGCGAAAAACCCATATTAAAATATTTGGTTTAGTAGGAAAACAATATATATAAACAAAACAAAAAATGTCACGAAGGGAGTAAAATTACTTTTTTAATTAAAGCATTTTAATAAGTTGAAGGATACCTTAACTAGTTAAAATTGTCTGTCAAAAATACAAATCTTAAAGTAAGTATTTCCCCAGAAATAAATTTAATGTTTTTAGGATTTGGATCTTGCTCTTGGCACCGCAACTAAATCTTAGGTACTTCTCCAATTTAAGTACCGTGCACCACACAAATAAGATATTTTCACCCAATCTTTCAACTGCTTGCCCTCAATTAGTCTTTTTTAATTAAATTTGTACGAAGAAATCATCTGAACATCAAGGAAAGAAGATAACTTCAAAGAGGCCCTATTATATTTAAAGTACACATTGCTTATTTAACCTTCACAGGTGTATTCAACTATTCATTTCTCTACAATAATATATTATCATTTATTTATTTTAAAAATTTCATTACTTTTATATAGAAGTATTTTATTTTTTCCATCCTAGCCCTCTTTCTCTGTTCTGAAATTACCTGTCACTTCAAACTTACATCATACACAAAATTAAGATATTTTAATCATCTTTACGCTGCTTGGTAAGCTTCTACTACTCTTTGCTAATAAACTTATCATATCAGTGGCATTCCTGACTACGCTTTAAGCTACCTAGCTGCTACCTATTAAAGTGCTATCTTTTTTACTTAGAATCAGTTCTTTCTTCGAACAGACCATCTCTTTTTGTTTAAACATTAAATAAATTCTTTCTTTTGGCTTACTAATTACCTTTTATTTCTATGATGTATTATTATTAAAGTTATTACTGCGTTTTCAAAATTCTCTCCGTCCATTATAAGATTTATACCATTGTTGATCTTGAGAACTTCAAGAACTAATGTATTATATACAAATTGAGAGTAATATTTTAAATTATATCAAAAAGAAATATAATATAGAGTTAGTTAAAATTAATAAGATCTGTATAATTATTTGATTGCCCTCGAGCAGCCTGGGTAGCACAATATCAAATTTTGAAAAAAAAAATGACAAAAGGAGCGCGACGCTCACCTAATCCCTTAAATGTTTA